CATCATCATCATCATCATCATCTTCTTCTTTTTTAAAACAAGTTAAATATAATTTTTCTTCTCTTGTTTTTATAAATCCGTCTGAAATTTCAACATCATATTGACAACATGTTGACTTGGATGTCAGGAGAAGCACCGACTGGGGTGTTGGTTAAATGTATGAAAAGAAAAAGGGCCTTATTTGTTATGATGAATGTACTTTGAATAACCTGCATCTCAAAAAAGGATTCCATAATTTAATTATACACAAATTGAACACATAAAAAGAAAAAATCATGTGCGACAGAAGAGTAGTATAATTAATTATGAATATATGTTTGAAAAAAAACAAGAGAAAGAAAAGAGAGGGGACGGAGAGAAGAAGGAATATGAGAGAAAGAGGATAATGACAAGAAGGTAAGTGTAGTTAGGTGATGCTTGTTTTGTGGGGAAAGGACACAAAAAGCCAAATAAAAAAAGAAAAGAAAAGAGATTGAATTGAACTGAAGAGTTATATTGGAAATGAAGTTATGGGTTCAAAACATTTGGCAGTGCAACACCACCACCAAACTTGTCTTGTGAATCTCATTCCTATATTTTTTCTGGCCTCTCTGGTTTTTGTTGGGAAGTGCAATAGCTTCATCCAGATTTAAGGGCTTTTTCTGTTTGTTTGCTAGTAACCTCAAAATGCGGTTTCAGGGAATGTTTGTCTTCCCCAATAATTATACTATTGTCTCAATATCAAATTCAAATAATCGTTTTGTGTCCATTATTAATTAATTAATTAATTACTTTAACAATTTGAGTTTTTAATTTGTCTAATTAGAATGTTCATAGAAGTTAATGCAGGCAAGTGTGTGTTGCGGGGTGAATAATTATATGCTCAGTTCCAGATGCACACAGCCAACAAAATTTGGCGAGGATTGCAGAAAGAAGCATGAGCGTTTTATCCTTAACATATGCTACTACATCAAGACACTCTATAAAATTTAATGAATTATTTAAAAAGAATGCTTACATAGCTAATTGGTTTATCTGGATAGAAGGTTTGATTTTAAGATTCAAATTGATGATAGAAGTTAACAGTTTTAATTCAGTATAATTTTGGAATATTATAAAAAAATTTACAAATCAAAATACTTAATTAATTTTAATAATTTTCTTAATATGTATAATTTAATAAAAAGTATCTTACAAATATGATGGAGGCAGTAACACAGCTAGCTAGGGGACAATCATGGGGATTCCCCGATGAATCGTCTCATCAATTATTTGTTAATTATTAGAACTATTTATGTTCGATGTTTCCACACTTTCCATACGAACGTTAATTCATATATAGCAGAGGTGCTCTAAAGCCAATATCAAAAATCTGTGTGATGGTTTTTAATTAGTTCTTGGAATTGGAGACCCTTAGCCCTATAGCATTAATCCATTCAAATATATATATATATATATATATCACTTCACTCATTACATTTTTTAATTTGAGTATGATAACTTAAAAGACGAATATAATGTTTTTATTTTAAATGAAATTAAAAGAAAAAAAATTCTATCTGCAAACTAAAAAATAATAAAAACGAGAATTATAATGAGGTTCTGAATGAAAAAAAATAATCATCAATAAATCATAATAATAAGTGAGTAGTTATCATTTACTATCGTGATTATGCTTTTTACTTGAGATTTCATAACAATCTCCCATAATAAAAAGATAAACTTTGATAAATTAAACTATATTGGTCGTTACTCTATATGAGGATTTATGCTCTTCCCTCCAAAAAGTAAACACTAAAACTAAATGAACGCTTTAACAAAAATTTGCTTTCCTGTTCAAGAAAATAAATTTATACGAAAATATATGGAAAAATATTACAGGAATAAAAGTAAAGTCGTAGCGAACATACAATTTGATTCGAGAGCTCTTCTGCACTGCTGTGAATAATGAGAAAGACTTTTCAAAAAGGGCGTCAATGATATACGGCCATATAGGATTGGTTCACAGGACGATTTTTAATTTGTATATTTTCATATCACATATGAATATATTGCTTTTTGTGGATGCAGCTTATTTACTTATCATCCACTTGCTCCTTGCGTCCAGGATTCTCCTAGCTTTTTGCTAATCATACGCACTCTCCCCTATTAATACATATATAGAGTTCCAAATTTCCTTTTTCACTTTTTACCAAGATACGAAAAACATAAATATACCCACATACATGAGTGTGTGTGCGTGTGTGTCACCCTGCCACCTATATTTAAGTGCCGTGTCATTGGTTAAGCTCAGCTAATTGCATGTACAATTTTCTTTGGGGATCGATGAAATGCAATTTTCCTTATCCTACAAAACTAATCTACCATCATCTGTACTTAATATAAAATTTAGTTTCACTTTTAATTTGGTCCTAAATATAAAATCTCAATCCATTTTATCTCTTATATTTATTTATTTATTTTTCAAGTAGTCATTATAATAGTTATACATGTTAAATATTCAATAAAATGATAATTTTAGCTAATACACATGATTAGTAAGGATATTTTAGAGAAAACAACACAACTTATAACAAATAACTAATTTAATTAATTTTTTTAATATATTCAAATTAGTTATTCAGCTCTCTTATTAAGGACTGGAGATAGTATTAACAAAGAGCCTCTTGACTTATACTACTTCTGATCCTTGATATAAGAACTTGTTTGACTTTTATTTTAGTCATAAATATAAGACCTCAATCTATTTTATTTCTCATATTAATTTATCTATTTTTCTCAAGGTATTCCTTGTAATAATGATAGTTTTAATCAATATACTTGATTAGCAAGGATATTTTAGAAAATACAACACATATTTATTACAAATAACTAATTTAACTAATTTTCTTAATCTATTTAAATTAGTCAACTAGCTCTTATATTAATGACCAAAAGTAGTAGCTTTTATTGTTATTGTGGGCATTTGTGATGATATTTTTGTGAATTTCATGGTTTTAATGAAAATATTTTTATTATGAGCACAAATTTAAAAGGAGAATCAAACCCCAAAAGATTAATTTATTACTAGGGAGAACTCCTTGACTTATAAATTAAACTGTACTATATTTGTGAGACTCTTTCATGTAGGACTTGTAATATACATAAAATTAGATATAGGATATGAGAAATTTTTTTCCCCATTTCGAAGATATGTGCTTTGTACCATAAGTACGAGTATCCAATAATAATGCATTAAAAAGGGGGTACTTCAGTTTTAATCTCCTTGAGAATTGAATGTTTCAAGCGATAGTTTTAAACTTTTTTTGGATATAGCGTACTATTATTGGAAATAGATAAATTGAAGAATATTGCACATGGAGAAGGCTGTCACGGATGTTCCCCCTTCTACTTTTAAGGACCTTTTATCTTTAAAATGACAATTGGATGTTGACTCAAAGAAGCATGGATCTTTTTTCCCTACTTTAAGTCCCAAGATATTTTCCGTGATTTCCTCTGATAAATTATCTCTGATAAATTATTTTTTCACATCATTTCCTGGTTATATGATTATTGTAAACATCATACTGTGAAACGCCAAATTAAGTAGCTAGCCAAGAAATTAAAATATCACATACAACATAAAGTCAGAGTAAATCAATATATTTTCTTCGTCGTTCTATTAAGATTTGCAATTGTTCTTTTCATTCTATTGATGATTGGCTTTTATGAGTGTATCTCTAAAGCAAATATAAATTTGCTGGTTTCATTAACAAACACATGTACCATTTGAAAAATTATCGCCTGGTTCAAAATATAATTTACTTTCAATGACATGGATCGCTGAAATTGAAAAAGAGGATCAACTCTAAGTTTTTTTTCTTAAATTGAGAGAATTTTTTTTAAAAAATTTTGTCCCTATTCAATCTCTCTCATCCGTCACCTCTCTTCTCTTTCTCGATATCAAATTTGTGGCACTAATAAATAGGGATAACATCAAAAAATAGTAATTAGTAACTCTATATATAGGTAACTTGTATTACGAATCAAGGATTTCTTAACGAATGCATTTTATATTTTGAACCCGAGACTCTTAGAGCATAGGCTCCAATGGAAGTATTATTATATATGGAAAATAATAATCATCAACGCTTGATTTCTCAAGCAATAAGTAAAATTGATTTTCACTCTCCTCCTACTTCAATTAATCTACCTAATATGGAGTTTTGAGCAAATCAAATTTTTCCTTATTTCAATCTATTACTAAATCAAGATTATATATATGTACACATTATTTGGGCAAGCCAAGTAAGTAACAAGGTTTTGGCAAGTATATAACGCATCCTTATTATCATCCGTCACTATAACTAGATATATTTCAATATAATCAACCATGCACATCAAACAGGATCATATTCTCAAAAGTAGAATTACTTCTAAAGCCAAAAAACAGGGAAGGATTGACACTATAAATAAATAATTAATTAGCAACATATATGCTTTAAACTTTTTTTTTCATCAATACGTACACACACAAAATACACGATCGACTTCAGTCATTGGAGATATTAGGTATATGAATAATATTGAATGACGCATTGATTAAAAGGTTTGGAATCCTTTATAGTGTTTGGATTGTACAAGTCAAAATTCCCAAAAATTTACACATTCGTTTACTTTTAATTGCCACACAGAGGGCAAAAGGGTATGCAACATGCACAGGTGGCATCATGAAAGGGCCACGTAGCTTCATATCATAGAAATATCATGCACTCGAGTGTGATGAGTCATGAGATGCATACACATACACACACACACATATATATTGGAATTCTTAATTTAATGGGAATTGGTACTACCTTTTTCTGTCCTACTTTAAGATAAAGCAAAAGCAAGGCGGGGGGAATAGAAAAAAAGCAAAGGCGAGAAAGGAAAAACATCGAAAGGAAGGAAGAAAATAAAAGCAAAGCAAAGTAATAAAGAAAGAAAGGGGAGGGAGAAAAACAAAAGACAGAGACGGTTCACAGAGAACTCTAGCTAGCTCTATTCAAATGGCATTATAAAAAATATATATATGGGACCAACTAGCAGTATGGTTCCTCTCCTAGCTAGTCCTACATAATCAACACCAGGAGGACCTCTCAAAGATTCTACAAAGACCCCTGTCCGGGAAGGAGCATCAAGAAATTAAAGAAAGAGAGAAGAAGAAGGAAGAAGAGAGAGAGAGAGAGAGAGAGAGTTGCAGTATCAGAAGAAGGCATGAATAGAGGTCATCTTCTTCATCAGAGCTCACCGGTGCAGCAAATGATGGCCAATCCTAACTGGTGGAACATCAATATTAACACCATGCGACCTCAACAACCTTCTCCTTTCTTGTCCTCTCCCTCCAATTTTCTACCCAATCATCAGCAACTTCCTTCTTGGCAACATGACCTCAACAATCAACAACAGTTTCCTGACTCATGGACCCAACTTCTCATGTACGTATCCACACATATAATATATAGTTCCTATACTGCACGATATGTACATGTATATCTATTTTAGTTTGAGCAGCTGGCCTGATGGTGATAAACTTATGGTTTCTGGTTAAAGGGCTGGATCGGTGGCTGAAGAAGATAGAGGAGGTATGGGTCAGTTTCAGGCACCGAATGCTGCTCTCGTGGATATTAAGCAAGAAAGTTCAGTGAACAGCTATGGCTATGGACATGGAAGCAGCGAAGAATTTCAAGCAGTGAAACCTGCAGGTTGGCCTCAAATGGTAGTACCAGCTTCTTCCCCGAAGTCCTGTGTCACAAGTTTCAGCAGCAATATGTTGGATTTCTCTAACAATCAAACCGATGCTAAGCCGTCTCTGCCAGATCCATCTTCTGAGGTAAGAGAAAGATACCAGATTTCCTATAAGCATACTTATAATAACACTCCCGATCGCAGCTCCTTGTTGTTTTCATCTTCTTCTTGCGGACAAGTTACAGAAACTATGTTTATGGAACTTTACCATTACTCGATGCCTTTAGGCGGTATCCGATAGATGAGAATTTTTTAAGAACAAAAAAAGGGTCTAAAAGTTGTGAGTTAGAAAAAGTCAAGACATTAGGTTCCCTTGGAACTTATGTCAAAGAAGGTGTTCTCTGTTCAGTTAAAGTCTTGGGTTCTGCAAGAAAAATTAATTTCCAGACACCTGAAAGCGTGTCTTTAAGAATATCAAGAGTTCCTCGCGCATCCTGCTTTTTGTGAATTGCTAGGGATTCGTTTTCTTCCTTTTAGTTTCATGTCTCCTTGTGCTGTCTTCGAACCAACTTATAATAATTATTATTACTTCAATTTTCTTCTTCATTTCCAGTTAGTCTTACTCGTGCTTATGAAATATTAATTCTAATGGACCAAAATTTCGTTGTCAAGTGCAACAGCAGTGCAAGTGGTGGGGCAGTGAAGAAGGCTAGGGTTCAAGCTTCCTCTGGAGCTCAGTCCACCTTCAAGGTATTGAATGCAAAAACAACGTATTATAAACTAGCCAGGCAGAAATTTCCAAAACCTCAGCTCTCTTTTAGGCTTTTAGATAGCACACCCACACAGACATCATGTGTGAGTGGTAATTCTTGTCTTTTTTACTTGTCCTATTCTCAATCATGCTGATTCTTTGTCTCTTTCTTCCTCAAATTAACCCAGAAGAAGAATAATTATTCTCAGGCAACTGAAACAACCAATCCATGTGTGAAACTAACTGTCAACCATATGTGTGCCTGTCATTATCTTCTCAATTTCAGGTTAGGAAGGAGAAGCTGGGTGACAGAATCACAGCCCTTCATCAGCTAGTTTCTCCATTTGGGAAGGTAAGCCTAGCTTAATTTAGACGACTAAATTAAAATGCACGTATTTATAAATTATAGTTTATACCCAAAAGTCCCGTTAAAAAAATAATATAAATCTCTGTGAGGGCAGGAAAAAAATAAACCCACAAGTATAAAAAGCATCTACCTTTTTCTAGTTACAAGTTACAGTTATACTTTATTTTAATTTGGCCTTCCCAATATACTTTCAAAGTAAAAAATGTAAATTTATTTGAACACTGATCACATAAATGTCGAACATGAGCATGAGTCTAGACATGATTCTCTCATTTTCATGAGGTTTTCGACTTTTCGTGTCAGAAAAAGTGTGGGACACAAATGGGTAATGCATTTTCTGTATGGGAGAATTGAATCTCTCGATTAAGAAAATGATAATAAAAGTCGCTTCTCAAATAATGAAAAATAGAAACAAAAAAGGAGTTTAAAAAGGAAAAAAACCCTTCACCGTTCAAACTCTTATTCATTATATAAGGTCATATATGAAGTTTCACGTCCATAATACTTTCCGTATCAGTCAAAATATAAGAGAGAGAGTGTGTGTGTGTATTGTGGATGCATGATTAATATATAGTGGGGTGTGCTATTTGTGACTTTTGCAGACTGACACAGCGTCTGTGCTGTTAGAAGCTATTGGGTATATCAGATTCCTTCAGAGTCAGATCGAGGTGATGCTTCTTCATTCTTTTCTTACCAAACAACCATATGAGTCAGTCAGTGATGGCATTGCACGCTAGCTGTTAAAGTTCCATTTCACTTTGTTCCTTTTTCCTTGAAGTTCTCAATCTGCCCCTCGGATTCTACTGCAGGCTCTCAGCTTACCATACTTGGGCAATACTGCTTCATCAAACATCAGGCACCAACAACAACAATCTGCAGTAAGAGTTCTTCCTTAATTTCTTGCATGTGCCTGGTTTAATTTAATTGCTTTTGTTTTAGTCTCAGCTGTGTGTGTGTGTTGGTTAGTAATTGAGTCATGATTATTAATTAATTGCGATCAATATTATAATCTGTTGTTAGGTTCAAGGAGAGAATAATTGTATATTCCCTGAAGACCCTGGTCAGGTATGATGGCTTTTTCATTGGATCCATTAACCCCTTAAAAATGGGTCTGGGGCTTTTGCATTTGGAAAGATGCTGCAGTTTCTTATTGTTATTAAATGAACAAAGTATATGACTAAAAGGACGTTTCACCAGCTTTGTCAGATTTAATATATTATTACACCAAAGCTACTCAGAAGATACAAGTGGTTCATTAATTACTTTTACCTCATATTAAACAAAAGATAGAGGTTAGATGCTGAGTATATACATCACATTCTCATCTCATTGTAATTTTTCTGTCCGCTTTTCATCTTCAGCTTCTGCATGAAAACAGCTTGAAGAGGAAAGCGCCTGGCAGTAATCAGCAGGTAATTAATAATTCTTTCCTCTAAGTATACTCTTGCTACGATAAAACATTGAAATTAAAGATAAATGGAACCAGTATCTATATATATATATTGACGATTTTGTTTTGTGTGTGTGTGTGTAGGAATCAAGAGAAGAAAGGAAGAAGGACCTGAGAAGTAGAGGGTTGTGTCTGGTTCCAGTGTCGTGCACAATGCAAGTTGGGAGTGACAATGGAGCAGACTATTGGGCTCCTGCACTAGGCGCAGGGTTTCGATAGATCAAAACTTCGCCATTAAAGAAGAAGAAGAAGAAGAAGAAGACAGATGGATGATGCCAATTAATTGAAGGAAAAGAGATACCATCATGAGCAGTCAATCTGCTCTAAGACTTTCCAAGGCTGATTGCTCATGATGCTATACTCTTTCGTCCTCAATAAAACTTCTAGCTAGCTAGCTTGCGTGCTCATCTGCTGTCCTCAATTGATTCATTCCCACTTTTCCTGCAATCCCTTGCTTCCTCCTAATTATTATTGTTAATTAACACTAGTTTTCTTCGTCTATTATTGTTCATGCACGCAAATCCATCTCAGCTTTCTTTGTTATTATTTCCCTTAATTAGCTTCAACGATATATATGGTGCTATGTATATCGGTCTATCCTATCAAGATTTTAATTATTTGTATCATCAATCATCAATCATCTGATGAATGCCAAGCTCCATTAACTGCACGCCCTCGTCTTTTTCATCATCTCTAGCACGAGATCTAGCTCTTCAATTTTTTTTTAATCTTTATCTTTGAATTATAAGACATGCATGCCCTATATTTGATTAGCGTGCCTTCATGCATGCTTAACTCATCCAAAACTTTTTCATGTGTATTAAGGCAATAAAAACATTATTCATTTACTAATGGGGTTAGGTCTAGTGAAAATAATTAATCCCTCATAACTTGACAGGTTAAGGTTTGAATAGGGAATGCCTAGCTAACATCATGTGATTGTTACAATATACTCCTTTGATCTTAAATATAAAATTTATTTTGTAATGTAATTTATACTATAAAATGTATCTTACAGTTAAAACCAAACGGGTATTATTATACGATGTGAAGAAGATGTAATTGATTAACTGATTATTTTTTTAATCCTCCCTAGAATTTTTGTTGCAAATTGTTGGCATGATGAAGCATTATTAATAATTAACATCTAAGTTGATCGAATTACATGTCTAATATCTAAGATGTTGTGATAAATGCTCTATCCGGCATATGATGAGAACGATTAATATATTAATATAAATTTGAATTTTTGTTGCTAATATATATAGTACTTGATTATTGTAAATTTAAATATTAACTGAATAATATTTATGTTCGTGACCAAATTAAATCCTTTCTTGCGATGCACCCGACTAAGGGGGAAAAACAGATTCGAAGAAGGACAAAAACAAGCAAGCATCATATATGACTTCAAAATTATGGATATACATGACATGATGACAATAACGAGATATAATCCATGCAAAATTAGAGAATCACATAGAACAGCGACGGGAAATTAAAATATATAGCATCTTATCCCTATCTATCACGTCCAAATTTTCAAAACAATAACTCTAATTATCGAAAACATTCCATTTCTATTTGATTTTGTCTTGGCAAATCCTAAGAAGAACATATCGATGGGATAATTAAGAATGATTTTGAAAATATATGCAGTGACTTGAAATGCTTTTTATGTGGTGGAGGCAGCAAAAAAATTTTATGCTTTTGTTGTATTATTTTATGACATAATAATTGAATATTTGTTTTTTAAAATTAGTTGGTTTCCTTAAATAACTTTGTCATGATAAATACGTGCTTCGCTGCAACGCAAAGAACGGGTTATTTTTATTTACAACAAATAATCCCAAAACGCCAGGCCATGTGATTTCCATTGCCCATTTATTCTTCTTTCGTGTGTTTGATGATGCGACATATATATACATGTCGTCCATCGGGGCCTCCAACGTAGGCTCTGACAGCTGTGTGTCGTTTCATGGTCATATTCTTCTTCGTCTTATATGCCTTTTTGGGAGGGTCTTTTGTTGTGTTATCGTCACTAGTCCATATTTCACCATTTGTTTAACCAATCAAGGGCTGAAAATGATGCCAAGTAAATTTATTTATTTATTTACTCTTCTGATTTTAAATATAAGACCTCTATACTATAAGACTCTTATATTTAGGACTGGAAGAGTATTTAGTAGTATTATTAAAAATAACAAAATAAAACGATTGAATGTCTTGATTGGGCCGGACCTGTTTCCCAGGTATCGGCCTTCCAGGATAAGCCCAGGTATTGATTTCGAAATCTTTGATCCCAAAAACGTTAAGTGGGCCTCCATTTTTATAAAGGTAGGAAATTCCATCGGGCTCCTCTTGTAGGTTGCCCTTCCAAGCCCTTGGTTACATTGATTTAGCTGGAAAAATATAATAATTCAGACATTTTTTTAAAAATAATTTAACATTATTTTAAGTTTTTATTAAATAAATAGAATAAACATAAAAATAAAAATGCATCAAGGCAAAATAAGATATTAAGATGTGTGGAGGGAAAAAAATAAAATTTTTTTAAAAAAAACGTGTTCTATAGAGTATGAAATTGGGCCAGAGGAGGCTTTGCTCGCTTATGCATGTGGGTTGACAAGGACATCCAAATTTTAAGGTTCAGTTATTTGTAACGGTCAAATAGGCCGGCGGGGCGGCATATCCGGGTTCCCTGCTCAAAATTTAAAGCCAATGAAATCACCAAAATACCCCTCATTTCATTTTCCCTTCTTTTTTTTTTTTTTTTGAATAGAAACTGAATATCATTACTTCAGGGGTAAAGAATTTTCCCTTCTATCTCATTCCTTTTTCCCTCTTTTTTTTTTTTTTTAACTTGGATACCCCATTCCTACCTATCTCATCCCACTAGCAAAAAAAAAAAAAAGCATGATACTAAAACATGAAAAAAATGTAATTTAATCAAATAAAACACCATGAAACTATTGCTTTAGACCCATATATAACAATAATGCCCCTTAGCAGTTTTTGAATGCCATGTTGAGATGTGAAAATTAAAATGAGCATTGTGATATTGAAGGGTGTAATATACTTCCATTTAGTGTCATCTTACTCATCCCTATAACACGTACAAATATACAAACTAAAATTAATAATTTAATCATTACTTTTTTTTTAATTTATTGGATTTTGCACTTCTAAAAACTAAATCTCCTTATCAAAAATTAGTTACCTCAATATAAATACCATTGGCCATGCCTGAATGAGTTCCTAAATTTAAACATGGCATATAATGATTATATAATATTGAGAACAAATATATACGAAGTAGCGCGTTACAATTGACGATTGATCATGATTTTCTCTTTCCTTCACTCAACGCTAAAAGTCTTCAGTCAACTTATAGCCTTGAAAGCACGGTTTAGGAGGGTATTTGAATGGAAACCAAACTATAGTTTCAGAAGTAATTTTACGGTCTACGAGATAAATATGTAGAGGAGTTTATCTCGATTTGTGAAAAAGTGTTTCTGAGAAGCACTTTTCAGGGTATCCAAACACCTCCTAAATGTAGCCATAAACCAAATTGCCATTATTTAAAAATGTTGATTATCATTTTTTTTTTCATACTTTTCAAGTACTACCTCTAGTTCTAATTATAAAAGCTAGTTGACTAATTTAAAGAGATTAAGGAAGTAAGTTGAGTTAGCTATTTGTACTAAATATGTGTTATATTTCCTAAAATATCTTTGCTAATCAAGTGTATTGGCTAGAATTATCATTGTTAGAAGGATTACTCTGAAAAAAAATATATAAATATAAGAGAGAAAATAGATTGAGATTTTATATTTAAGATCAGCAGGCTATTAAATAATTTTAATTTTTGCATGTCGATTTTAAAATTGCAAATTGGTCATTTCAGAGTTAGCCGTCCGCCGGTTCTTCAGAGACTTTTCGCGCCAGCAAATTGAACGAGTATTGCCGGTGCCAATGATAGCCTCAAAGCTCAAACACTGTGAAGTCTGACTCTATTGTCTTCATCCTCCGAAGCCCTTCCTCAGTCCCACCATGATCACCGCCACCACTTCTTCTCAGATCCTTCGACACACCACCAGCTTCCTCTCCGAGGTCCTTTCGCATTCTGAACTCCGACGCCGCCTCATTTCCACCCTCCTTCGCCGCTCTTCAATCTCCAACCAAATCACCCTCAAACACCTCAATCTCGCGGCTGACACTCTCGATAATGCTATATCTGTCTCCAGCCTCACCATCCGATCCTCCTCCCTCACCCTCGCTGAGAAGCTTCTCCTCCCTCTGCCTCAGAATCCCATTTCGTCTTTCCTTCTCTCTCTCATATACACGATCAACAAACGACAAGTCGAAGCCGCCTTAAGTCTCCTTCAAGTCTTCTATTTAAACCCTTCGTTGGCCCGCTCGGAAATCGCTCCTGTTCTCTACGAGCAGCTGTTTTCTCTCCACCTCCTCCCAGTTTTCCGATCCTTCGATGAACAGAGAGCAAAAATACTGCCATCAACATCAGAAAATTCAGCACGCTATCCAGATGGTTATTCAATTTTGGACGAATCTGTTGTCTTACCCCCTACAAAATTGTTATCGCGAATGACCAACGATCAAGCCTCGAAGCTGAGGGAATTAGAGAGAGACTACGAAGAGACTATTGATGACAATTGCAGGATTGTTGCCGAGTACTTCAAAGAAGTTTTGGTGAGTAACACTAGCGACTCATCAGTCAGTCTGCCACTGTCGGTTCTGAAGAACAGCGGAGATGATGCAGAGATGAAGCAGAGCCAACAGGAGATGGTGCAAACAGATATACCTTTGTTTAAGAACGGACGGTATAATGTAATGTTGTACTTTTGTTATATTTTTCCAAGTTGTTGGTTTATATGTGTGTGTGTGTGTGTGATTTTCATTTAGTTATCAGTTCTTTGATCAATATCATAAAGAACGGACTTAAGCACTTTTCTGGCCTGGGAATACAAATCTTAACGGTAATGTCAATTTGAATTTCCCCCTTTTGAACTTCAACGCCTCCTGAGGGAATGCTTCAATTCCGCATGAGGAAAAAATAGATGCTTAAGGCAAAAAGTTTGACTCCATTAATTCAAGCGTCCGGATTCTAGTAAGTATATGTTATTCCTCTCATAAAGAAAAGAAAAAAGTTGCATGGTTGGGTCATATTTATATCAAAACACAGAGGATCAACAGATCTTAGGTTGGACAGTATTTCTGTCTCCTGCACATTGAATCGTGATCTTTCACTAATCGAACACCCTAAACTTTTTAATCCTATTGGAACTACTCAAGGCTGTCAGTGATACATGATGTCGTTTTTTTTTCTTTTAATTCATGACCGCAGCCAATTTGGACCGAAACAGAGACGTCTATTGAATTTTCGAGTAGCAGTTTCAGCGCCAAGTGCTTGAATGCACCGTTTTACCCTCAAAGAGTCTCTCCCAAAATCCTCAAACACCAAGAATCTTCTAAAGAACTGTCCGTAACATCCCGTTCAGACATGGACGCTGAAACTGAGTCTTCCGAGGACGAAAATATGCCTCGTTATTCGTCAGAATTTGAGGCAGAAACTAAGGTAATTGATAATTACAAGAAGAGCAAAATCCAATGCGGACTGAATTTACTATGCTGGTTATTATAGTTTATGCTCTGAAGCAGTGAAGCTATGTCCCGTAGGAAAAAGACACGGTGGTACCGCTGGAGCCTCGACGAAGCCAAATCCAAGAATCCATGCAAATTAATTTTGCAGAACCCGGAGGGTATGCCATAGAAATATTCATTTATCATAGTTTTGTTGTTTGCTGTGTTCTCTCAAACTTGGATTCTTTCTGTTCCCAGTTCCCCAGACTACATCATGGCAGATTATGATCACCAGCCCCCTGGAAATGGAAAATGTACGCCTCCCAAGGACTTTGTCTGCCCAATAACTAGCAATCTATTTGATGATCCAGTAACTCTTGAGACAGGACAGACATATGAACGAAAAGCGATCGAAGAATGGTTCAACTGGGGGAACTCAACCTGTCCAATCACCCGCCAGAAGCTGCAAAATACCCAGCTGCCTAAAACAAATTATGTGCTCAAACGACTAATTGCAGGCTGGAAAGAACAGAATCCCAATTCAATCCCATCTCCATCTCCATCTGAGAGTCTGCATGCTGAAGCTGAAGTAGCAATAAAGTCAGCAACGCCTTCAACTTCTCCTAGTAGTGTTATAACCCAAGCCAATGTTGATGGGATGATTAGTGAGTTGCGACATGCAATTAACAACCTGTATCTGTCAGAGATCCTCGAGGAGTCTGAAATGGCTGTGCTTCAAATTGAGCAATGTTGGAAAGAAGCAAACCTGGGAGTGGATATCCAAAGCATGTTATCGAAACCTCCAATCATTAATGGGTTCATGGAGATTCTATTTAATTCTGTTGATCCCCAGGTGCTTCAAGCAACAGTTTTTCTTCTGGCCGAGATGGGTTCTAGGGACAATGCTGTTATTCAGACGCTTACCCGAGTGGACTCGGATGTAGAATGTATTATGGCTCTTTTCAAGAAAGGCTTGACAGAGGCTGTTGTATTGATATATCTCCTGAAGCCTTCTACTACGACTCTCGCGGAAATGGCCATATTGGAGTCTCTCATAACAGTATTCGATAAGAAAGAGGAAGACTTGCTTAAGATGTACATAAAGCCCAAGTCAGCTGCTGTACTTTTACTGGCACAGATTCTTGGAAATAATGAGGAGAGAATCGCATCATCAGTAGCCAAGACTTTGATAAACGGTAGAGTAATTGGATGTATAGTGGGCAGTTTTCGAGCTGAGTGGGCAGAGGAGAGGACTGCTGCGGTGGATATCTTATTAAGATGCATCCAGGAAGATGGAACTTGCAGGCATCTCATTGCTGAAAAAGTTGAGCCGTCTCCCATTCTGGAAAGCTTCACTGGGGCGAATGATGCAGAACGTTTTAAGACAATTCAATTTTTTTCTGAGTTAGTCAAATTAAATAGGTAAATCTGGTTCATATATATGTTTTCATTAAACAAATTAATTTACTTTGTGGTTATTATGTGCTCCTTAATTGGCTAATTCAACCTTTCGGTTTCCTTCAGGAGGACATTCAATGAACAAATCCTCCACTTTATAAAGGAAGAAGGTGCTTTCAGTACAATGCACACTTTCCTCGTTTATATGCAAACAGCCCTTCAAGATCACTGTCCAGTCGTAGCTGGCCTCTTACTCCAACTTGATCTTCTGGTTTGAATCTGTCTATCCCTCTTATCCACTTCTTCTGTGTGGAAATTATGTTAGATCTCACCATACCTGTAAGAATGGAAAGGAACATTTGCATGTTAGCTATGCCTTCAAACTTGAGAAGCTGAACTGCTGTACTTGTGCTAGCAAGTTGTAATCATAGGTTTGTTTGCAGGCAGAACCAAGAAAGATGAGCATATACCGTGAAGAGTCTTTAGATACTCTTATTTCATGCCTCAGAAACAGTGATTTCCCGGCTGTCCAAGTAGTAGCTGCTGAGACGATAGTGTCATTACAAGGGAGATTCAACTTCGCTGGAAAGTCTCTTACCAGAGAAGTCCTGCTCAAACGTGCTGGCTTTAACAGAAATTATAAGAATCTTGATCAGATTGATGATATCAGCCATATCAGTGGAGAACTTGAAACGAATCCAGTATATTTCTCTAAATCTTTACTACTGTGTTTTGAGTCCCGGATCTTGTTTGTCAAACATCTTTTTTAATCTCTTGTATCTAGTCTGGCATCCTGACATTAGAGATGATGGTTTTGGTTTCCTTATTTGTTATTATTTTCATTTCTAATTCTAATTGATATCAACAGGAAGAAGAGAAGGCAACTGATGATTGGGAGAGAAAAATTGCGTCGGTTTTAGTTGGCCATGAGTTTGGCCTACTTTTTGAGGCTTTAGCTGAAGGCCTGAAAAGCCGAAGTACACAACTAAGTTCGGCATGCTTTGTATCAGCCACATGGCTTACATACATGCTTACCGTTCTACCAGATACAGGAATACGGGGAGCAGCCTGTGTCTGCATGCTCAAGCGCTTTGTATCTATATTAAAATCTGCTAAGGACACTGAAGATAGAATCCTTTCTATGCTTGCTCTAAATACCTTTCTTCAGTACCCTGGTAAGTTGTACAGGCACTGTTTTTCTGGTAGAAGCAAAAGTTTTGTTTAAGAAATAATAAAAAGCAGGTTGACCTGCTCCTGGAAATGTGAAAAAGTAAGACACAGACTGCAACAAACTAATTTATGTCAGACTTTATGTATATCACAATTTTGGCGTCTTCATACTTTGAATAATGCCAACCAAGTCTCCTTATGCTGTAAGCATAAAGCTTCGAGCATTAAAGTAAATTGATTTGTTCTCCTTTATAGTGTTTGCCGATACATATAAGAAGGCCTCAGTGTCATTATTGTAGTTCAGAAAATGGGGATTGTGCTTGACATTGTACATTCTCAGATGGATTGCTTGATCTTGCTTCCTACACTAAGGATGTCCTAAAAGGTCTGAGAGAGCTGAAGAGATTCTCCCCTCTAGCGTCTGAAATGCTTAAAGTTCTGGTTGAAGAGAATGAATCTAAAGCTGTAAGTTTGCTATATTATAAAATCATTTTAAAATAGAGCCATTGTGTTAGTGATGTAAATGTTCTTGATTGAAACAGGGTATCTGGATGCATAAAGAGTTAATTCAGGTAGATTGCAGTGAGAATGGAGAAGTGTTGTCTGTCATTTGTCATAAGGATAAAATTTTTTCAGGCCATTCAGATGGAACTATCAAGGTGATTAAATTGTTACAATTTTTTCAGCACCTCCAATGATTTTTATGTGCTGAGAACAAACTGCTTGAATACCTGAGGTAGTCAACTGAAACTAAATCATTGCTTATTTTAACGAATATAAATGTCATTAAACTACCGATATGTGATTGATAGTTAGTGGAAATGCTGGGTTCATGCAAGACCTAATTATGTTCAAACATAGATCTATTATTGACAATAATGAATCCAATGACATGCAATTATGGGACGTGCTTGATGTAGATTGAATAGCTTTTTTTTTTTTTTTTTGGCCAGCTTGAGCTTGAAATTAAGGACGAACCAGCATCTGAATAAATACAAAAGTTATGATCTGATTTGTCTAACAACTTTGTGCAATATAAAAACTTAAGCTTATTTGACAAATTCCTTGTAACGTCTGAAGGTCTGGGCAGTAAGGGGGAGCTTATTCCATCTGATTCAAGAGACGCAAGAACACATGAAGGCGGTTTCAAGTTTGGCAATTTCAGAATCTGGTGACAGGCTATACAGTGGTTCGCTTGATCGATCTGTAAAGGTAATGTCATCTGCATTTTTTTTTGGAACAAAAAAACTACTGTTGCACTTTCATCTTAATGAAACTCTCCTTTCACTGATGACCAGGTCTGGTCTATAGGAAAGTCAGTAATACAGTGTGTACAAGTGCATGATATGAAAGATCAGATTCATAATTTTGCTGTAGCCAATAGCAAATTCTGCTACATTCCTCAGGGAAATGGTGTTAAGGTACCCCGAATATCCTGCTTGATTAATTGCTATGATTATTTGTTGTATTGTTTTCTTCTACTTGTCTCTCTCTGATTCTTTCTTTAAAAAATAAATCTACAAGTGGCCTAGTTTTAGCTCTCCTGGACTTGATGCTTCTTCTCTCCCTAATGAATGAAATGCTTAACAGTCAATCCTTATATACTAGTTAAAAAAGCAAAATGCTTAACAGTCAATCCTTATATACTAGTTAAAAAAGCAAAATGCTTAACAGTCAATCCTTACATACTAGTTAAAAAAGCAAAATCATTTATTCTTCTAAATTCTGAACCCACGTTATTATTTCTTAAGGTTCAATCATTGAATGGAGAATCGAGGCTGTTAAACAGTAACAAATACGTCAGATGCTTGGTTGTTCTTCATAAGAGACTATACTGCGGATGCCACGACAACAGTATTCAGGTAACAAGTCTTTTGAGTTCTGTTAGTCTAAACCCACCGTGATTATTTTCGCCATTCTAAAAGTAATACTCGTTTGAAATTTCAGGAGATAGATTTGGAAACAGGAACAGTCAGTACCATTCAAAGTGGTTCTAAAAGATTGCTTGGTAAAGCAAATCCCGTTTATGCCCTGCAAATTCGTGGTGAACATATGTATGCAGCCAGTTCTTCCTTGGATGGAGCTGTTATAAAGGTATCCTTCCTAAATGTAATTTCGACATATCTCTACCAGGAAATGTATCGAAGAAAAAAAAAAGAACGGAAAATTAAACAAATCGCGTGATTCCCACATCAGTGTTACCTCCAGAATGAACTTAATTCAAACTTAATGTTGACAAATTTAAAATAGTTCATAACTCAGACACGAGAGTTTCATTCTCCTTTGTTGTTTTCATCACCCCAGAATTTATTCAGATTCTTGAATAAACGACAGTTCTTGCCCAAGGGTTGAGAGTTTTGTAGCATGAAAACGAATAAAGTTGATCGATGCTACTTCAATGAATATTGTGCCGAAGTTACTCATCTAACACTATTTCGTGTTTGTTTGCAAGATATGGAACACTTCCAGTTACAGTATGATTGGATCACTGGTAATTGCATCAGAAGTGAGGACGATGGCAATGAGCTCAGAGTTAATTTACTTGGGATGCAGGGGAGGAGCTGTGGAAATTTGGGATAGGAAGAAACAGGACAGAATTGATACAATACGGATTGGTACAAATGGCAAGATTGCTTGCATGGCTGTCGATGGAAATGAAGAAACCTTTGTCATTGGAACCTCTGATGGCCGAATTCAGGTACCCTTCTCCCTTAGAATCCTATTTTTCGCTTGCATGCATTTTTTACAATTCCTTTCTCTTTTGGTATTCGAAGTTTGCTCCTTCATTATAGCTACTCACTTAGAAGCATACATGGTTGGCTTTTCCGATCGAATGGAAAAGGAAGTTTAATTATTAAACAATATTGTTTAATCCCTTTTCCTGAATCCTCTGATAATTTGCAGGCATGGGGAATAAACTAAGAGGGTGATAATAATTTTTCTGCTGGAGAGGAAAGGCTAACTCATCTGACCGATATTATTAAATTCGTTGACCCTTTGAAATGTTTTTGTTTGAGATATATTTTGTATGATGTACATGGCTTAAAAGTCTATACGCATAGAAATCTCCTCCTCCTCCTCACGCTAGGGTGTATCTATAGTATTAAACAAAGTCATTAGCAGAAGTTGCAAATGCAATGAAACTATGCCATATCTTGTTCCCCCAGGACAAAGGGGGAAAATGTTTCGGATGCTTATTCTTGCATATAATGCGTTGAGCTATCACAAAAAATTTAACCCTAGAAATGCATGATAACCTATGTTACATAGATTCATATCTTTACATGAATTCAAACATGGACTCCGAAACTCCAAAATGTGGAATTGCGACAACTTTATAAAATCACATAAAAGATCTTGAATCAAATTGGATTAGCTTTGGGGAAAAAATTGTCAGCCTGATATTTGGCGGTTTTTTTTAATAAAAAAATGGAGGAACAAATTTTGATATTTTTATAGTATTTGGAAAAATATTTTAAAAATCAAATATGATTCTGTTTCGACCCCTTTTAAGGGAATTTTTGAATAAAATTAAACCATGATCTAAAGAATAACTTCCGAAAAAAATTATTTAGATAAAGAAAAAGTTTTAGATAAAGTGTTTAAATAGTTGTTATCAAAAGCAACTTTTTTATGTGCAGAACTACAGATTACTAAAAAAGATATAAATTAATATGATAATTTTATAAAAGATATGTTTTTGTTTGAAATAATAAATTTGCAAATAATATATTTTTTTGCCTACATAATAAATCATATATGAAAAATATAATTAATTAATAATTAATGTGTATATATTTGTAAAATATAAGATTAAATGTGTTTTTAGAAAAATGATTATCTTACCTTAAAGATTTTAAACATGAAATCCCATAATATTTTTTGCAAAATTAAATAAACATACAGTTATATAATTAATGAAGAATTAGTGTGTATATAAAATACAAGAATAAATAATTCCATTAAACCTTCCCTCTTTTTTTCCACGGACGTCAGAATCTTGAAGCATGGTTTTGAGCTAAGCCGTGGTTTTCTTGAAATGGGCAGCGTTTGAATGATTTTCAAACCAAATCATTAGTGTGTATATAATTAATGAAGTGTGCGTGTATATAAAAGTGCTTTTTTGAAGTTTGCCAAACACTCCCTGAATTCCAATCAAACAAAATCATCCAATTGTTTTTCGTTTGGAAATAATGCAGTTAAAATATTACAATTAAGAAATATTTATTAACATTATTTTAAATGTAATTCTTAAATTTTAGAAAAATGTAAAAAATATTTTTAAAATAAAATAAATTCTGTTTCGAATCCTTTTAATCCCAATCTAACAAAATCGTCAAAGATCTTTTTTTTTCCCCTTTTTGAAATAATATGGTTAAAATATTTTTAAAATCAAATATGATTCTGTTTCAAACCCTTTTAAGAGAATGTTTGGATAAAATTAAATCATGGTTTGAAGAATAACTTTTGCGAATAAAATTATTTTGAGAATAGATTTTGTGATGTGATTTAGATAAAGAATGTTTAAATAATTGTTACCAGAAGTATTTTTTTATGTGCAGATTACTAAAAAGGATATAAGTTAATATAATAATTTTATAAAAGATATGTTTTTGTTTGAAATAATAAATTTGCAAATAATTTTTTTTGCCTACATAATAAATCATATATGAAAAATATAATTAATTAATAATTATTGTGTATATATTTATAAAATATAAAATTAAATGTGTTTTTAGAAAAATGATTATCTTACCTTAAAGATTTTAAACATGAAATCCCATAATATTTTTTTAAAAAATAAATAAACATAAATTTATATAATTAATGAAGAATTAGTGTGTATATAAAATATAAGATTAAATAATTCCATTAAACCTTCCCTCTTTTTTCCACGGGCATCAGCAAAATTTTTTCACCTTTTCTAAAACTTTAGTTTCTATACTAAAATCATGGTTTTGAGCTAAACCATAATTTTCTTGAAATGGGTAGCGTTTGAATGGTTTTCAAACCAAATCATAGTATGATATTTAAAAGTGTTTTTTTAAAGTTTACCAAACACTCCCTAAATCCCAATTAAACAAAATCATTGAATTATTTTTCTTTTGGAAATAATGCAGTTAAAATATTAAAATTAGGAAATATTTATTAACGCTATTTTAAATGTAATTCTTAAATTTTAGAAAAATGCAAAAAATATTTTTCAAATAAAATAAATTCTGTTTCGAATCCTTTTAATCCCAATCTAACAAAATCGTCGAAGATCTTTTTTTTTTCCTTTTCGAAATAATATAGTTAAAATATTAAAAATTTAAAAAATTTATTAATACTACTTTAAGTGTGATTCTTAAATTTTTGAAAGATGTAAAAAAATATTAATAATGTTTTAGTTTTGACGATTTTTTTTTCAGTGATGTGTTTTCAAATCCTTTTCTAATCCAATCCAAATCAAAATAAAATCCTGTGAATGGATTTATCACAGGATTTCCTCCCCACACTAAAACACTGTATGATTTCAGATTGATCCCTTATATATTTATAAAGAGGACGGAGACAAGGAGACATTGGTAGACTTAGTGAAGAGTAATTGAAGGAGATAGAGCGACTAGGAAAGAAGACACAGAGGAAGACATCTATCATTTGCATTGCACCGGGTATTTTTCTCCCCTAACTTTATTAATTTTAAAAAATTGTCATGTTGATTAATATGCTGTGACTTCGATTTCATGTTGACATTGTCCTCACGTGACTGTCAAGGTTTTATATATGTACGATTTTATGTTGTTGTTTTTTTTTTTTTTTAATTTTTTATGTTTGATGTTTAGCCATGGGTCATACATCATAAGGAATAACAATAAATTATACTCTATACCAACTTCCTCCGTTATTTTAGTTTATCAATGTACGTTTAATTTTGGATGTCAAGTCATCCAATGTTAACTATTTAGTGGCCTTTTTGGAAATGACTTACAAGTGATTTTTTAATTATGGTTTATAAAATATTATATATATATATATATATATATATGAGATGAGTTTTGTTTTGAAATATATAAAATGTGTTTATAAGCACTTATAGTTGGCAACACAAAGGAGGCCACAGACATTCCTCACAAGCATTTGGTGATGAAATGATTGCACCTTCTTAAGGGGTGTTTGGCAATCTTGAAAAATATTTTAAGAAGCACTTTTACGTAAAACGAGTTAAATTCCTCCATATATTTACTTCGTAAACCGTAAAAACACTTTTAAAACTAGGGTTTGGTTTCATCCAAACACTTTTTTAGTATTTGAGCTCTCTTCCTTCTCTAGTTGCCTCATTCATGGTCTTTTTCTTTTACACTAACCAAAAAAAAAAAATCTTTATGATGTTAGGTGCAACCAGTTTGAATGCTCATCATTTTAATGAGTACTTTAAAATCATCAAACCTATATCGTCTATATCTGATTTAAAATTTTTAATTAATTATTTTTAAACAGAAAAGAATTATTTTTTGAAAGAATGATAATTAAGAGATTATTTTTATCTTAGATTTTATACATATTAAAATAATTATTTTGAATAAATAAAAAAATTAAATCTGAACCATTTAAATGAAATACAGATGATTCAGATTTGATAAATTTATAGTGCCCATCATCTGAAATTGTTTCCCATATAATATACTTCAAGGGTCGATTTATATTTTATCACTTTGATAGTTGGATAAGTAATACGTACTGCAACTGAAGGTTTCTAATAACGTGCAGCGTGTTCCGCCACCTGAACTTTGTTATTCTGTTAGGGATAAATGGCTGCACCAACGAATGATCCAGAGCCATGGACTCCAACTTGTTTGGATGATCCTATCGAAGAAGAATTAGTGAAGCAGAAGATGGAAAGATATATAAATAAACTTGAGAACTCGCAATTCTATCATAATTTTCGAGAACAGCTACAGACTCCACCAATATCTGAGCATTTATCTAGAATTTTGGGGTTGGAATCAAATATGAAAATGGTAATTTATGGTATTGGTAAAATTGAATTGCATGAAAATCCTAGATGGCAGCTTAGTCTTGTGATATTGATGAAAAAAGATTTTAAATGGATTGGAGATATAGAAGTATTTGATCCTTTTCTTTCTGCAACTGAATGCAAAATTTTGGAAGCTCTTGGTTGTATTGTTTTATCATCAAACGAACACGGGAGGAGGAAAGCTCTACAACCAACCATGTTCTTCATGCCATACTGTAGCTTCACATTATACAACAACCTTTTAGAAGCAAATTGGAAACTTAGTTATTGAGTAACATTGTCTTATTTGGGAATAGGTTGAAGACTTTAGATATCATCAGATGAAACATATTTCAACTGCCGCAAAATTTACACTCGAATTTTACTCAAAAGTGATCATCATCATGCTTTTACAGATTTAAGTTGGCAGTTTTTTAACCCTATTGCGGAGACAGAACTCCAACTTATAAATGGTCGTCCTTTGGATGGAGGTAGAATAGAAAGGAAAAATTGTAATCTCTCTTTAAATAGAGAGATAATAGAAAGGAAAAACTCCAACAAAGTTGAAATTTTGATTCAAGAAGTGAAAAGATGCTTGGAGAATTTTGAGGTCTCTGAATTTTATCATAGTTTTCGAGACAAGCTACAAAATATGCTGATATCTGAATTTTCACCTAAGGTTTTGGGATCAGGGTCCAAGATGCAAATTGCAATTTATGGAATTGGCGAATTGAAAGGAAATTTTATGTTACATCTTAGTCTTGCAATATTGATGAAAAAAGATTTCAAATGGATTGGAAGCATAGAAGTATTTGATTATGTTCCTTCTGCAACTAAATGTCAAGTTTTAGAAACTTTTGGTTGTTCCGTCTTATTGCTCAAGGAACATGAAATGCGACGATTCTTGAAACCAACTATGTTCTTCATGCAAAACTGTGCTTTGGGATTATACAACAATCTCATGAAAGCAAATTGGAAGCCTGATCTATTGAGTAACATCATTGTTTTATGCGGAAACAACTTTAAGGAATGTAAAGATGTGATAGATTCTTCTATGGGGTATCTTCATCAACCAAACAAAAGGACATTAAGGAATTTTCTTTCAGACTCAATGGGGCATATTCTTGCCGCTCAAACATTTACAAATGAGTTCAGATTCAAAACAATTTTTCAGGATCATCATCAAACTTCTCAAGATTCAAGTTGTTGGGAGGACTATTATGATGCTTTTTATCATTCAACTTGGCATTTCTTCGGACCCGTTTCGGAGACACAGCTAAAATCTATGAATGAAGTGATCCAAAAGGGGGAAATTGTACTATAAATAACATTTGTTTTATTTTTTTTTTCAACCTTCAACTAGCGAAGAAAGTATTAGCAGAAACTTGTGAAGAATAAGAGTGTGAATATAAAGCAACTGTCTGCCCTTTTACGCTTATTTTCTCCTTTCTAATTAACCTCTTTCTTATTATAATTTATCTTAATATACAAGACTAAACTCGGATGGCAATAAACTTTCATTGTTCTCCTAAACCTCAGAGCATTTATTTTTTTTCACAAACAAAAAATTATCATCTGGTTTACTATTGAAAAAATGAAAAGTAAGTTTTGACGATTTTACTTATTTTTTAAACATTATTGTCAATTTAGTTGGATTATCGATAGATAAGCTCCATTATTTTAGTCCTTTGAATTAATTAATTTTCTGAATTAAAGTAATTTCACATGTCGTGCAGAATTACAATTACTCATTGGTTAATGGAATAATAAGTGACACAAATGAAAGTTTAACATCACTTGCAGAGACAGATAACAAATAGGAGAAAAGAGAAGAGGAATTTATTGTGATTTATTTCTCTAGTAGACATTCATCCGCCATTGCAGTGCCAAACAGGGGACATGGGACTGTATTAAAAATGAACTCATTATGTTTAGATAAGATCTCAAGTTTGAACTTATCATTAACATGTGTGTGTAAGTTCTTAAATTGATTATACTAAAAACATCTACATGAATACTTTCAAGACAAAATCACCCTATAGCCCAGAAAATTCAGCATACTTTTAATAAAGGCCTTTCAAATGTTAATTTTAAAGTTTAAATCATTCAGTGGTAATTTCTCCCCTCTTATTCTTCTTTGGTCTTTCTCTAGCTTTGCCTCATTTCTCTCCTTGCTTGGCGCAATTATTTTTTTCTCTTTTGGTCAATATAAATGGGAGATAAGTATCCCTCACATAGCACATGGTGCTCTGTATCAAAACACCAAAACCATCTACAATTTGACACTATTGAGTTGTAGAAATTGAAAATCTGTTGAATGGGTGAGAAACCTGTAACCAGTGAGAAGAAAGGAGTAGAGAAACCTTTAAGAATGCTTCAGTTTCTCTAAATTTTAATGATAAATGAAAGTATGAGTGATCTGTTTTGATGGAGTTTTTAATTGGCACCCTTTAACAAGTAATCATGTCCATTTATTAATGAACTTGGATAAAATATGTATTAGAATTTTTCATTCAAAGGATACACATCCTTGAATGAATGTTTATTCTTTAATGAATATAAAGAATATATATCTGATTCAATATTCATTCGTTAATGGCACTCAAAGAATGCATCTCTTCATTCCATGTCTCAAACATACATTAGTTCTTGAACATTTTCCTATAATAATATATCAAATTAAAAATAAGTTAATTTAATGAGGACCAATTCATCCAAGATTCTATTAAGCGAACCTTGAACTTACACTTCAGCCAATTTAATGACTATCCCAATTTTTAAAACCTCAATATAAATTTGGAAGACATTTGTAGATATAAGAAGGTACATATAATTATGAGGATTTTATATAGATAATGACAATAGATTATTTTCTAATTTTTTTCAAAATCTTTAACTATAATAATACATGAGTTATGACAAATTAAAAAAACAGTTTATATTTACAATTATATATTCAAATGTAAGTTTCCATTTTAATTAAAAAAAGAATACTGAGGCAGTGCAAAGTACTACCTCAGGCTCTTAATATAAAAGTTAGTTTGACTTTTAATTTAGTTTTAAATATAAGACACCAATACATTTTATCTCTCATATTTATTTAGTTTTTTTCAAAATAATTCTTGTAGAGATTGCATATGTTAAATATTCAATTAAATTGTAGTCTTAGCTAATATATAATTAATAAAGGTATTCTAGGGGAAAAAACACCTGAGTAACCTAATAAATTTTTTTAATCTATTTAAATTAGTCAACTAATTTTTATATTAATGATTAAAAGTAATAATTTACAAGTTACAACCAAGGTTTGCCAACAAAACTGCCGCTGTCCTGCTGGGTGCATGTTTGGTGAAATGCATGAATGAATGTGATAAAGAGATGCAGAATTTAAATTATTAATGATCATTTGTTAGATCATGATTTGACCCCAAAAAAAGAACCTGAAATTAGGAATGAAAATATCCGATAATTATAACTTCACCAAAACATATTGACCATCCCGCAGTCTACAGAATCACGGATTTATTCCATTCACACATTCTTGACATGAATCAGAGTTATCCCAAATACTGCTTGGCTTTCTTTGACATTTTAAATTTTATAATAAAACATGTGAATGCTTCAGGTGAGTGCTTAAGACATTACAATTACATTATCGGTAATAATAAGTATGAGATATTATTAAAAATTTATAAAATAATTATTTTTATATAAATTTAATTTAATTTAATCTAAAATTAGATTAATTTAGCCAGCGAACAAACTCTGCTACGTTTTTTGACTTGTCATGTTGAGTCTTTCTCATTTTCCATTTTTTCTTTTTGGATTGGATGTTGTTGCCCACTCTTCTTACGTGGCACTAGTTAATTGGGCTAAAGTAATCATAGTCCAAGTCAGACACCCTGGCCATTGAATTTTTTTTTATGAAATCATTTTTTAAAAGCGAGTTTAAAATGCGCGGACTCCAAATTATATTATCAAATATAGCACAATATCGAGTAAGGTCCGTGGAAATGCAGGGCTTGCCCCTATATATAGCACACGGGTCTGCGGCTTTCCCACTGAACCGGGATTAGTGTAATACACCGCCATTGTTGTTACTTCACTTTGTTCAGGCGGCATAGATGGCTCCTATCGCAGTTGGAGATGTGATTCCCGACGGAGTTTTGTCCTATTTGGATGAGAATAACAAACCTCAAACCGTGTCTATCCACTCTATCGCCGCCGGCAAGAAGGTCATCATATTCGGTGTTCCCGGTGCCTTCACTCCTACCTGCAGGTGAGAGCTCTTCGATTTCACTATTATCCGCAGTTTATTGCATATGACAGTTAGGCGAAGAAGAAATTTGCGACCATAATGAACCCTAAAGTTTACCCGATCAAACTGCTTCTGGCCGAAATCAGTGTACAGCGAATCGGCCTTGATCAAAATGCGCTGTTTTTTTAATTCCTGTTGCATTTTTTGTGCGTCGCTTTAATCTCGCCCTTTTTCTCTTGATCGAAGTCGATGGTAGGGTGTCTGTGTCTTTCAGGTATTGAATGTAAAATTGTTGGGGCTATCTCTTCTGGTTACTTCATTTTATAGACCTGACCCAAGTCTGAATGTTTTCCTCAGCTGTTTAAATTCTTGTGGAGCTTGGGACTGCGGAATGATTATTGAACGAATAACAGATAGGAAATAAAAGTCCGTGAAAGACACTGTCATTGTCGCAAGCCAAAGTCGATAGGATCCTAAAATTTTATATTTTGGAATAATACATAACTATCCTAAGAGGATATGCATATATTTTCAACCTCGAACTGAGTATAAAGTTTTTTTTATCTGATTTTAAAATTACATTTTTATCCATCTAACAGCTTGAAGCACGTGCCTGGCTTCATTGAGAGAGCAGAGGAGCTGAAAGGAAAGGGTGTGGATGAAATCATCTGTGTCAGTGGTAATATATCGCTTCTTAATTTCTCTTCCCGAAATTTTTTTTCTCCGAATGGATCTTCATCCAAAAGATGCATGCGCTAGTGAATTTCTATCAATGGTATAGACTACTTTCCTATGCTGCCGCTTACTCACCGGTGCCTTTAATTCATTCAATCTGGCCCAGTCAAAACTCTGAATATGTTGCACAGCCATGGCTTTTTATTTTATTTAAGTGAAAATTATCTGCAAGTCTTATAGTGTACTCAATTTTGAATCAGGTTTAATTGTGCCTTTATTATGTGACTCATTAATTTTAATTTATAGGCTTTGTGGAATTTCATTTATAGAAATACATGAAGGAGATTCCATGAAGTCCATAAGATCCTATAAATTAAAATTTAAGGTTTTTACACTCGAGAATGAATATTATTCATAATGGATCAAGGCTCGAGGAGGATTTGTCATTAGTAGTGTCGTGAGTTGAATAAAAGACAAGAGTCTCCTAAATTTCAAAGAGCCGTGCAAAATGAAACTAATGTAACTGGGATGAGCTCGTAAGCATGAGATTTATGTTGATATAGATCGTTTCATTAGGTGGCTGATTTGTGGTTAAATATAATGTTGCAGTTAACGATCCATATGTAATGGGCGCATGGGCCAAAAGTTTCCCTGAGAACAAGCATGTGAAGTTCCTTGCTGATGGTTCCGCCAAATATAACCAAGCTCTCGGGCTGGAGCTTGACCTTACAGAGAAAGGCCTTGGCACCCGTTCGAGGAGGTACGCCCTCTTGGTTGATGATCTCAAGGTGAAGGTTGCAAATGTTGAGAATGCAGGAGAATTCACAGTCTCCAGTGCTGAAGATATCATCAAAGCTCTGTGAGCCCCCCCCCCCCACATGTCTTTATGATGCTGCGTGTCTTTAGTCCCTCCTCTCCGTTAGCTTCTTTTGTGTGTGCTTGCGTTTTCTGATATTCCAAGCATTTTGGTTTAAGTATGTAATATGTGGTTTAGAGGGGATGTGACATACTGCACATGGAAATAATACAGCGGCTCTTTTCTTGTGAGTTATGACTACTGGTGTCTTTGTCAAATTCACTGTGCATATCTGATAGAAAAAGCATATATTCATGAAGATAATTACGCCAATGGCCTTCTCAAGGGATGTCATTGACCGTTGGATGCCCATCGTAACACTACCACGGTATGCAATTCATGGAACAGACGGCAGCATCAGAATTATCGCTGCGAAATACGGGCCCATGTTACCGGGAGTCCGGAGATAAGACAAGTTGGTGGCAACTAACGGCCTATCAGATTCAACAAGTTGGACCTTTTGTTTTTTCCTTCCCCACGGATTTTCCAGTAGAGGCCTGTTAACAGGAGTTGAATGATTGAAAAGAATTAGATAACTAATTTAAATTTGATGAGATTAAAAAAATTAGTTATGTTAGTTATTTGTAACAAATGCGTATTTGTATTTTCAAATTATTTTTATTCAATCATATGTATTAAAATGACACTTATGACACTAGGGTGGAAATGTTTTACAATAGATAAAAGTATTTTTAAGAACAAATTATAAATTAGAGGGAAAAAATAAATTAAAATCTTATATTTAAATAGTTTTTACTGGAGCTAGTGTATAACTTCGAAGCTTTTCTTGTGTAAAATAACTCAAACTTCAGTTGGATGTTAGGCTAAAACAAATGGTAGCACAAAATCCTCATTCTTTAGGGGAGTGTTCGGCTATTCGAAACGAGTGTGTTGGGATGTTCATTTGTGTGTTAATTTAAATTTATGAAAAAAAACTATACTGTGGTATTCAGAACCTGATTGAGGAATTGATATTAATTCTATATGTAATATATATTTTACATGCTTATCAATTTTTTCGCAAATTAACTTTACTGATATTCTTTTAACGACAATCAAGTAAAGGAGGGAGAAAGGAAAAGAATTAAGAAAGATATTTAGAATATTTTAGGAAAAAATATCACACTAATTAATTTAACTAATACTACCTCCGGTTCTTAACATAAGATCTTAATCCACTTTATCTTTAATATTTATGTATTTTTTGTCCAAGATAGTCCTTCTAATAATAGTAGTTCTAACCAATATAATTGATTAGCAAGGATATTTTAAGAAAGACAACACCTATTTATGGCAAATAAATAACTTAATTTTTTCTTTAATCTCCTCAAATTAGTTAACTAGCTCTTATAATTAGGATTAGAAGTAGTATTATTAATCTATTTGGATTAGTTAATTAGGTCTTTCATTAGTTTCATTAGGGCAGAAGAAGTAATTTTCAAAGTGATTAATTTTAGATATAGCGTAAAGCCAAGTTTTGTAATCTTACCAAGCACTTGTGAGTCTTGATAGTTGTGATACGTTAATTTGTGGTTCCGTTTGATTGGTTGGCCAGTTCTTGAAAGTATCTGTTCTAAGTCAGGCCAAGAAAAAGAAGCCATTTTCTATGGTTGTTTGTGGCAGTTAATGACACTAATCTAGTTGCACCGAATCCAATGGTTTATATCTGATAAAACAATTTTAAGTAACCTCCACCCAAAAATTTTGTAACTTCATAAATCTAAACATAGTTGAAAAGTTAATCGATTCTGGTAGTTCAGGTATTGGTGGCTATGCCTCTTTTTCTTCGAACCATCGTAAGGCTTTTTCCATCAAAGCATAGCATATATTTTTTTCAAGAGCTCAAATGATTCCAAAATATTTTAAATGGAAAACTCAATAACAAGAAACTAAATGTGATTTGTTTGTGGATTTCACACACATATATCTCCTTTGCAGTTGCCCTCTCACGGAGATGCCGAGTGCAGAGTCAGACGAAAGTTCCAACAGTTGAATGATTTGAATTTTTTTTATTTGCCTTGTGAGAATTAATATTAATATATTTAATACTTCTTCGATCTTTATTATAGGTTTCAAATAATTAATTTAAAAATAACAAATAATTAGTTAAAATTAATAAATAAATAAAAATATATTTTTATTTTTAAATATACTCGTATAATAAATAAGAAAACTAATGAAAAAAGTTATAAGATAGAGTATGACTAATGAGTAATAATAAATAGTTCAGAATAAGATTAGAAAAATGCGTTAAATATGCAAACAAATTCAAATTAAAACTTATAAAATATATTATATTTCTCTTCAAATTTAAAGCTTATGTATAACACGGGACGGAGTAAATTTTTGCAATATGTTACCCTTGCGGGACAAGATTTGGCTGGCAAGAGGGAAAAAACAGAGAGACCATGTTTGGATCAAAAGTGGGATCAACGACAATCACACACGTGGGTCCACTAGGTCCATCCGTCCCAATGCATGAGCATTTGGTTTTTTGTCGTTGTCCTCTTCCTTCTCATTTGAACTTTGTTAATTAAACAAACATCCTAAAAGACTGAATCAACTATAATTAATGGGGTGAAAGCGTGATAATCATATAAAATTTGTAGTGTTGTTTCTTGTTTGTTTGTTTCTGATCTCAGTGACTCCACTTTACAGCATTGCTTTATGTACGGAAGGCAATCTTCTAGACTGAGTCAACGGGGTTGAGAGATTGTTCTAATTTTTGAATCTTTTTATTTGATTATCTAATTAAATTAGGCTTTAGTATTGCGGAGCTCAATTGGAAGCAGATCTCTTAAAGATGGCAAACAAAAAGATCTTAGGGGAAGTGACAAATAAAGACCCCCAAATTATCAAAATTACGTAGAGGTCACCTAAATAAGCAAAATTATCATGAAGGATCCAGTCTCATATTGTAAATATGAAATTTTAGCAAAATGTCTGAAATGCCCCTCAGCCAAGTTGTGATTTGGTATATTGAAGTTGTCATTTGCTAAAATAAACTTTTATTTCCTATAGTTAACTTGTTATTTGACATACCTCCAACCAAGTTGTGATCTGATCTACTGAAGTTATCATTCGTTAAAATGAACTTATTATTTCCTATAGTCAACTTGTCATTTAGCTGAGAAGCATTTCAGACATTTCACCAATATTTCATATTTGCAATATGGACTGAGTCCCTCATATTAATTTTGCTTATTCAAGTGACCTATGCATAATTTTGATAATTCCGGGTCTTTATTTGTGATTTTTCCAAGATTTTATTCTGTTTAAAGTTTTCTATATTCAGATAAACTCAAAATCATAATCTTATGTATAAGCGGCTAAAATTCCTTCCAATAAGATCAATACTTGTTAATTATTTTTTTTATTTTTTTTCTTTTTTGCATCTCTAGCCAACAATTCATTGGCCATAAAATTGCTTATTTTTTCTGCCAAAAAAATTTGCATTGCTTATAGATCGAAAATATATAGTTATATAGGCAATCCTAACTTTATGAATATAGCTTTATTTAGGACTCAAACACTCCACGCAATTTTCAGGCCAAAAAAAAAAAAACACCCCGATGGAATGATATACAATTTTTTTTTTAAGTGGGTACTTTACTCTATACACACGCCGTTAATTAATTATTTAGTTGCTACGTTATTATCACATTCAACCCACAGTCTTCAAGGTTTTCGATTCCATACTTCACTTTTGGAGACCGTGCAAGGGCAGCATGAAAACGAAGTATTGGTCTCATATATCTCCCACCCTCCCACACTATCTTTAGCTCTAATAAAAGGTCAATACCATGTTTTTTTTAAAAAAAAAGTATGCATTTACCTATTTTGATGGTATAAGATTATTTTCAAGTCTAATTAAAAGCTGAAAAAAGTAAAAGTAGCTATTGTAATATCATTTTTTCAAGGTATTGAAAATCAGACCGATCATTAAACCAGTTAAGATTGTAGGTTAGATCATAGTCAAATCGAGGGTCAAACTAGTAAAAAAAATTAAAAAATAATTTAAATTTTTATTAAGAATTAAATATCAATTAAATATCTTAAATCACTAATAAAATAATTATATACTTATAATTTCTTTTCGACATTTTTGCAATTCTTTTGATAAATTAAAATCATAATATCATACTATTAAAATCACTAAATGTTCATCCTAACAAAATATCAAAATAGATATATAATAACAAAATATTTCTCCATGCAGTTATTCAATTACTAAGTCCTAATTATCAACATCTTTTTAAAAAATCATCAAAATAACTTTTTTAAAAAGGCAACCAAGTTAACCCACCAAACCAATCGGGTTACTTAGGTTATTATCAGTTTACCCTTTGGGTTGATCTAGGTCACATCGAGTCAAATTTAATTCTAGTTTCAATGCTTAACTGGATCGGTTACCAGGTTGGTTCACTTTTTTTTTGTCTAAACCAACCGGTTTGGTCCGGGTTTTAATACATAACATTATTTTGTTATTTATAAAAAATATGTTAATTTTTTAAAAATATTCTTAACTTAAAAAAATTATAAATTTAAAAAATAAAGTAAATTGATGCTTTATATTTAGGGGAAAAAAACCTCATATAATTATTTTTGCCTTTAAGATTGGAGAAATTACATGACACTAAAGCAACATGAGATGGGGTGATAAATATCCTCGGCCTTAATAATTAAATATTAATAACATACATATGATTAATTTTTTTTTCCAAAATTAAGTTCTTATCAAGAATTATAAAATCAAATTCCTATAAGAAAGATGGCCACGAAACAAAAGAAGATGTTGGATGGTTTTGGGAGAATGTCCAGCAAAGGCTTTGAATTTTTTTCTGATTCTTATCCCGAACTACCCTGTCAGTCTTATAAAGTAGTAGTAATTTATTTTTTATTATTACTGAGAGATTGTTCTGCTGTCAAAAATATCACATTACAGTTCTAAGAACTATGAAGGATAAACTTAAGGAAAATAAGATATAATTTATTCTTGACAATTCAAAAATAATTTAAATTTTATAAAAAAAATTAATTATTAATACTACCAATGGTGAATCATCAATAAATCAACACAATTTATAAAAGCCCATAGGTCAAGAATAATTAGGTCATAATATCGCTGGTAAAAAAAAAAGGTCATAATATCCACATCTAATGATATCATAATTCGTTAACTGTTATATTTGTCGAATTTACAGTTGGAAAGCAGGAAGGAGGAGGATAGCTGTAGGTGCCGTTTGAAAGAGGGACCCATTCGTTTAATTCAAAATTTTTTTCTGTTGGATTTGAAATTTATTGAGAGGGACGAAAAGGTGCAACGACTCGCAACTCACCAGCACTACTTCCTAAGTTCAACCCTCTCACTACTATTCCCCCACACATTCTTTTATTCCACTTCTTCTCAGACTATTTTTCTACTTCGATATTTCTTGAAAATAGCGGAGAGGCCTTTGTTTTTTTTTTTTTTTTTAAACGCAAGTTAATATATGCAGTGCCCTTTAACATGCCCAGAGACCAGGATCCTTGCAGTGTCGCCTTCTTTCTTCGTTTCCTTTTCCACTTCTAAGTTTTAAGCTTTATCCTGAGCTCTTGAGGAGTCAGTGAGTGAGGCATATCCTACTAACATCAGAATTTCTGAAGATGAGTGCTTCAAAGTTCATTAAATGTGTCACGGTTGGAGATGGAGCTGTCGGCAAGACCTGCATGCTCATCTGCTACACCAGCAACAAGTTCCCTACTGTAAGTCTCTTCAAATTTTGAACCCCATCTCTCAAGATTTCCTTTTGTTTTTTCGACTTCGGCTTATTTTTTTTTATACGGTGTTCATCAAAATACAAAACTATGATTGGGAAAAAAAAAAAAGTCAGAGAAGAACCGGAGCCTTCCTCCGTGGTTAATATTTGGGTTTAACCTCAATCTCTCTATATGTTCAGGGCATTTCTTCCATATCTTAGATTTTTGATGATATGTGTTTCGATCAGTTTGAGACTCACTGTTTTCTTTTCTTTCTTATCCTGGTGAAATCTGGTGTATCAGGACTATATACCCACAGTATTCGATAATTTTAGTGCCAATGTGGCCGTGGATGGGAACATTGTCAATTTAGGACTCTGGGACACAGCAGGTACTACTATTCTTCTTGCTCTAACTAGCTTTACAATTAAGGTTTCATGTCAAGCACAGTGGCGTTTTGGTTTGGTTCTTTCTCCTCTCTCTTGATACATTTGTGATTATGTTTTTTGAAGGTCAGGAAGATTACAGCAGGCTGAGACCACTGAGCTACAGAGGTGCAGACATTTTTGTGCTGGCATTCTCATTGATTAGTAGAGCGAGCTACGAAAATGTTCTTAAGAAGGTATAAACTTTTAAGTCAAGGCCTTACTTTGCATGATGCTTTGTTATGATCTACATTTGGTAACACTAGTGGAGTCCACTTATGACCTGCTTGTTTTCATCTTAAACTGTTGATGTCCTTGAGAAATTTGAGAATCCCAATTCATCTGCTTCTTCCACTTTTTACATTTTTGTTCCCAGTTTTTAGACAGTGGGTATTACTATTTTATGCATATAACTCTTAAGGAACAACCTCGATGCAGTGATTCATTTCAAATTTCCTTCTGTTTTTCTTCAGTGGATGCCTGAACTGCGAAGATTTGCACCTAATGTTCCAATTGTTCTTGTTGGCACAAAGTTAGGTGAGCAGCAAACAGAAAGTTTTGGAATTTCATATGCTGATAACTCTATCTGCACTTAGTGAATAGTTAACTGACATCAAGAACTTGGTATGCATTTTAGATCTTCGTGAAGACAGAGGATTTTTGGCTGATCACATGGGATCTAACGTTATAACATCTAACGAGGTTTCTATTCTTTATATTAGCTTTGTTTAATGAATGATCATGAAACACTTTTGCAATGAAAGGAACTCATTCACTGGTCATCGTTTATTGCCAATAGGGGGAAGAACTGAGGAAACAAATAGGCGCAGCAGCTTATATCGAGTGCAGTTCAAAGACTCAACAGGTTTGGGAATTTAGATATTTCGTGGAGTATCTGTTGCTTTGTAATTGTATGTGCAGTACATTATGACATAAAGCTTTTCATAATGATGTCTTTTCATGGTTCAGAATGTGAAAGCAGTGTTTGATACTGCAATTAAGGTTGTTCTCCAACCTCCAAGGAGACAGGAAATGGAAAGGAAGAAAAAGCATAGAAGGTCTGGTTGCTCATTCGCGTAAGTTCCTGACTCTTGTTTTCTCAGCGAAGCTCGTTTACTTAAAAAGCATTACTTTTAGCATTTGACAATGGTGGTCGGATATTCTGATTAACTCCTCCCTTTTATACTTCGATTACTGATCAAAACAATCCTTAAATGATAAGGGGAAAGAGAGTTTGAAAACATCAAAGTCTATCAGTATCAGGTCTAGTGGCTTTCACTAGTTAGCAATTCATGAATGTTTGATCTGCAAAATGAAAATTCCCATGGCTTTTCTGTGTTCTAGAACTATCTCTTCCCACACCCATGCAGTTTTTAGGGGAAATGCTAACAAGGTGTGTCTTTTGCTGATTGACAGAAGTATTGTGTGTGGAAGTTGTGCAGCTTATTAATACATATCAGAAGCATCATTACCAACCTACGTTTGATATGGAAGTTGCCCTGGAAAAGCCATCAACATTTCCTGACATTTGATTACATATTTAAATGTATCCTTATGACTGTATTGTAGTCGCTGTAAGATGATAGTATAACGGGTGGTCCATTCATTTCAGACTTACTGGTGGAGGGAATTATTCATTCTCTCGTTTATTATTACTCAGCAGTATATGTTTTACAAACATGTTTAGCTGAGAAAGCCTTTTGTTTCATTTGTTTCATTTTTCACTGGAAAGTTTTTAAGAGAAGTGATATAGTGATGGCTCATTTGCTTTTTGCTCTTATCTGTAGAAATTTCACCGTTCGTTCACAAGGTTCCCCAAGCCAATTTGAGGAATCTAAGAGAATCACTTTCTTTTACTCACATTTTGGCACTTCTTTAAATGGTGAATTAAAGACATGTCAATTGTATCATGTGAGTTTCATAGATTTGAATTTTAACTGTAATTGATGGTTCTGTGATAGTGTTAACTTGAATTTGCACTTGGTGTATTGTCCTAGTGGCAAAGTAATCCCCTTACCTAGGGAAGGTAGAGAGGGTTTTATCCCTCACGGGCGGGTTTGCCTTCCTTTCCAATTGAAAAAGGAAAAAAAAGTGTTAACTTGAATTTTATCAGTAAGTGTGTCATAATGTGACTAACTGTAATGAAGTCTCGTTCTTGCTTTGAGTTCAATACTTGGCATGGATGCCTTTTGCTTTCCACCTTCCGTTCCCAAGATTTTCCGTTTCTCATTAAACGAAAAAGGGGACATTACCAGCTAGAGGCAAAACACTCTTATGAAGTAGGTGGTGCATGCATGGAGGATTAATAGAAATGGTCTTTTGTTTTTTCCAATCAATAGTGGTTAGTTCCAGAGATGGAAACTAAGCCATGATTTTAAAAATAATTTTACGGTATACTAATCAAGCATATGAGAGGAGTTTTTTTCTCAACTAACGTAAAATGTTTTTAGAAAGCACTTTAGGAGAAACTAAACACTCCCCAAATAGAAGATGTCCATGTTCAAATCATTTTAAGAAATGTCAATTGTTCAAATATCATAAATTAAAAAAGTCATGTCAAAGAATTTATTTTTAATTAGATTTGATAATATTCGAATCTAACTTGATAGTATTTAATATCAAATAACTATATCATGTGTATGAGAGTGTGTGTGTGTGTGTTTGATGTTGATGCACAGAAGTGGTCCTGTCTTGATGGTGTTGCAGGCAGGGAGAAACACGAGTGATGAGAGGAGGAGCCATTTAGATTTAGTTGGGGATTGATTGCAGAGTGAGTGTAGAAGGGACGTGGCGTTGCATGTGCCATTACTTCCCAAGTGAAATGAAATGACCCTTCCACCTTCATTCGTGAATGTTGCCATCCAATTTTAAGACACCAAGCCACAGAAAATGAAACATGCTCTCTCTTTTTTTAACACGATTTACATCGTCTTCTTTTGAACTATTTGGCTGGAAGAAGAAAGCGAAAGCGATTATTTTCTCACCTATTTCCAATGCCAATCCTGCTATTATAGTTATTACTTACTGCTACCATTTCTATGTTACTTTTACTGGTTTTTAATGATACAATGGTCATTTCGCTTGTTACTTCTTTTCAATGCTTCTTATTCTGAGTTTAAATAATCGTGTTAGAATTATTTTCTATACCTTAAAATTAAAATCAGTTAATAATTTAGTTCCACAGTTACATGTATGAAAAATTGAAAATAGTAATTAAATTAAGAAAATAATGATAAGTGGATGGATTTGCATATGTTAATTTGAAGTAGATGACCCAATGGAGGAGGGGTTTAAATTGTAAATTTAAAAAAAAAAAAAAGATCGTCAATAGTTAGTGAGGCCCAATTAGCATAGAGAGGATCCACAGCCTATATATATGGGTTTTTACGAGCGAGTAGCCTATTTACCGTAAAGCTGAAAAAAAAACAGGTGAGATTTTTTTGAAAAGGAAAAATCCAAAAAAACCCTTAAAATATAGAAAATTTCAGATTGGGTTCTGAAATTGTGTAAATAACAAAAAAAGTCAATAACCCAATCTGTCATTTGTAAAATCAAGAAGAATTAATAACTTTACTCTCATTTGTATTCATTTACTTCAATGATTTAAGAAATTATTATAAGGGTTTAGACGTTATCTAGATTCGTGTAAAGAATACTTACTCACTTTTTCGTAGTCAAGTGCCTTGTTCTTAACTACAACTAATCATGTAATCACTAAAACAGTGTACGCGTTACTTAGGTTCGTGTAGAGAATAACTACTCACTTTTTCGTAGTTAGGTACCTTGTTATTAACTACAACTAATCATATAATCACTAGAACAGTGCAAGCGTTACCTAGATTTGTTTAGAAAATAATTACTCACTTTTATTTAGCCAGGATAAAGTTGTCAATTCCTCTTGATTTTACAAATGATAGATTGGGTCATTAACCCTTTCTGTTATTTACACAATTCCAGGACCAAATCTGGAATTTTCTATATTCTAAGAGTTTTTTCTGGGATTTTTCCATTTTAAAATTTTAATAGAAAGAAAATAGGAAAAATGACAACATAAAAAAAACTTGGGAAATGGTGAAGTCCCAATTCAGACACATAAAATTTTAAAATTTTGGGAGAGGAAGTAGTACTTGATCTGATATTTTATAAATATAGTTAAATAACTAACTTGCCTTTGTTTCAAAAATTTTATTAACAAGTCATAAACTGATAATGATAAGTATTAAATAACAAATAAAAAAATGTATTGACAATGACAAGTTGTTTATTAATAAGTTGTGAATTGATAATAACAAGTATTAAATAACAAATGACAAGAAATTCATTAGTAATGATAAGTTTGAAACAATGACATTTTAGTCATTTAACTATATTTATAAAATACTAGATCAGACATAACTTTTTTTTTTTAGGGTTTTGAAATGTTAGATGCTTAAATTGAGGTTTCACAATTTCTACCTTCTTTTCTGTCTTTTTCCCAAGAAAATATAGGGTAAAAGACTAAAAAATAATTAGAAACTTTAATTTTTTTTAAAACTCTTTTAAATTGAACTAATTGGAATCTCCTTGTTCATCTCTCTCTCTTTGTTTTCCTTTAAACAGATAAACGAATAAATGAAAGATGCTTAAGCTTTACATAAATAAAACAAATTATAAATGAAAAAACATAAAAATCTTAACAATATACGCATAAATAGGGGGAAAAGAACACTTGAGTCTAATATTTTAAAATTTTAGTGGAGAAGTAAGATTAATCTCTTGATATAATAAAAAATAGATTCATTATATTTCTTGTACATGTAAAACCCCATCAAAACTTAACAAAATTTTCATCTTGGAAAAAAATAGTTTTTTAATCTATTTCTTTTGACTATAATAATATATGAAAAATTGCAATAAGGTCCTGGTCAAAGAAATTAAATACAAGAAGATCTCTTAAAATTATCAAATTATTCTGAGGTTCCAAGAGACCTCGTTACAAAATATTTAATTTGTCTAATTACCAAATTGCCTTTATTTTTTTTAAGTTTGCATTGATAATTGAAAGAGTATTTATTAACAACTTAAGATGTAAGGATTAACAACTATCGCGACAAGTATTGACAATGCAGTTTCTCAGCACATCACAAAATATAATGTATGAGTTATCAATACCTGTCATGATAATTGTTAATGCTTACACCTTAAGTTGTCAATACAAACTTAAAAAAAAAAAAAGAAGAGACAATTTGATAACTAAACAAATGAATTTCTTACAATGAGTTTTTTGAGACTTCAAAATAATTAGATGATTTTAAGAGACTTTTTTGTATTTAATTTTTTTAGATGGGACTTTGTTACAATTTTCCCATAATATATCGATTGAAACTAATTAAATATTAAATAAATGCCGGCGAAAATATTAACTATTAAATAAATAATCAGTCAAACCAACTGAAATTGTCAAATTAATCCGGGGATAAAATTAAAAAAAGGGAGTAATATATGGGTGTACCATTTAATTACTGCTACTGAGTACTGAGGATTGAAATTAAATAACTGTTTTTGGCCCCAAAAACACGTAAGTTTCGTTTTGCTTGTAACTCAAAATCCAAAGAGTAGCCACTTCTGAGCGAGTCCCGTCGTCATCGCCTTCCAGTGGACTGAACAATTGTTGAGGACTCGTGAGTGTCTGTATTCCGATGGCGGACATGGACCCTCCTCCCAAGAGCTGGAGCATCTACAGCCGAGCTGAGATTGTCGCCAAGTACGAGGTCATGGAGCGGGTCGGCTCTGGAGCTTACTCCGACGTCTACAAAGGCCGCCGTCTCTCCGATGACCTCATCGTCGCCCTTAAAGAAGTTCACGATTATCAATCTGCTATGCGAGAAATCGAGGCCTTGCAGATCCTCCAGGGGTCCCCTAATGTCGTCGCCTTGCACGAGTACTTCTGGCGCGAGGACGAGGACGCCGTCCTCGTTCTCGAGTTTTTGAGAACTGACTTGTTGACAGTCATCAAAGAGGCCAAGAAGGAGGGTGTGGGTCTAAGCGTTGGGGAGATGAAGCAGTGGATGATCCAGATTCTTTGCGGCGTCGATGCGTGCCACGCAAATATGATCATGCATCGAGATTTGAAGCCAAGTAATTTGTTGATTTCGGAGGATGGCGTCCTGAAGTTGGCTGATTTTGGCCAGGTAACTTCTCTTGTGGGATAGAAATCGAAATGGTATTTTCTTGGATTTCTGCCAGTAAGCCGAAGAATTGTAGGAATTTGTCCCTAGGCTGTGTATCCTGTAGTAATCAAGTCTAGGACGATAAATTGAGTTTCTTTTCAGATCGCTTTACTGTTTTGATCAAAAGTATATGTCTCTCTTGTCAATTCGGTTAGTTGTCCCAATATTATGGTTACAAACTCTCAGCCTTGTGATCTATTTTTTGTTTTCCTGAGAAGCGGTTGACGGCCGGCTTATTGATTATAGAAATTTTGTGCTGCAACGTTCTTTAGAACATTAACAAAACTTTCTTGTGTGTGTAGTTGCACATAGGACAATCAATATGTCCTATTCTAGGATCGTTTGTTGTGGGCTTGATGAATCTCACTGGGCTCAACAAACTGTTTCTTTTTTTGCTGAAGACTGCAATGTGAAATAAATTTTGTTGCCTCATCTATCTTAGCTTTTACGTCCAGGGGTGAAATGTTTTATTTCGTTCCATTTTCAGGCAAGGATACTTATGGAGCCTGGATTTCATGCTATGGATGAAAACCCACCACCTTATGAAGACGATATTTCAAATCGTGAGAGATCTCCTCAACATCCTGAATTATTTATTCAGACACACAACCAAAACCAAGAAGGCTATGGAAATCAAGAACAGGGAACTGTAACTCAAGATGAATATTTTAGAGTATTAGAAGAGATAAAAACTAAGGGCTCCACAGATGACATGGACAAGGATACGAACTTCCAAGATGGAAATACATCTTGTCTTGCAACTTGCACAATAAGTGACACAGAAGATGATTTTATGAAGGGTTCGTTTACCTATGAAGCAGATGTCAGAGACAATGAAGAAGGTGGTCTCACATCATGCGTCGGAACCCGATGGTACAGGGCTCCTGAACTGCTATATGGATCAGTTGACTATGGGTTAGAGATTGATCTCTGGTCAATGGGCTGCATCTTTGCAGAGCTCCTAACTCTGGAGCCCTTATTTCGTGGGACAGGTGATATTGATCAGCTTAGCAGAATTATTGACGTTTTAGGCAACCTCAATGAGGAAGTTTGGTCTGGTTGTTCCAAGCTTCCTGATTACGATAAAATCTCGTTCACTAAGGTGGAGAACCCTCCAGGTCTTGAAGGCTGCCTGCCCAACCGTTCCCCTGATGAAGTCTCTCTTGTGAAGAAACTGGTTTGTTATGACCCGGCTAGAAGAGCTACAGCAATGGAGCTTCTCCAAGACAAGTATTTTGGTGAAGACCCTCTTCCTGTACCTATTTCCGAGCTGCGGGTTCCTTTGACAAGAACTGCACACGATGAAGACTCTCCTGATAGGTGTTTTGAACCCAATGATATGGGTTTTTCTGATTTTGAGGACTTTAACTCCGTGAAAGTCATCACAACTGGTTCTGGTTTCTCTATCCAATTTCCCTGAGTTCAAAGAATTCAAGGTGCATTATAGTTATGAGATGGCTGCAGCTGTTGTTGTTGTTTGACTGGTTTTTTCTTTGTTGAATGTCATACGTCAAACCTACAGATATCAAGTGAAAGTTTTGAGAAATTCGATGTGATTTTTTTCCCAGAGGATGATTTTCGATATGGAGTGTTGAAAAGTGAAAGTGAATGATCATGTGGTTTATACTGGTGTTCAAACATAATATTACCTATTGTAATGTAGCACCGTTTAAACGCTAGAGTCTGCCCTATTTTTGACTGGACAGAAGCAACTCAGTCCTGTTGCCCAGCTTCAATGGAAGCCACGTTTGCATGCACATCCACATGCATCTCTGTCTGACGCGTGTTGACTTGTTTTGATTTCTTTGTTAGACATTCAGAACATGAAAGGAAGCCGACGGTAAACCAAGCATTGAGCATTATGTGCGTGTGTGGATCCGTGTTCTTTTTTATTTTTCTTTTTAAGAAAGGGGGGTATTATGTTTTAAATGATCTATTGAACGCGTGCATTGTTTGAAATCTTCGTTGCACAACCTGTTGTGATATTTTCAGAGAACTAAATTAGATTTCTGGCATTCTGGTTCTACGAGGATATGCTCTTCCTATTGTTTCCAAGGTCGTATGCCTTTTACGCCTTTTGATTGTGGACGCTTCATGCACAGCAGTGATCTTTCTTTCTTTGTGTACGCCACCTCAAATTGATGACATGGATTGTGCGTGTGCTTTCTAGGTAAACCCTGCGTATAAAGTTTTATTTTTTATTTTTTCGGGTACAAGCTTATGAAGTTGAATGCATCCGCGTTGAATTGATTAATGCAGCTTCGAATCAGGCATGGTTCAGGCCACAAAAAAGAACCAGGCCCTGTTCTCGTTATTCTCATACGTGGTCGAGTAGACTCAGTATACGGGTAGAATGAACTGGAAATATACTCCTAACTCCTCCGAGAGCTAGCTAATTAGGGCATTAATTTTAGACTTAAATATAAAATCCTAATATATTTTTATCTCTCTTTAACAAAAAAAAATTTAAATTGACATATAATGCGATATTAAATATGGGTATTATATGAAAATTATAAAACTAAATAATTTTTTTAAGTTTCTTAGTCTGGTTGAGTTAAGTAATTTTTACATTAAAGAGGGATGAGCACAACCATAAAGCATTTATTTGGCATGTTGCGTTCTGACACTGCTAGCGCTTAGGCCAGGTTAAACAAAACATAATGGCATCTGCTTAGCAGCAACCTTAATTATGGAGGAAAATGCAGCATTTCACCAGAAAAGATGATGTTACTGTCCCTTCATTTGCGCCGAATATGTTATGTGTGAGGACAACTCTTATCAGCATGTTATTGATCTTCTTCTTTTGGGTCACACATATTTTAAGTATTACAGCACGATACATTTTGATTCGTCAAAGGGATACATGAAATCCTCCTCAGCATCAAATATTTTGAGCCCGGCAGGAGATCGATGAGAGATGTTTTCAACCGCCTATGGAACACCTAATCAATCACCAAACAAGCCTCCTAACCTCAGAGAAGCTGCGCATTATTCCTGCCTAGAGCTTCTTGTCCTATGAAGGCGGACAAAACAAGGGCTGTCCATAGATCAAATATGCAAAATTCGGATTAAGTGTAGCATCGTAAGATCCTTTAGTCCTGTGGAAGGAGGGCAATCTCAATTTCGTGAAGTGACTTTCCTTTGGTTTCTACCACATTTCTCTTCACGAAAACTACTGCCATCATGCAGAAGGTAGCGAAGATAGAGTAAAGCAACTGTGGACCAAGTTGCTGGAGCAAACGCAAGAATAGCAATCCAACAAAGAAATTTATAACCTGCGCAAAATCCAATCATGAATACCATGAGAAAGAAGATTCTATAGATCAGTGAAGTTTCGGCTCTCATAAGTCCCTACGAGACTAGAAATAAATACAACTTCTGTAGTTTGCTCAAGCACAGCTGACAATTCTAAGTTTTAATGGGTAGCATCTTGTTAACTTTCACAGCTAGAAGCTTGGCCATATTATAGAATCAATCAAGCCAGAATCAAGACTGAAGAAGGTTGACTCGACACAGCATGTAATATGGAAGTGTTTTACCAAAGGACAAGAGGAAGTATAAATGTTCAGAAGAAAATTACCCAATGCACTGACATGCAGACTGCCATTGCCTTGGCTCTAATTCGGCTGGGAAAAATTTCTGGGAGTAGGAGACCTGGGACAGGACCAGCCCCAAGAGCAAATGTTAAGACAAACCTGCATGAGGTAAAAGCATCCCACATATCACTACACGTCATTTTATGATTTAATTTTACCCATTCTGACCAGTATGGTCGCATCTATCACAAAATCCGTCTTCAGAGTTATAGAGACTTACATTAACATGCCACCAACAGATAAGTATAGTCTCCCCAGGTCTGATACAAGTGAACTCGCTGCGGCAGCTTGAAGGACCATTGCAATTGCCTAAGCAATAGAAATAGGCAAAAACAAATTTCTTGATTAGAGGCCAGCTTTATTATTATTATTATTATTTTTCCAAAATATAGTGACATGTGAACCCAAAAAAAGAGGACATGCTCCTCTGCTTTGTCGTGGTATACCCTTGCAATAGTTCATATTCAAATCCCGCACTGAGTCTAATATTTTTCTTGCACAGGATAGCCAACTTTAGCATCATGATGATAGTTACCATTAATGATAATAAGCTATCAGTTTATTTAAGCTAAACTTACCATGCCAAAGAAGCTCCAAAAAAGAAGCACCTTCCTTCCTAGCTTATCCATTAAAACCATAGATATGATAGATCCTGAAGTCAGAAGAATAAATATTGGCATTTAAGAAGAAAATAACTCAATAACATAAGCTGAAAAACAACAAGGTGAACCTGTACCTAACAAATTAGCAACTCCAATGCAGACATTTGCTAGGCTTGATGGCACTCCAGCACTTTTAAAAACAGTTGAAGAGAAATAAAAAACAGCATTTATACCAGATAGCTGTTGTAAAGCAAAGAGGGTTGATCCAATAAAAACAACTGCAAAACAAGTTCGTGAATAACAGAGAACCTTTGCTACATGAAAGAAACAGTGACGAGAACAATGAGGGCTGAGTCCTCGGCAGAGAAAGAAACAGAAGAATCATATACCTCTAAAGTGGCGACCCATTAGCAATTCTGAGAGCTTCACAGTATCAGTGTCATCTCCTCTATCCATCTTGGATAACTCTGAAATTGCAAATTTCGCTTCTGATCCTCCAAGAAGCTTTTCAAACTCAGCTTGTGCTTCGGTAGTTCTTCCTTGCTAAGTCACAGAAGAGGAATTATCAATGTCTAGCCTTGTACGAAAGATATTCATGCCAAATACTCCCAAAGACCCTAAATGTAGGAGCTAGTTTTTCCAATTCACACGTTTTAAAAAAATTAGGTAAATTAGTTATTTATTAAAAAAAAATGTGCACTAATTTTCCTAAAATACCCTTCCTTTTATTCGTTTACATTGGAGCATTACCAACATTATCTATACATCATACAAGAATCTAACTATAAGGGTGGTTTGGAAAAAGTAATAAATATGAGAGATAAAAGAAACTGAAGTCTTATATTTAAGACTAAAAGAAACCCCCCAACTGATTCTTACACTTAGGACCAGAGAGAGTAACAGTTTTCAAGTTCAAACTTCAGGATAAGCAAAAGTAAATAATAATGATAAGATCACAATGACAATAAAGATACTTAGATAATGATAATGGGAGGGAAACATGACCCAGGTCAATAAAAGGAGTAAAATTGCTCTTTATGGTAGTCGTTTAAATAATAGAGCATGCAGCATCATTGAGGAATGTATGCCATTTATTAGAAAGTATTTTGAGCGGTTTCACTAGTGAGTTTTGCTTTCTGTGAGTAGTGGCAGAAGAATATACAAGTAAATCCTGCAGAATTTTGGATTTTCTTTTCTTTCGAGTACTGCCACAATCTACAAGAGAAACATTTCCCAGAATTTTTTAAGGGTCCAGGTTAATTTTATCTATTAGAGGCAAAGTCCACATAATTGGAAAATTATAATCTGCAAAGATATGCTGTCCCGGTGAGCATATTTGAAAAAAAAAAAAATCTCATGAGCGCAGGTCAACTACAGCTCCTAATAATGAACTCAAACTGTAAGCACCAGCACATCAACCACTGGTGGACGGTCCAATGATATACTGTTCTCTACCCAAAGAATATAAAATGGCTACAGCAACCAACAGGCCCCTGTAGGAGTCAGATGGATGAACATTCATCATTGGAATTTAGAAATAGCTGGCTCTTCTATAAATTAAGAAGAATTCAAAGCTCCAGTACCATGAGTGATTCTCATTGTCCTTGTTAATCAATAACTTGTAACTAATTTACACAATAGAATCACATCTAGCAAGGCTACAAAAAAAATCAGATAAGAGGCAGTTCAAACTCCTAGAGTGTTCCATCACCTCCCATATGATTCCAACAGGGTACTATTTGTTAGGGGGAGCAGGGTGAAAAAGGTGCTTGAATCAATGATCAATAGTCAATAAATAAAAAAATAGTGTAGCAAAACCATTTGCGGCGCGATTCTGATCCATGTTGAATTATGACTACCACCGCTAAAAAGAAACAGGCCATGAATCAATCCAAATTAAAACAGTGTAGGTGAGAATACCATGAAAACTTGATAACTTAATTCTCTAGGCTGTGTGCGCTAGAGTATTCAATTATTGTAATAAAACAAGTTATCAGATAAAAGTGGAAAATAAAAGAGAAACATCGACAATGAAAGGGAACACCAGCAAACTATTTGCATAATATAGAAATTCCAATGACCTGCGCCATAAAGGCAATGATATGTTGCAAAGAACACTGATAATATCTCAACAAAATCATTATGTTCTCACCTTGTACAACCAGTGTGGAGACTCTGCGCAAAAAAACATAGCAAGAGCAAGTATCGCAGCTGGAATGATTGATACCCAGAAGCAAACCCGCCACCTGAGCAAGAAACGATGAGGTCATCTTAAGTATATCAGCTGTGAAAGATGGATAGAGTAAATTTAACATTTGTCATACCATCCTGATATTTCTTTGACAGGGATTCCAATGAATAGAGCCCCCATTAAACCAAGACATGTTGCAATTTGGATGAAGGCTCCATATGTGCCCCGTACAAAAGGAGGAGAAACCTGTTGAGAACATACGAAGAGATTGATTAGTACATCAACGAGCAAGAAAAGTTTCATCCCAGTAAATTAAAGATGCAGCCATTGGCATACCTCTGCCACATACAGAGAAGCAACAGTGGGGCCGAGACCCAAGCCAGTGCCAACCAATAACCTTCCAACAAGCATGCCAAACAAGTTGTTTGTTGCTGCACTGAAAACACAGATTTTTTCCATTAAAGTATTAACCACAGCAACTCATTCTAAAACGTAGAGGAAGAGATCTGTCACTTAACCACAGTGAAATACCAAACAGGGTGCCAGCAAATGGCGAAAGATCCTAATGGCCAAAAAGAAAAGACCTTAAATAACATGTGGACTGTGTCGTAGCATAATAAAAGTTTGCTGTCCCATTACCATAAACAGGAGAGGCTTAAAGCAAAATTCTCTCTATAACAAATTTAAAATGCATCATGATGATAGGTAAAGACCCATATGAAGTTTGAAACCATGAAGCTCATCATGGTACAGAAAGCGAAGAGAATAAGAAAATGGAACACAATCACATTAAAGGACATGAGCAAAATACATCCTGCACATCTGGAGTAGCCAACATACAAACCTTTTACACATAATCCAAAACGAGAAAATCAATCAATCAAAATTGATCAAACTACATCAATGAATTGAATAAGAAAAATAGTATATCACATTGGCTACACGATGTACGTATAAATAAAATCAACAAGCTTACTTTCTGCACAGAAAGTATCTTAGAAAAGAACATAGAACATCCACCTCAACTATAAAAACAGAGATGAATATTGACTTACTTATAGCATATTAGGAAAGCAATAAGGAAATCAATTACAAGAAAGATAAAAGCATGGAGGACAGAAATGGTCCAAATATCCCATGTGACAAATTGAGTAAATTACACAACGTAGCCTTGTTCTAGAAGTACAACCTCATAGAAGCACCAATTATCATTGGCAAGGAAGATAACTGGAAAGCTTTTCGACGGCCCACTCCATCAGCAATCCAACCACTGAGTAGACATCCAATCAAAGCACCACCAAGACATATACTCACCACCAGACCTTAATTTGAAACCAAAAATTAATTATAATTTGATTGAAATCATAATCAAAGGATAAGAAGGGGGTTAGAATATTTTGTGTCACCTTCTGCCAATGTGTTCCCACTAAACCCAAGATCCACAGAAATGCTCTCAAGTGGTTCATTAACTACTCTGAATAGACAAAGAAAGTATAGTCAACTTTGAAGCTCTAACCAAATTTTCAATCAACGTTAAGAAACCATGGGAGGATTTTGTAAAGGAGAAAATACCAACCCAAGATGGTATCCAAATAAGAATGAAGCAATAGTTGCCACAAGAACATGCGGCAAAGATAGCTTCCATGAAGGAGTTGAACTTTCCTTGTCCAAGGAATTATCTACAAGAGCTATTAAGCATAAAAAAACAGTAAGATTAGTAATGAGCTTCCACACCTGAAACCTTTATCAGAGTTTGCATTGAATCATTAAATTTTGCCATGTTTCTAAAGTGTCTCATGCTATCCTGAATGGCATCTTTTTAATTTTCATTCTAAGCTCCCAAGACCAACAGCAGATAAACAAATTCACAATGAGGAGCAACTTGTATATAAATAAAAGCTAGAACCCTATCAAGATTGATTCGTTTGTCATTTACTGGAAAAAACTATAAAGGATTCTCCGGGAAAAACAAATGTAGATTCACAAGCAGGAAAAGTTCCAATAGGAAGAATTAAGGTAGATTCTAGGTTCCAAAATGATACAGAAAAAAGCCATATGTGTGTGTGTATATCTACATACAATATATTGCGTGACTAAGATCAGTTCAACCAAAAAAGCTACCTGAGTTTTCTTCCACGTCTACCATGTTTGTATTATCCCTTGAAGAAGCACGCTTGTACATAGTCATGGATGAAATCTCACAATGACGACCCCACATGCCAAAAAAAGACCTCCCTGCTTCCTATATCAGCAGATTCTACAAGTTTCAGAATGACATGCGTATGTCTGTATAAATGTTATATTATTCAATAACTGGACTAAACTTCAATATCAAGAGACCAACTTGCTTCCACGAAATCAAGTAAAAATTAAGTAAACCCAAACAATTTATTACAGGAAATGAATTCAAAAAATCAACCACCCTGCTTTTAAATAATTAAAGATATATATGAAAATTGAACTCATAAATATGGAATAAAGGATTTGCACCAAACTTTAATCCAACCCTCCTATTTTAGGATGAAAGCTTTTGCAGATAAAATTGTTCTAATGGCTAGTAAATTAATCATAATTCAATAATTTGATGTTTAATTCATACATTAATTTCATCTGAAACAGATAAAGGGCGGCGCAGAAGAACTGATTTAATAACATATCAGCTTAAACAGTCAATCGTCTGTCCAAGCACGTATGACTAATACAATGGCAAGCGACTAGCAAGACAAATGTCCAGAAAACTGCTATGTTGCCACTGTTCATATTATGAAATGGTTCAGAAACATAAACATGCAACCATCCAACCCCGAGATGATTAGTATAAACATCTGAAGTTAAGTACTAAACTCTTTTACATTATATATACTGTCAGAGTTTAGACGGACTCAAACGTAAAAAATGAACTTACTATATGCGTAATACAACTTGACAATCAAATTAATCAAATGCTCAGCAGTAAGAATAAGCCTAAAAGACTAACAGCGGGCAGCTATGGGCTAGTTAACAGGCAGATAGCTAAAGCCAATACTCTATGACAAAGAACAGATTGTCCAGAGCAGTGTTAATTGATAAGGATATCACCTAAGGAGCGTGATCACTCGATCAGCCAGTCAGCTCATATAAATCAAAGGCCCGAAGCCAAGGATCTGAACTTATATAGGGAAACAAACTAATACTATGTTTCTCCCTCTTCGAAAATCTTGATTCAGTTCAGATATATACTATGCTCAAGCAGCTCGACACAACGGAGCAAAGTGAAGTAACGTCGGTAACCCATATGTTTTATAACGTATCTCAAATAAGTTCCCCCGTGTTTCTAGACGATCAAGCAGTATAGAGGGACCAACACATAACAAGAAATAAATATAAGAAAGAAGAAAATCAAACTCTGCATCAAAACAGAGTTTCCTAAGCATCTGCAGAGTGAAAAAATGAAATAAGATAGAACTAAATTTGATTAACGAATCAGGTTGAGGGGGAACTGCATAGATATAATTTCTCAGTCTGATTTTATAAAAAGGCGCGTAAATTAGAAAACTAGCCCAATACGTACCAATCATTTAACAAACAGAAAGGATCTCAAATCTATTCAACAAGCAGAGAGCTCGATCACGGAGCTTATGCCATAAAGTTGCACGTTCCTCCTCTCAGAGAACCTCCAAGAGCAACCGATCCAGGGAGATAAATAAGAGCCGAAATCCGAAATTCTCAGAGCAGTTGGCAGAAAACTTCTTTTTACGAATGGTATGACAAAACACCGACAGCTAATGCGCTACAGTGCGCCGCGAGCGACAATGCTATTGGTATAAAAAGAGCTTGCTGAGTTTCAAAGAAAGAGAAAGGAAACTTGCAACAAAACCAATCAATCGTGTTGGGGGAAAAAGGAGTAAGAAACTCCGGGAAAGCTCAAGAGAAACACGGTAATGATTTTTTGTTTGTTTTTTTTTTTTTTCTTTTAATGAAGACGAACCGATTAGAGAACAAAAACAAATAGACCGTTGCCAGAACGCCACGTGGTAGTTGCTAACGGACAAGAATCGATTTGACGATGGAGATCAAGGCAGGCATGGAATTTAATATGAGGCGGTCGAGATAGTGCTAGTCCCTGTACCTGAAATAAGGCGCTGGGTAGATCTTTGTTCTTTTCTGTGCATTTTTTTTTAGCGCTCCAAGTTTAACAAAATTACCACTTTTTTTGTCCTTTTGTATTTTTGCCAACTCCGTCCTCGCAGAATCTACCAGGATTTTTGCATGCGGGAGTTTATTAATTAACGAGAAACTGTGGGTTAATAATAAAATAATTACGATGTTTCAAGTTGGAATCTCTTTCTTGAGAAATTTAGTAGTTTTAATTGTTTACTTGGCTTCTTATCAATCTTTCAACTGTTATTAAATAAATACTCATAGTAAGATTTAAGTCATCGGGATCAATTATAATGATGTTTGGTTTATTAATTTCTAAATTTATGTGACGCAGGCACTTCTTACTTGGCGTAATGATCGTTGATTTATTTCTATTCTTGGTCAATACTACAATGAAGAATCTAATAGGTGCTTCGCTGCGGTAAATCTTCGAAACCAATGGGTCAAAAAAAAAATGAAAAGACAAATATGTGGTCCAAAACATAGGGCTCCATTTTTTCTTTGGCGCCGGCAAAGCCTAGATTTGGTATGCCACGGATGGGGCTAATCTTATGCAAATCCCTCAGAAATTTCGTGGTCTAGAACTACGGATGTGTATTTTTTTTAAGAGTTAATTTTCACTCAACATCTTAAAATATTTTTGGAAAAATTGGAGATAAATTTCTGATTACAAATTTAATTGGTAAATAGTCTTAGGATGATTAATTGCACAAGAAAAGATTAATTGTACACAAAAGAAGGTAAATTGTACAAAGAGAAAATGATTTGCACAAAACATTATTTGAATATAAGGAATTAGTTTACATGTAGGGAAGATGACTTGCTTACAAGAAAAATTGAATTGCATATCATGCAAAAAAAGATTATGACACACAAAAGAAGTTCAGTTGCGCACAATAGAAGTTAAGTTGTATAAAGTTCTTAGGTCTCATTTGCCAATTAATTTTTCAACGAGAGATTTATCTCTAATTTTTCCAATATTATTTCAGTATAATTTTTAGGCAATTTTATTTTTAAAATATTTTATTTTACTCAGTAACAAAGAACATCCTAAACTTATGATATTAGTGTTGTTGTGTATCAAAAATTATTTTAGAATGCTATATGTTATTAAAAAAATGCTTTAAAATATTGTATGCATAAAAAAATTAAGTTAAAATACTTATCATTACTGGGAAAACGCTTTTGTTTTCCCTAATCATCTAACAAATTGGACCAGTGTCTTGACTATTCAACACCATCACCCAGACTTTTTTGACGTTTTACAGTTTTAGCTCTGTTTTTTTAGTGGAAAAGGACTTTTATTGCAAAGGAAATGCAAAGAACAATATTTACAAGACAGGTTCAGGATAGGAAAAGATATAACGATACAGAGAAGATGTTTTGGCTTTTACTACTTCGCCAATCCTGAGACGTCCCTTGTTCTTGTGTGCTGCATCAATCATTTCATCAGCAATATGAGATTTTAAATTAAAAATAGAAAAGAAATTATCCCATCCAAATCTACCTTCACAATTAAAGTCTTCCACATAATCCTGAGGATAATGTTTCTTGGGATATAATCCTGAAGCGTTCATGTATGTTTCAATAATATCATTAGTCCTTGTATCGAAGTCAAGAGAGACGACATTAATTCTTTCTAATGAAGTGATCTACGCAGTGCTCAATCCAATTATTGGATTTCTGTTATTTTTATATTATAATTTATCTTATCTCATTGGAATAATTTTCAACATCAATGAACTTGGCATGAAATTTCTCAAAAATAAGAAATTAAATGCACTAAATAGTTTTCTTATAAACAGAGTGCCAAACCCTTGTAGAGAGGGAGTCATCAAGCCCTGGACTTGGTTCCTCAAAAGTATTTGTTTCCAAATAATTTCTCAAAAAATAAAATTGTTACCCACAGGGCCTTTTTTTGTACTAATAATTATAAGATTTGATCAACATGTCAATGCCAAGTTGTCTTAGAAACAGTACTATCTGTTATGCTTGATCCTAAACTCAAACTTGGTATTAACATATTTGTGCGTATTGCATGATCTATTCATTAGCACTTCCTTTGGATTCTCACTTCTAGGCTCTCTCTTCTCCTGTTTGTCTAGGCAAAGAGAATGTCATTAATAAGTATTTGATACTTATGAACAAATATAAAATGAAGCAAATCAAAACAAAAAGAACCAGCCAAAACTTATCAGACAAAGAGAATGCCATTACTCTTGGTTGTGTCTGTATCTTTGCAAGTAGTTGTACAACAGCTGTCAATCGTGTATTTCTTGTATGAGTAATGAGCCGCCACAGCAAGTCTGACCTCAGGGAACTAAGTTATTCCTATTGCACAGTATTAAGAACCATCAAACAAGGGACATAGTGGAGTACAAGATTGAAATCTAAAAATAATGCATTCATAGATAAGCACTTAATTAACTCATACTTTACAAAATAGTTGTTTCCCGCCACCAGTAGTCATTTATAATCCATTGCTGCACATCATTCAACTATCAATTTCAATTAATTTTCAATAATAACAGATAGTATGTGTTAACGGCAAGAATTTGTGGGTTTACAATAGAAATACCAGTTTTCATAGCATTAAATTGTCATTTTCCTGCATAACTCTAATTTGCAAATTTACAATCTGAATACATATTTTCACAACTGCAAGTTACCATTTTTCTGCACATTTCGTTTTCATATCGCCCATTTCAACACATTCACCTATTTTTCTTTTAGTTTTCTCTTCCTAAATTCTTTCAACAACATATTACAATCAGTGTTCACCCATTCCCACCCACTTTTTAAAAATCACTAACACCTCATATTTATTAACTTCAAAGAAGAAGAAGATAACAATCTCTCTCTAAAGAAGAAGAAGATAACAATCTTTCTCTAAATTTAAAAGCTACATCAAATTTTTTCTCACTCACTACCTATTTACCCATGCATTTAAATACTCATTTCTATATTATTCAACTATCACAACCCAATTATGCTCAACAGAACCAAAATTTTGGGGAAAACGGCTTAACGCACACACCAAGCTCTTCTTTTTCCCTCTTTCTTTTTCATTCTCAGCAAATACAGTTCGCAGGGTATTTCAGTAAAATGGCTTCAGCAATTAATTTCAGTTGGCCTCCTGGGTCCTTTAGTAAAATTTCAAAATACTTAACTTAAATTTCAGATTTTTTTGAGAGCTGTTTGAAATTAATTCCTATCTGTGGTCCTTAATCGAATTTTTTTCTAAAATTAAAATATTCAACTTAATGTTCTGGAACGTGGAAATTAATGAGTATTTTTTTTAAATTTTAATACTGTTTCCGCTATATTTTATTAATAGATAGATTCTTACTAGCATAAATTTATTATATATGAGTTTCCATTTCGAGTTTCGACTTTACATTCCTATTGGATGGATGGGCTTGACGCAGCCCGTTTCCCTCCTCGGAGTCAACAACCACGCTGAGACCCCTTTATTTTAGCGCCAAATTCTTCCTATTTTCCGTTTAACCGAGTGGAGACAGAATCTTTAATACATTGGGTGACCATCCAATCAGAAGCCCACACGTTTCCTATATTAATGGCCACTCGACACGTGGCTTCCCCATACTGAAGATTTTTACTTTCAGTGGTTCCTGGGGCACTTCATAACTGTTCGCTTCAGCTTAAACCATTTAACGCGTCCCTTTGCCTGTGGAAAATTCCTTTTAATAGGATCCGAATCCAACGGTCAACAAGGAAATGCCTCTGACGCTTCTATGAATTTCCACCTTCGGATGGATAGTTTGATCACAGACCGTCCGATTAAGGACAGCAAGGGATCTAACCGTTCACTATTTACGAACTTGAATTTCAAAAAGCTGAGAAGAGAGAGGGAGGAAGGGTGCAGACGCAAAATGGTCCCTCTCTTCTCTACCTGAGGAGTGTCTCTCAACTATTCTCATCTTCGTTGTTGCTGCTTCCCCAATCCCAACCATTTTCGTTTCCTCACTATACAAATTCTACAAAAAATATATCTTTCTTTTATATTGCTCCAAGGTGTTTGGATCGAAGCCCCTTCAATTGTGGGCAATATTCGCCGAGCTCGGCCTTCCATCCTGAACTTCATAATCGTGAAGTTTTGTGTGCTTTTTTTTGTTTTTAAAATTGCGGGGGACTTGATAGTAGACTCTGGATCGGAAACCCAGTATATTTGTGTTGATTTTTTAACTTGTGGGATATTGAGGGAATCATCTGTGGGTTAATGAGGAAGATGAATTTGGATTTCGCGGTAAATTTTTGATTTTTTTTCATCTCATGGGAGAAGGTGACGGGAGTGATTGCCCTCCGAAGAATGTGTTACTGGATTCTGCTGCAGCAGCCTTGCCGTTGGATGGTCCAGGAAAGAAGCTAGCAAGGCAGCTCGATTTTACGGGTTTTGGTGGGGTATCGGGTACTGTGGCGTCAAGCGAACACCTTCAATTGCAACTGCCTCAGTCACGTTCACAGTCACTGCCTCAGGGACTGACCCAACAAACCATGGTTGTGATGCCAGTGCCGCCGCAGGGACCTCATTCTTCAGTGAGGGTTGGGTAAGTTGGTGAAATTCTGACTGAAACTCGACTGACATTTTTATTTTCTGATGGATGTTGTTTGTGCAACCTCATTGTGTTTCTGGGGAGGAATTTTTGTTCAGGAAACAGGAAAAAAAAAGAGCTGCCTCTGACATTTCTTGAGAGAGCAGTTCATGTTATTTATTATGGTTCCGTGTAAAGTTTCTTTCCCATCTTGATCTATTTACAGTTTATTAAGTTACTTTATGGCTTATTTTGGAAATCACTGTTTTCTATGGAAGATACGTATTTCTGCGTGAGGCTCTTATGCATGTGTAATTTTTGAATTTCATTTACCTATGTTCCCTTTCATGCTGTCATTTTCTTACCATTTCCTTTTTGTTTCAGTGCTCATCACCATTTTTGCTTATTACTTATACTTGTTTGTTCTTTTAACTCCTGATGGGAAAAAGATGGGGGATTAAACTGCTTGGGAGGCTTAACCTAGGAGGGCACCAACATACTATAGGCTACCTTTCAAACACAATGTATTAAGTTGTCATAGAAATATTGAGCCCTTAAGTTTAAGCACTGCTAAGAACCGCTGCTGTAAACGAGGCAGTCATTTCTTAATAGCGTTCTATGGAATGCTTAGTAATGGACTGATAGAATTGTTCATTCTTCCTTCATTGAAAATGATTGTGATTTTAAAGTAGCATAAGCTCTAATGATGAATATTGACGTTGAGTATTTTCATCTATTGTATGTTTTAATGAGCTGGAACCAGTGCATCTTCAAACTGGATCCTTTGCAATTGTAGGAGAGATAGTGACAGCCAAATTTTTGTCTTTACACCTATATCCTCTTTGCTCTCTATCCCTTTCTAACTGTACTCTGTGCATGATATTTGTAAACTTAGACTGCAGAAGATCTAGACCATTTCATCTTAAGTGCAATAATGGATATTAACAATTAAGATATCTAGTATGAAGCAATCAAATATCTTCCTGTTGAAGCTCAAGCTGCAATTTTGGTTGTCAATTTTTCGTTTGGCCTGAATTTTGGTTGTCAGTTAATTCACAATTTCTTTATTCAGGAAACCAGAATCTCCAAAATCAAGATCAAGACCTAACCTTGAAATGAAAGACTCTACTCCAAAGAAGCAAAAGCAGTGCAATTGTAAACACTCAAGATGCTTAAAGTTGTAAGTAAAACTAATCTCTGTCCCTCCTTTGGTGTGCATGAGCCTGCGAATATATAATTTCCTGTTTGTGCACATGTGCATCTTCACATTTTTTTGATAATATAATATGAAATGGTCTTGCACTACTCAACCACAATCTTTTAAGGGTATTCGGTATTATTTTGCTTCGTACCACATTAAGAGTGTGCTCCTATTGCCAGCGGTTCATGTTTTTACTTTCATATGAACTAAAGGAATGATTTAGATGATTTCCCATTTATTATGATTTTTTTTTTTGGCCTGTGAACTTTCCCGTTATTTAAATTGTGCTGGACGCTGGGAATAACTCGTACTTGTTAGCTTCTAACAGTTTCAACCTTCAAATTCGAGTTCATTGACAAACCTTAATATCACGGCTTTGCTTAGTTTGAAATATTCCTTTTTGTTTTCAAAATTTTAGTTAAGTTGCCATAAACATTTGTATGGATGGATTCATTACACTTGTCTCCTTCCCATAGTTATCTTCTCCAGTTTTGTTATTCGTGTTAGTTCTTTCTTTCTTGACTTTTCCTTAATTTATCAACCATATAAATTATGAGTTTTTTTCAATTAATCCCAGCGTGGAATTCCTCATTATTGCCACTAGCTGACATCCCTTTAATTCATCTAGTGGTTGTCTATTCCTCAATCTCTGCTATCTATTGAAATATAAATCTTTCCCTTTTCAGCTCTTCTGGTCATGGGATTCTAGTAGCGGCTTGCTGCCACAGTCCTTCTATATTGGAACCTCTTTTCATTTCAATAAATAGAACCATTCAATGTAATTTTTTCCTCCTATTTCCCACAAGTTTAAGAAGCCACCAATACTCGGATTATTGGCAGGCAAAGCTGACCCTTTCAACAACCATGGGATAGGGTATTTGAAACTATTTGGGTGAGCTTGAGTTGGCCAGCTGTAGGATTTAGTGGCTGTGCCCAGGGGTTTGTTTATTTATTTATTTTTTTGGGGCCAATTGTTTGATTCAGCATGATTGAGCACTCCTGAAACCGTAATGTAAACAAGATACTTGGGATGGAGTAAAATTTTTGAGGAGGAAAATTGGAATTTCTTTCAATCATACCTTAGGACTTCTTGCATATATTTATATGCAAAAACATATTTTTCTTGTACCACAGCATATTCCTCTCTTATAATTAAATATTTCTTTCTAACGTGGCAGATGTTTGTAAGCCTCATTCCAATTCTTATTCTCCAGTAAATTTTTTTTATGATACCCTACAATTACACCTAATATCATTGTGCTGGGATGTTAATCTGTTGCTAATATTAATCTCGACTGATCTGTTCATCCACACCCTTGTTCCGGGTTGCTAATTCTTAGCCTATGGTTTTTCTATGATTGAACCGAATTAAAATCCTATCGGCAGTTGATATTATTGTTTGAATGAAAATTTAGAGATGTTAGAAGGAGAAAAGCAAGGGGAATTTGAGATGGGCAATGGCATGTCTAATTGTGTTTCATTTCCCACGGAGCCAAGCCATAGCGACTGTTGGTTCTACAGGAAAGGGGCTTTTCGGAGAGAATTCCCCCCCCCCCCATTAATGTGATCTTCTGGCGTTAAGTACCATTGCAATTTCAAAGTCTTTGGTTTCCATAGTGGTTTTTATATCCAATAGACTCAATTTCATCCGAATAATACCGTTCCAACCTTATATTTTTATTCAAAAGGGAGCAAGGGAATATTATTTCCAACATTCATATTCATATGCTTAATATATTTTCATCCGGCCAGGTCATTGTCTGCAAAAGAGTAGCTGCTTTAAGATGATTAAAAATATATGAAGCTGATATTCAAATTGTTTTGAGCAGATACTGCGAATGTTTTGCATCAGGAATATACTGTGAGGGGTGCAACTGTGTAAATTGTTTTAACAATGTTGAGAATGATGCGGTGAGACGGGAGGCTGTTGAAGCTACTTTAGAGCGCAATCCTAATGCATTTAGGCCAAAAATTGCAAGCAGCCCTCATGGAACACGTAATAGCAGGGTAAGTGGGTCATTTAATGGTAGCTACTAGTTCTACTCAGCTGGTTTCATGAAAAAATGGGCCACTTATCTACGGCTTTTTTTTTTTTTGGGGGGGGGGTTCATTGAGGATCTTCTTGCAAAAAGCCGCTATTCTGATAATTACGTTATTCTTCTCTCATGAATTTGAGTCTTTTACTGATGACTGAAAGAACAGCTTCTTGGTTTTACAATTGGTTTCTTGAATTATTTTTTTCATATTAATTTTTATTGATTTTATTGATTTCCTCCATTCCCTTTCAATAAGTTAATTTAATTTTCACTAAGTCATGCTTTTGATCAATTTTTTTAGATGACCCAAAATTATTTCCTTCATATAGACACTAAATGTATTTAAATTTTCTTTTTTACTTTTCCTGCACACTCCAAATCAACATGAGAATACAAGGCTTTATAAATTGCTCAAAGTTAATTAAATGAAACTCGGATTTCTGTTAAAGAAAGAGAGAAAAGAAGTAACGCAAACAAAGAAAAGGTTTTTTTTTTTTTAATAAAAAAATTCTTATGTCTTTGTCAAGGCTGTTAAGATTGATCAGGTAACTGCAGTGATTGATTCATATGATTGGATCAAGGATTGGTTGATCATATCCCTAAATAAACACAACAATTTTAAATATAAATTCACATATATTGATATATATATACTATAATTATGCATAATACTAACAGCATTGAGCATTACTTGAGTGGCATGAAATTTAAATAAGACAGATCCATATTGCTGTATTAAGTAGAAAACAATTTTTGAAATAATGCAAGGATTGAAGGAAAAATAGTGCTTAACCTTGCATCTTTTGTCTCTACAAGCAGCCTTTACCATCCAAATGGCACTAGGGGTTTTCTTTAAGGAAAAAAAGAAGGGGAAAAAAAAAATAGTGCTGTGATGTCCCATTGTCCGCCTTCACCAAATGGAGTTGAAGGTTGAATGTATTATTTTCGAGGAAAGGCAGGGGTAGGGGGAGGAATCTGTCACTAGGGGTTAGGGCTAGTTTAACGATTTTCTTTCCACCTCACTTGACCCAAGATGCTAAAAACCTGATAACAAGTACAAAATGCTGCAAATCCAAAATGTTACAGGGTAAGCATGATTGTGAGATTTCAAGATCTTAATATGTGGATTGAGACCCTATTGGAATTCAACATGATTTACAGATTAGATGGGATCCCTGGGATTATTTTGGAACATTTGATCGCAAGATAAAATCTATCTCTTGACAATCTTGGTTTATGCTATAAATTGCTTTTGTACTAGTTGATTTTCAGTAGTATTATGGAATCATGTAATGACAGAATATGTCATTAAAACATATGGCAAATTCTTTTGATACATGCTCTTAATAAATGAAAAATAAATCTTTTTAACTTAACAATTTTTCTTGTTAAAATTTGTTAAACAATTTATCATGGCGCATTCCTTTTTTATTGTATTGATTATCTGTGAACTTCAAAATAAATATAGGAGGAGACTGGAGAAGTTTTACTATTGGGAAAGCACAACAAGGGCTGCCACTGTAAAAAGTCGGGATGCCTCAAGAAGTACTGTGAATGCTTCCAAGCCAACATTCTTTGCTCCGAAAATTGCAAATGCTTGGACTGCAAAAATTTTGAGGGAAGTGAAGAAAGACAAGCTTTATTCCATGGAGATCAAAATAACAATATAGCATATATGCAGCAGGCAGCAAATGCTGCCATAACTGGGGCTATCGGATCCTCTGGTTATTCATCCCCTCCAGTATCCAAGAAAAGAAAAGGTCAGGAGCACTTTTTTGGGCCAACAGTCAAGGACTCATCTGTTGGCAGACTTGGGCAGTTTCAACAGGTAAAGCTGCCTCTTAGCATGAGTTGCTGACGAATGTAATAGCAGTTAACGTACAACTAGCATGCCTATTTTTATTTTCCTAACATATAAAGACTTTACATTTTATGATATTCTTCATAGACGTACTTAAAACAAAGTTATTCCTTTTTTTTTTTTCCCCTCCCAATTGAACTTGGTTATCCTCGAAACATAATACTGATTGCTCTCTAACCTCATGTTATGATATTTTCTTTTTCTTTTTACCAACTCGTGTTATGATAATGTACATGCTACTTGAAATGCTTAACTGTGTAATGTGCAGGATTTTTATCATATCAAGCTGAAGGAAATGACCTAATATTTTCATTTTCTTATTCTTTTCTAGTTAAATTTTCTGATATTGGATGGTGGATGTATTTATACAAGTTGAGTTGAAAAGTCTGGACTTAAGTTCCAATATTATGTTCTCTAAACAACTGCTCACAATCTAAAGGCTTATCCAAAAAAAAAAAAAATTGCTAGATTATAATTGCGTTTTGGTTGCTTGACTTATATTCAACGTCGCTATCATTTATTATTTATGTTTACCAGGCAAACAATGCCGGAGTTCCTGAACCTTCCTCTTCCTTATCCCCTCTCCCTGGTGCTCGGGTTGGGAGTGCTGCAGCAGGTCCTTCAAAATTTGCATACAGGTAAAATTGGTTATGTTCATGGTGATGCGGATAATTTTACTTAATTTAATAACTGACACAATTACTGTTGAAGGTCTCTTTTAGCAGACATAATACAGCCTCAACACTTGAAGGAACTTTGCTCTATTCTGGTGCTAGTGTCAGGACAAGCCGCGAAGACACTCTCAGGTATATTGACATTCCAAAGCATCAAACATGCTAATGGTTTCAGAAGAACCATTATGTCTAAATGCACGTTCCCATGTATTAATCTACTAGTATGGCTGTAGTTGTCTATGATTAACTTCTTGGGTTACTTCGCTAGAAATTTTATCGCTGAAGATGACATAAGTCATCTATGTCACCTTGTGATGGAATAGCATTGACTTCTTTTATCTTATTAATTACTGATGTTTATAGGACCAGATCAGAAAAATTTAGTTGACAAGCAGCGAATTGAAAATCAGACGGAGAGTGCCCTTGCTTCATCAACTCAACAGCAATTACCTAATCGAGTGGAAACTGACGTCGAGAAAACCATGGCTAATGATTGTTTGAGTGCAAACCAGACGGATAAAATCGGCGGCCAAGGTGATTCCAGTTCAGATGGTGCTCATGTCTCAAAGGGGAGGCCAATGTCTCCTGGAACTCTAGCCTTGATGTGCGATGAGCAAGATGCAATGTTCATGACAGCTCCCCCTCCTAGTGGTTTGATTGCCCATGCCGACAACACATCTTCACAGTCTGGTTGTGGACAAGGCATGACAGAGGCCCATGCAGAGCAAGAAAGGGCTGTATTGACAAAGTTCAGAGATTTTCTAAATAGGGTTATCACCATGGGAGAAATAAATGGCAAGTTATTATTCTCCTTATACATAGATTTGATATTTCTTAGGGAAAATCCTCAGAACCCCCTCTCGATTCCGCCCCGCCCAAGTACGGGGCTTTGACAAATAGGCCGTCAGCCTTTGATTTCAGCTATTAACCTTCCTTGAAAACGTCTGAGTAGCCAATTCTAATCTCTCTTAATTGTTTCTTTCCTTAAAATCGTATGCCGAAGTTTTCCGATCACAATTCTATCCATCTTCTACTTTTTCCTTTGACAGAAACAAAAACCTATTAGTTCACCACATAACAGGAACCTGACACAGCTTTGTTGAGAATTTTTGAAATTGCAAGAGTTGATTACCCAAATTAAAAGTCTAAGGGTTTTATTGGTCAAATCCCGATGTTGGGAGTGGTCGTTGCTATAATCATTCTTCTGAGTTAAAAGTAAACTGTGAAAAATGATGAGGGATCATTGTGGGGAAAAAATAATTGCTTCCCTGCAGTTGTTAAGTCCACATCACTCCTAATGGCCAGCTGTTAAATATTTTTGCATTGCCCGGAATTTTTCATCTAGTAACACCCTATGAATTAGCTCTGAAATGTTTGGGTTGCCTTCATCCGAAAAATAGGAAACTTCGTATCCAGGGCTTCTGATTTGTTTCTGGTGAATTAGTATTATTTATTGGTTGTGTCATAGTGTATGTCATAACTACTTCATTCTTTAGACTGGCTAATTTTTTATTCCCAATTTCAGAGACAAAGTGTTCTTCATTAGCTAGAAGTGTATGGGAGACTCAAAAGGAGACAGTCAGCAATAATGTCGGAAATACAAGTACTAAGACAACACATCAGCAGGTTGTCACTAGTAATGGTGTTGCCAAAGCTGCGGTCCCACCCATGGCCGCAAGTATGAACATAATCACTTCAACGGCTTTAATTCCTAATAATGTGATTCCTGAAAATGGGGAAAGTAAGCCAAAGATCGAAAAGGAGGTATGAAATGATTCTAATGTAAACAGTGTGCCGAGAAGTCATTGAAAGAAATAGTCAGATTACTGTGAAGGTATGCTACAACATCTCCGTAGTATTATGCTCACTGCCAATCTCAATTTTCTGGCTTCTGTTGGAAGGGTGGCTTAAATATAATCATACTGGCCTCGCTTCCAATTGAGGTAGGATAAATTTTTACACAAAAATTACCTTTTTTTCTACTTTTTAACTGCGAAGCTTGTAAATTGCAGAGTTGTAATTTCATTAATTGTCAAGTTTGTCAATTAAACTTGAGTTTCAATGACTTCCATTGCCTGTAATTTAGATTTTCCTTTTCTAATAAAGAAAGCTATTTTATGTCATGACCTGGTGCACGTTATGTAAAATTGCCTCTACTTATAATTTTGCAGTTTAACTGATATGATTTGTTCAGTTCATATACTCTCTCTCTCTCTCAAGATAATCTCCCAAGTGACCTTGGTGCTTGCATTTGATCCGAAATAGAAATACGTGCGCTGCTGCACTTAGATGGGCTCTAATCATTGGTTCTCATGCCAAGAATGAGCGTCGCATGCTCCTTTTTAAGATGAGATGAGGACTATTCAAATTTAAGTTGGACATCTTGGATTCCTAATTTTTAAGTGGTGTTCCCCCGCAAAGTGAGAGTTTAACCAATTCAGATGAAATATGAACTTCCCATCCTCATCTTCGAAGATGAGAATGGAATTGATTTGCTCTTCTTGTTCTGGCCTTGTTAGCGATTGTCTTATTGGTGTTGGCATTGTTATGAACTTTATTGGGATGGGTGAAAAAAAAAAAGACATCGCCTGAGTGTTGTTAATAAGTACTGATATTATTTTTTATATGTGCTGATGCTCTCTTTCGTTAGAAGCTAATCGGTGAAGAAAAGTGAGTTGCTTTTAGCTTGTTTTTCTTACGGTTCTGTTCTTGAAGGCACCTTTCAGGGGAGAGTGGACCTCTGTTTAATTTCAGGAGTCTGAACACTACTTCGATTCCTTTGTGGGATTGTAAGTACGATAATGAATTGATGAACATGCAAATAAAATGAGAAGTGAGAACCAAAAGCAATGTGTAAGAGTAACAGCTGGGTCTTGTGATTTGTGAATAGGGAAATGCTGCATCTGGATATTTTCACGTTTACCTCTTGAGCATAGAAGAATTAAGTAGCGCCTTTGGTTGCTGTGCAAGTGTCTTGCCAATGGAAATTAATCCTACAATTATGTTGATGTTATGAAAAACTTGAATATATTTCATTTCCATATTTTATGAGATAAAAATATTGGAATTATAGGACCATCTGATGTTAGGGTTATAGAGGTGAGATGAGGAGCATTAATGATGTAACAATAAGAAAATATGATTAAGTTTTGTTTGTTTTTCATTCTGAGACTCCTCAACGTACGAAAGCAACGCTATCTTGCGTCCAAACAGGCTATTAAATATCTAATTCGTTATCTCATGAATTGTGAATTATCTTGTCTTTACTCGAAAATCAGTAATAAAAGCTGAGTTTTCATCGTCTCTCTCTAGAAGCGGAGGAGATTGAAAACCATGGATCATAATTGCAAATATCTGTTTCAAATATGGATGATCAAATTGTCAACGATGGTGGCCGGAGAGCTTCGCAATGCTTTTTCAACCGCTGATTAGGACAAGATTCAAGGATTATGATTGCAATGGGGCCACACGGTCACCCAAAAACCGAGCCACATCAAAATTCCAGACCCGTCCCATGGTTGATTCACCATCCGTCCGATTTTCCTTACCAGCATAAATACCCAAATAAATAATACTATCTCACGTTATTAAGATAATTAATTTGAAGATATTAAGATAATCAACAAAGTTAACTATTTTTAATAAATAAGCACATACTTTTTTAGAACATCCTTATTATTCAATTACATTAAAACTATCTCTTAATAAAATCCTTTAACATGTGCGATGAATTAAGATATTTTAGGTAGAAACTTATAAATTTAGGACACAAAAGCTAAAAGTTAATTAAGCTATTATATTTATAACCAAAATCAATCTATTGTCTGACAATCTATTGTAGGAAATTATCAAAGTCACACTAGCTTCAACACAACATGCCAAAGCTTTGATTATTGAATGGCCTAAATGTCGACCATTGAAAACACTTCAAATACACAAAACAGCAAGTTGAAAAGATACCAATTCCAGGCAAAAGATCAACAAGGGGACTCCGTTAATCACCATAACAACTAAAATATAAAATTCATTGACGGTTTTGTCCAAAGCAAGCAGACGACAAATTCTATAATGGAGGACCAAAAGAAAGTCTCTCCTCTTCCCTGGCTTCTCTCCTGTTTTATAATTTTGAGGACCCAAATCTTATTAATTCTGAAAGAAAACCATTTTGCAGATATCTATACTTTCTTGTAATTTTTAATTTGGTACTTGTACGTTTTCTTTCTTGATTAAATCCTTTAATTTTGCTCTATTAGCATCATTAGCTCATGTACAAGGGCTAATTGTGTTAACAGAATAAATTTACAGATGCTAATGATACAAACAGAAAGTTGAAGGATTTAATCAAATGAAAAATGGCATGAGTACCAAATTAAAGATTCAAGTCAAAGTACAAGTACTTGCAAAATCGTTTTCCCATTCCGAGAAGTACAAACATGCAAAGAAGTAACACCCGCCAGGGTATGCTGGAAGACTTGGCAATATTACCACCTATAGGCGTGCTTTTGACCTTGGAATAGATGAAGCAGGCGCACTCTGCAGTCAATAAAATACAGTGTCAAGTAATTATTCTTGCTACACAGTATCATGCATATGTACGAGGATAGTGAGATAGACAAGGCTTTCTATTCCAACTATTCTTCTGCTAGATCTCTTCCACCTCGAAATCCATAATTCAGCAACATTAAGCCAAAGTACACTTCTCCTCTATTGTTTATAACGAAGTTGTAAGTTACTAAAGTGTTCCACTCGTAATAATCCTATGTGTGTCATTTTTATATATTTAACTGCAAATTCTTAGCTGTTTAGATATCTAAGGTTTCATGGATGTCAAGAAACCGTATTTTTCCCAAAAATTGCATTTAAAAAGAACAAGATTCTTACCAAAGGAATGCCTTTCCTTGCTCTTTCTTCTAAATACCTCGATGGTTTATAGAAGTTACCATATAGCTCTGACCATTTTTTCAGACGAGTATACACATAATTGGCCCCAAGCAAGTCTGCCCAGAAAACAATACCGCCCCTGCCAACCAAAACCGAAAAAAAGAGGAAAATGAGATACAAATTAGGGTACAAGGTACGCTGATCCAACTTGCTAAGTGTTCAAAACAAGCGCTGGACTAAGTACTTGGGATTTGGGATCAATTTCCAATTTTTGCAGAGAAAAAGATTATACAGTTCCAAAAGCATTGATTGAAGATGAATAATCACTCCCTAAATCCCAAAGAAAGATAATACCCCCTTTGGTCCTAAATGTGTATTTGTTTTTCTACGATATCCCCTCCAATCATTTGTATTAAAATCTACCCCATTGATGGAAACTTCCTTTAATATGTGCAACAATGAGGAATAGTTTGAAGAAAAAATTATAAATTTGTTAGACAAAGCTGATTAAAATATTATATTTAGAGCCAAAATAAACCTCTCAACTAACTCTTATATTGAGGATTAGAGGGATATTTTTTAGAGTTCAAATAAATTACAACCTATTAAATCTAATCACACTTTCACAACGCTGTTGTCACCGTAGATCATTCATGTACTATAGTCTGCCCTTGGTTCAAGGATAAGAATGTTATGGTAATGGAGAGTAAAATACACAATAAGCACAGAATGTCAACAGAATCTCGTGTGCATGCAGGAACACAGATAAGCCACATGTTACAAATAAGACTAAGCAGATTGGTCAAAAAATCACTCATAGTAGGTCAGTGAATCTTGGCTACACCACCAGGCCCTTCCTCCTCCCTTTTTTCTTCTTAATTATGGCTGTGCCTTTATTGCTTTTATTCACCCTTTTGCTATTGTGCATTCTACATATAAATTGCACACGGTTATGCCCCCTTAGCCCCTTTCTAAGTGCAAATAAATGGCAAGGCAGAAGAAAGCAAGAAAGGAAAGGCCCACCAGTGAGAAGGGAAGCTCATTCCAAGAACAGATGCAATGTCCAGGTCTGATGAACGAACAACGATTTCGTCATCTAAAACACGACATGCCTCATTCACTACTGGAAAGAGTACCATCTCCAGAATATCTTGGTCGGTCACAGATATAGGCTGCAAGGTGATAATTCAATTCCTCAAAAGTTAGTTCTACAAATAGCTGAGAGAGGAAGCTCAGATGAAAGCGATACTTGCAAGTCAATATTGTTGACTCAAAGCAATACGGTGTTGATATAATTGAAATCTTACGACAGCAAAAGAAAAGTACCTTTCCGCTGGGCATAATATTGCAAAGTCTCATGGAATCCTCAATAATTGGTAGAACTGAAAGATCAGGTTTTGGCTTGCTGCCCTTTTCATAAATGTAGTACCCTTTCCCATTGGCTTTACCTGATGAATCAAAAGTTTAGAGATGGCCAAGAACAAAAAGCATTAGTTACGAGTCACTACAAGACATGATGTGTGGTGGACAAACAAGGATTTTTGTAAAAATAATAGATCCTGTATTACCATTTCGCCCACTTTTGACCAACAGTTCAACCAGTGGAGATTTAAACGTGCGATCAGGAAATGCACTGGCAAATTCTTTTCCAACTGCTAGGGCAACTCCATACCCAGCCAAGTCCTGAAGTCTGCAAGCCACAAAATCATCTATTTCAAAATAGCAGAAAACTTGTTTAACCCTTTACACCCAGTTTGCTAGGACCAGGCATATGCCTGTTGCTTCATGTCCTCATGGTTTAATCATTAAAATTTTCAAAACGCAGCCCTGGCTTTTTGGCGTATGGCAAGTGGCTTTGGAATATGTTTCTAAATGTCACATCAACTTCAAACAAAGTTTATAGTAATAATAGCATAAGATTCAACCATGAGCTTCTGTTCAATCCACACAAGGTTTACATGATCCTGAGATCAGGCCCTTTTCTTTCTTTTTGGGTAACAATGATGAGCAAATAAATGAAAATGTAATACATTTTAATTAAAATATGATGATAATAAGTGCTCTTAAGAGAAGAAATTTACTGGAAAGGGCCCATAGGAAGACCAAAATTGCTGATTACTCTGTCAATTCGGAAGATGTCCACGCCCAAGTTGGCCAATAAATGAGCACCTTGTGAATAGGGGAAGAAGGTTCTGTTGACTGCAAAGCCAGTACAGTTACCAACCACAACAGGCACCTTTTTTATGATTTTCCCAACAGTCATTAAATCTAGAATTACTTGCGGAGAAGTTTTCCCAGTACGTACAATCTCCAAAAGAGGCATAATGTGAGCAGGACTGTGCATTAAGAATGTAAAGTCAGAAATCCTCCACAGAACACGTCTATTTGTAGAGAGAATTGACCACTACAGGAACACAAGATTGGACAGAAATGTACTATCAATCTGCAACTCTAATGTCATCAACTGCAACAACGTAGAAACTGTTTGGCAACAGAGACGGTCTACAGAGCAAAATACATTGAGAACAATTTTTTTTTTTTTAAATTGAAAGAACATATGTATTTTAATTGTAAGCAAGTTCTGATAGGATCAATTATGCTAAAATAACTGTAAAGCATTTTATTGTGCAGATTAATAAAGGCACAATTTAAGAAATAACCATAACTTCAACAACATAGACAGCATGAAATGTTTCTCCCAACCCAAAAAAAAAAAAAATAATAATAATATGAAGAAGACCTCAACAAACCATGTCAAAATATTAAATACCCATTCATGCTCAAAAGCCTAAAAGTCATCAGCATTTATCATACTTATCTCTTCCTGTCTAACGCTCAATTAGATGTCTTGAAAGGCACTTTGGAATCCAGACTAAAATGTGGCATCTTGACGGATCTGATTTCTTTGAAGTACTGAAAATGAGTAACTTATTCTCTCTTTTATAACAGAAGAAATTGTAGAATCTATCTCATAAATAGCTTCTTATTCATTTAAACTTATGCCAGGAAAAAATGGCTTCATTAGAGCCAAAAAAACAAACAAGTATTGGCCACGAAGACTAAAAGAAGAGTATTAATACATTGCACCATAATAAGGTTAGGCAGTTAAGGTTTAATGATCCATTATTTCCAAAGCAACAACTCCATTTCTTTAGTTGATGGTACATTTTTTAATGGAAAGGTAGTAAGAGAAATGACTCAAATAACCTGAAAAAATGAGCTCCCGCAATGCGATCTTGAGAGCTGGTCTTTTCACCAATGATGTTAAGATCAATAGTTGATGTGTTTGTTGCTAAAATGCAGTGGGGAGGGCAGGTATTCTCAAGATCTTTAAATATAGTTTGTTTGAGACTAACATTTTCAATGACAGCCTGCAAAGAGGGAAATTAACATTAATTGATTTCCAACAGTATTTCTATAAGTCAGTACACAACTTCGATATATTTATAAGATATTCTTCATCATGCTAAAAACACAAGAGCCAGAGAAACAAACACTGAATGCATATAGAATACAAGGGCATTTGTCAAACTTATTTAAAGCATCCAATTCAAACAAAGTCAACTATTTTCCTATTAAAATAAAGGCCTTCCCTATCACACAGTATCCATATTAAACTGAAAAGATAAGAATTAAGCAACCAACCTCAATGACAATATCCACATCTTTAAATTCAGAGTAATCAAGCACGCCTTTAAGCAGTGAGAGTGTTCTATCTGCCCCATCTTTTTTCAACTTTCCTTTTGTTACTAAGCTACGAACATTTGCTGTCATACATGATGAAACAAAGGAAAATGTAAAACGTTATAAAATGAATCTTTACATGTGTCAAGGATTAAACTTGTTTAGATTCGTCCTTCCTTCAGTAGTTGCTGATGTTTAAATGTTTCCAACATGTTAAACAGCAGCCTTCTATTACTGCATCTTAAGCAGAAGACTCTCAGGGAGCAATTTACTGAACTTGCCAGTCTGCCAAATTTGTAATAACAAGTTCTTCTATGTATATGGCAGATGCCACATACATTATGAGGACATTAGAGCATTAACATTCTCTAGATTAGCAATTAATTATATGTGCCAACGGCCTTCATATATATGTCTGCACTCATCAATAGCAACTCTTCATAACACATGATGTGAAATATTAAAAATGTTAAAAGAAAACACCATCCATAAAATGGAGCCCACACCACTGAAGACGATGTGTATAGCAAATTATATATCCTTAATAACTAACATAATATCATCCATTACAGTTATCCTTCAGCCTCCGATTCATCCTACGATGCTCAAATGACAGAAGAATTACCTTCTATTAATTTGATTCCCCTCTGCAGATATTCAGAGTTAACTTCCTTGAGTATAACTCGTATATTGCCCAGTATAAGAGCTGTAGCAATGCCAGAACCCATCAGACCTCCTCCAATAACAGCAGCTTTCTTTATATTTCTCGGTTTAAGTCCAATATCAGTAACGTTAGGCACCTGGCAAAGGCACAATTCAGAGAACATATTCAATTCAAGAGAGCAAAGTCCCAGTCATTTTTCAGGTTCAAGAATGAGATGATATATCTGCATTAAACGCCAAAAAAGAAAAAAAGCGAAACATCAATCTGTCCTTCGCTGTATGAAAGGTGTATAAAATATTTTTCTTTCCTCAAACGTTTGAATAATAAAAGGTTGTCCTGAGCAAAATTTGCCACTTCTACACATCCTTGTCATGCTTTTTATTGGCCATAAGCAGACAAACAAACAAACTCTTAGCACCAGGCATACTTTTATTGAACTGCATTACTTCAAAATAATGCAATACTCTATCAAAAATTTTCATGCAAAACGACACACTAGAAATCAAAAGATAACCTAGTCCAGTTTTCCAATAATTCAGATTCCACTAGCCATAGAGAAGGGTCATATCTAATTTAGTTACCTTTGATACTGCACGCTGAGCAAAGAAAACATGGACTAGACATTTTGAAGTGTCAGATATGACTAGCTTCTTGAATAGTTCTGCCTCCTGCAATCACTTAATGAATTAGCAAATATGTGAAGCAATCACATCACAAGCTACACAAATACATATGAATGAGTGAAGTATGCCAGATACAATAAGCAGCAAACAACATCTGTCCATGGAGCAAGATGACAATGATAGAACTCCAAAAGAACAAAGCAAACACTTCCTTGTAGACAATCAAAGGAAGAAAATAGGGAGAATTATGCCTGAAGGACAAATTCACAATTCTTTTATTCCTAATGACCGCCAATAGTAAATACTCATTGTTCCACTTGTAAATTTGTATTTGCTTGAGTGATAAATAGTGTTAAACATTTTTTTTTTCGTTCTAAATTTGCATCATGTGAATGGTAAATACTCCTAGTTCAAAGCGAAAATTTGTGCTATGTGAGTGGTAAATTTGCAGGCATTCGTGAAAGTCAATTTGTGAATTTGGTCCCAAAAAAAAAAAATACCCTCAGAACTCCACTGTAGCCTCCATAAACTATTCCATGCTCAATCACATCCAGGCAAGCCTGGTGCTGAGGCATATGTGGAGCAGTCTTCTTGACTTGTTGTCTGGCCATTTTCAGCGCCTCACGTGCTTCAGAGAGGGAAGCAAGTTTGTCCGTCCTATGAAGTGAACGTATCCAAGGTTTGCGCCCCTCTACAATGTCAACAGCCCACAGCCGAGATACCTTCAACAACTCTTCCGAAGACACAATAGCATCAACAAGCCCTAGTTTCTTTCCTTCTTCAGACATGATTGGTTTAGATGTCTGCAAAAAGTGTAACATTGAACTAAATTACGGTGCATAAAGAAGTTAAAAGATGATACTATCTGTACAGTATAAGTGTTCCTCTGTTTATCATGGTTTGCACCCATTCTGTCAGTTCCTTAGGAGTCAAACAAAACATGTACAAATTAATAAGCTAAAGGGGGAAAAAAAAAAGCATAAACAAGTAGATGCAATAAATTTGTAGATTTCATTATTCTCACAACAGTTTGAATTGTAATTGATTTTATTTTACATGTTAATTCAATTGTCATGCATAAGAAAAGCCACACCTAAATCAACAACTTCAAAAGCAATTTTTCAGGAGTAAGAGCTTCTAAACAAAGTCATAGACAATAATCGACACCCCTGCAAAGAATCAAAATGTGTCAAATCAATGGCACAATACCGTTGCTCATAAAACTTTATGATGCATGTAAGCCCTCTTGTTTTATTTCTCATTCTTACCTGCCTTTTCTTTATATACAATCAACATTCACCATCTTTTACAGTGATGCAGTAAATCAAATGCAAGTTGCAAGAAATGAGAACAAAAAGGAAAGCATCTTACCAGCATCATTTCAACAGCCTTAGACAGCCCTAGAAGCCTTGGAAGACGCTGAGTGCCTTAAAGATTAACAACATTCGTTAGCAGGTGAGTGCTGTGAAATGTAGGAAGGATTCAGAGCTCCTAATAAAGATCACGGAGGATATTCATATGCATAAGCAAACAAACCTCCAAATCCAGGAATCACTCCTAGTGTCAGTTCTGGAAGGCCAAGCTGAGTTCTTGGAGCAGCAATACGTGCATGGCATCCCTGTATAAAAAAAGTGTTATTAAATTTCACACAGTCATGAAGATATATTTGGATTCCAATCAAATGGTAAATGAAACATTGTGCCTGCTCAATGACAGCGACTAACCATAGCCAATTCTAAGCCACCTCCAAGAGCAAGTCCCTCTATGGCTGCAACAACAGGCTTCTTGGAATCTGTAATTATATAAAGTGCATTAATAGTTTAACAGTAATTAGTACTAATAGAATCACCAAATTCCCAAGGTAGGCTTCAGGGAAAATCGCAACCTTCAATTGTATTGACTACCAGTGCGACAGAGACATCAGGAACAATAGTGACATCCCCTGTAAAGAAAAATCGCAAGTAGTGCGCCTTTGAGGGTCATACTTGAAACCAGAATTTAACTATTAATTTAGCATAATTCAATTTTTCCAAAATGCAAATTCAATCATTGCACACCAGTTTGGTGAACCTTCTGCATGACACTGATGTCGAATCCACCAGAAAACCGCCTACCCTTGCCTGGAACAAGTTTCAGAACAATCACAACGCTTTGACTATGACAATAAAATATTCATTCAATTTTATTTTCTGGAGAATTAGAGCGAGGACCAGGTTAATCAGATGCCTGTCCTCAATGAGTCATTAAGCCGCTCGAGGACGCAGGTCAAATACATCCAGTCCTCAAGCTTAATTTACACTGTTTATTACGAATAAACCAAATCCAGTATCATAGAATCACCACACACGTTCAATCCAGAGAAACCTTACCAGTCAAAACAATAGCCTTTACATCATCTCTTCTCGTGGCCTCATCGAATTTCTCCTTCAACCCCCTAATAACTAAACCAGAAAAACAGAATAGAAATATAACATTAGAAGGGAAGAAAGAAACGGCAGTGGACGAAAACAAAAGAATAAAGAAAAGCCGAAGCTCACTTGGAATAGCCAAGGCGTTTACAGGAGGGTTACACATAGTGATGACTGCAACCCCATCACTTCCGACCTCCAATTCAACCTTAACCGCTGCCATTTCTGAGAGTCCCGAATCCTCCTAGCGTCGTTCCTTCGCCGAGTCTTATTCTTATTTTTTGGGCATAAACAGAGGCAAATGGTGGTGGATTTCAGGGGAAAGTTGATAACGATATTAGAAGTAATGATTTCGAATGACCAAAGGACGGCCAAATATCTATATAATGGAAAGCGAAAAGGACGTTGGGCTGAGTTCCTTGGCTATTTCCTGGGTGACTTGGTAGTGTAGAGCTGACTCACCGACCTCTGGAACAATTCCAGTAGTGCGCCACGGGGAAAATGCGTTTTAAGAGTTAGAATCAGATGCGTGCTGCCACGGGTTGAGTATGAGAGACTTGGGAACGCGATTTGTTGGTACTGAAGGTGAGACGTGAAGAGATGACGCGTGTCACATGTGCCTCTATATCATCCAATCACATCGATCCATTTCCTCACTGGCACAGGCTTACCCAATGACTGCGTTCTGGCAAGCACTTCCCGCCATGCATTGATGAACTCCCTCCTTTCACAGAAAGACCCTTTTTTGGGCCAAACACAAGGAGACCAATCTAAAACAACTAACAGCCTGTCCGTTTTTTATTCATTATATCTGGGTTGTTAAAAATTAGACAGATTCGTCATTCGTCAAGAACTTTGGGGGGGAAAAAAAACAGCTTGTCCGGTTTTTATTCAATGTTTGGGTTGTTGAAATATGCTTTGTCAAGCACTTTTTTTTTTTCCCAAAAAAGAGTTTAAGGCTATATCCTTTACATAATTATTATTAAAAAAATTTAGAAAGTTTTCTTTTCAACCACCAATAAAAAAGCTTAATTTAATACTATCGATGTCAATATTTATCAGCTGGCGAAAAATATTACTCTCTGTGATGTTGTGTGTTCAAATAACCAAATCACATTTAATGAGTTTGTAATTAAAATTAGTTAAAAATAATAAATAGGTCAAAAATGTATCTTTTTTTTTGAAATTTGTCCTTATTTATTAATAGAGTAAATGAGAGTCAATAAATAAAAAAATAATAAAAGAAAATATATAGGAGTAATATTAATGAGAGAAAGAAAATACTAAATATAGTCAACTGACGACAAAATAGAAAAAAAAAGTAATAAATACTCAGACATTAAAATTTAGATTTTGGACCAGACTTATCTTCAAAAGTAAAGCTTATATTTATATATATAAGAGGGGAGGAGTAATATTTATCCCGCTCAACCTGACCCGAAATTAAAGTTGTTGAGTGCGTGAGTTTAGATAAACCCGTTCATACTAAACCTCACATGAAATTAATTAATTAAATAATTAAAACAAACTTTTCTCGCCATTAAATCAAATCATCTAGAATAGGCTGCGACTTCGCGAGTGAAGTGAGTTTACTTTTACAAATTTTAAATAATTATATTTCAAAATTAGAAAATATTTAAGTTTGCTAATCTAATCAAATTATTAGTTAATCAATTCAAAATTCACTGAACTACTGAATCAAGATAAAAAGAAATAATTTTATTCAAATGAAATTAACACGGACAATTACATGTTTTAGACTCTTAGTGCAAGACACATTACTGTTGTCACGTGTAAGTATTATTCGCGTAAGTATTTTTCGCATGATATGATAGTAAGTTTGGGTGAACTGAGTTGCTAAATAAGTGTTGATAAAAACCCAGTCCAACTTCTTAGAAGATCATCTATTATTGATGAATCACATGATTAAATTAAACTGAAGTCTCGTATTCATATTTAGATCTCTCATATTTATATTTAAATACGCTATTTTTCTCCTTTATACATGAAAATAGATATGTGCACAGATTCATAGATACCTATACTACCCCTGATCCTAATTATAAGATCTTATTTGTAGACTATAAATGAGATCTTATTATTAGGATAAAAAATAGTATCACCTAAAAAGCCAAAGCTAGAGGAGCACAGGTCACAAAATGCATAAAAATCTTACCCATCATAGGAAAATGGGAGATAGACTACGGCGCAACTCTTACAATCACTTTAAAAAAAATATCTTCGTACAAGTCAAGATAGAATTCTTCTCATATATTCACGTCAAACACCATAAAATTATTTTTAAAAGTCTACTCCAATACCAGGAGAAAAACATGTTAAAATAATAACTTTTTTTTTTAATTTCATAGCATTTTCTCATATTTATGTTCGTGTCCAATAAGCCATAGAAATTGATATTATTTCAATGCTTACCCTTCAAGATGCCAATTGGCTTTGATATTTATAGCTTGAGTAAGGTGGCTAATGATCAGAATCGTTGATATAGGCAGGGGCAAAAAAAAAAGAAAAGCGTATGTGCTGATAATATTTGGTTTTGTGAAGTTGAAGCTGAATAACTACATACACAAATAACACGAGGAATATGAGAGACAGGAAATCTTGGCGACATAAACATAACAAGTTTGCTTTTATTTAAAAAAAAAAAAAATCAAAGATGAACAGTCATTGACACTGGGGAGTTAAGAGTTAGGAAGCGAAGTCTCAATGTGTACGTTTCGTGCGCCGAATGAGCCACAAAATGTCACTTCCATGGAATGATTTTCTATGGCGTCCTACTTTCTGGGTACTCTGCAGAACACATCCTTTCACAGTTAAGAAAACAGAGCAAACCCAAAATTCAATATAATCAGTATATAAGGACGTAGGATTTGAGCAACTCACTTGGAAATGAAACGTAGCATTTGGAACTCTCGTTAATACTGACAAGCCATCCCGAACAGGCACCACTGTACGGTATATACCAAAAAAAAAAAAAAGAAGAGATTTTCAGTCTATGTCCATTGCCAATTTGCCATTATGAAGGGCAAGGTAGTATCTTATATGCGCCTTACTTGTAGAAGATTCTGACTTTATATTCGTCTCCATTACGTTCTTAGTTTTTATTTTCCATGGCACCGTACCCTCAAAATCACTGCGTTAAAAATCATAAATGTCCAACTTTGTCATATCAGGGATTGTTATGTTGCTTCTGACAGCCGATAAACATGTGGCCATGATCTTTTCATTATTAGATTAAGTACCTTGATCTTTCACTGCCTGGTTTCTCGAGGGTAGGTGCTGATCAATGAAACCATTTGATGAAAAAATAACCAAATTACGATAAGAGCCAGGTAAAACCCAAAAAAAAAAAAAAGTTATGGCAGCATAATATATCCTCATAAAGGTGCATCATTTTCTTGTGGTTTCTCTGAGAAAATGGACAGGGGAGACTTGAAGCACTTACGTGATGATAAGTAACGGGAATGGAAACGTGGTAATTTCTCACTCCATCGCATATTAGTGAGGGCAAGCTTATCAGCATATTGTCCGCACGAATTAAGCCTCTGCGAAAAATGACCAACTTGATTTACAACTCTGTTTTAGTCAACAACAATAAAGACCTTGTCTAGATGCAGATGCTAACAAAAAATGCTCTTTCTGCAGAGTGATAACACTGACTTGTTTGAGAGAATTGATGCGCAATTCAGCCTCAGAAAAGGCATTGGTCTGAGAAACAAGGCATTCAAGATTGGTAGACACGTTTCCAAGATGGTCTATAACAGTAACCACTGCCCTGCACAAGTAACCTTTTGTGTTTTCCACCACCCTGCATGAAACATCATATAGGAACTCTAAAATCACTTTCAAGACACCACACAAATGTAAAAATGGGCCTAAGCCCAGATGAATAAAACACAATGGGTGTGGGCTCAAGCCCAGCTCATAGATCTACCCGGAAATTAAAACTCAGCAAACCAAAATTTTGGAGACTCTTCCAGGACCTATCACAGGTTAAATGGGTCCTGAATCTAACGGCATACTGTTAAAAACTACGGAAAGTCATTCCATAGAAGGTAGAAGCTGAAGCCTGAAGGTAGATGTTAATGTTTGCGTTACTCACTGTGTCTTCTCTTCGCCTTTCAAGAACGCAGTTTCACAGTAATCTGCTGCATGGTGAAGCTGAGACCTCAGCTCTCTTAGCTCCTGCACATTGACCATGAACAAGCCTTAAGCTTTTCCTAATGATGTAAATTACAAGTAGTAAGACAAGGTAGATAAAATATGATATATATGCATACGGACCTGAAGAGACTTGTCAAAGTTGATGCTTTCTTCCACCTCTGCTTCTGGGGTTTCAAAAGGAGAAGGCTTGGATACAGCATCCATGGAGGAAGACATAAAAGTTTTGATTTCTGAAAGTAATGCTTATAAACACGAGAATGGAGTGGAAAAAAAGGGTTTCTTATCTGCTCTCTTCTTCTGATTGTGACACGTCGGGGAGGATTTTTGTCATTGTCCCCCCCACCAATCAGAGTGTGAAAGATGGGTTTCTGTGACTACCGGAGGCTTGTGAAATTTTTCAAGAAGCAAACAAACTTGGAAAAGCATGATTTGGAGGAAGATGACAAACCAACAGTTTTCAGTCCCGTGATATTCTGTTCTTCGCTTTTTGGAGCTTTAATTATTTAAAAAAGGCAGGGTAAGTGTGACTCAGACTGTGACAAAATGCAATGAAACGACATGGCCACATTGATCCATTTGAAAATTGAGGATTTTATAGGCAATATTACAGCTCTGGACCGTTCAGTGAGATTACCACCCGTTATTCTTTCGAAAACGACAAGATTGTGTTGCTAATCCTGTAGTGATGATGCCTCAGTTAAAACCAAGTTTCAGAAGGATTTATAGATTCAATTAGGCGAAACCAATAATTGCATCCCCGCTTCCATATTGAAAAGCACATGAATGGCGGAGAGCTCGCCGGGGTTAGGCTTACCCGGCACATGCAAAGCTTCATTTGAGATCCAATCTGGACAAACATGAAGGAACGGGGAAAATGAAGAACGATGAGTGAGTGATTATTATGAACTGCTTCAACGGGATAAGCTAACTTAAACTGAGATTTAACATCCGGAAACACAATCGAAGCACCATTTTTTTCTCTCTCCATATTTTACCAACCGGAGGCGGAGCTATCCAACCGAGTGCAGGGCTTAGTTAGTCATTTGCAAGTGTTTACCCCAGAAAAATAAATTAGATAAACAACCCAAATAAGAGACCAACAACTTAGGCGTCGAATAGGCCTCATATAACCCCGTTTTAAATCCGTTTTGCATGAAACTGCATCATCTTGAGTTCTCTCTCTGTTTTTTTTTCCCCCAACCACCTTAAGCTAATCATTGGGAAGATGTTGCAAATTGCATTACCTTTTTTGGTTGTCATATCTCAATATAAAGAGTGTTATTGGGCCCTAATATAAAAAGTGTTATTGGACCTCAGCCAGGGAAGGAAATCCAATGACCTTATAGGGATGGCGATTTGCGCTTCTCATTATGAGTGATAATTACAAGGTTGTTTTAAAATTATTCTGCATTTGTTTAAATTGTTTCTGTTTTCTTTTGTTTTTTTTTGCCCCAGCATTCTTGTTTTTGTTTTCAAAGAATTAAAATGACGATGTTCAAAATTTTGAAAAATAACCTAATATTATGCTTCTAAGATTTTATAGAAATGCTTTTTGACAAAAAAAAATGATGGTAAATATCTGTGGAAAATATTTGAAACTTGTCTTTATATTTAAAATCCTTAAAAGTTGAGTTTATTTATCAATCAATTCTTTAATTAAAATGTAAATGGATAAATTAAGCATGACATAATTTAATAAAAAAACTATACTACCTTAAATATAAGAGTTAGTTAACTAATTTAAGTAGATTAGAAAATAAATTAAATTAATTTTTTATAATAAATAAGTATTTTCATAATTAATAACATGTCTATCAAAATAATACACTCCATGTTTATTATTCATTAGATGACCCCAAAGCGAAAAGAAAATTAAAAAATTAAGCGCGGTTTCGGAGTTCACGATGATTAATTTTCTGCTTGGTTGGAGTTTTGTCATCTCACATTGTCTTCCTTTGACTGTGACGCAGTTGCAGCAGTGAATCAATTCCACTTTTGAATTGTCAAACGGCGTCGCTTCCGGGGACTGCCGGTGATGGGCGATGACCAATCATCTATCGTAATGTCCAACAGAGACAGAGATCGAGAGCTTCTCATCCCGGTGGCGGACTCCGCCGACGAAGACGCGGCTTGCAAGCCTTCTTCGTCTTCGTCTTCGTCGTCTTCACATCATGCTGGCCGGGAGGTGATCTCTTCATAGGTTATTTTAGGGTTTTAACAGTTCACATGCGCTTACATATCTTGCTATTCCGACAAAATACAAAAAAGAATAAGCCATTTAACCATATTTTGACTTTTCTGTTTTGTAATATCTCACTGCACCGTTAAATTGCTTTTGCGGGACTGCGCACATGTTTGTTTTGTTATTATTGACTGCGTCCGTTTAGGAAATTATGTAGTTCCTTTGACTTGGATTGGTACTATTTCTGGTTCGGAAAGATGATCAATTATGAATTTTAATGGCAGCTTCTTTTCCTGGCTAATTTTGTTACCCCACTTAATTCTGAGATCATTTTGATATTATGCAATGGGAACCTGAAGTGCTCCCTAATTTTTCACTGAGTGAAACTATGGTTTGCTATAGAACCACTCTTTAGGCAACCATAGCACGATCTTAACTATTGTGTTAAACCTACATTTACTATTTCAAAGGCAATTGTAATGAAATCAATTGCTTGTTATGGGGTTTATCGTACATCAAATGGGATACCTTTTTCTTTTCTTTTGTTTTGGTTTTTTTTTAAAGGACATGGGATCGATTGATATTTATATCAGGAGAAATTTTTATCTGTTGCCTCTTGAATATTAACCTCTACATTTTTTAGCAGTCTATTGATAATGAACTTTTAATTGAAGAAAGTGACACTTCTGATTTATGAGGCATTTCTGTACCACAGCATTGTATTAGGAGTACTTCTGTGTGCAATGCCTTACATTTTAAACTAATATCATAATTGAAATTTTCGAACATAAGCTCAATTATAATTAACAATGTGTTTGCTTTTCTTTGCTTGAGCTAGAGTCTTCTACTGGAAAACGTTAAACCACTGGTGAAGTTACCATTCATGTAAAGTGAATATCTCTGTTATATTACCAAAAAATGTTACTGGAATAGATGTTTAGTAATTGAGGAAGTTTCTCAATGGTCTTTTGGCTTTCATAAGACATAAAAAAGCCAAGTTATGCATAAACTGAGCAGTATTTTTGGTTAACAGTTACATTATATCTTGAGCACAGGAAGATTATGACTAAAGAATGAATTAGAGAGATTTAACTTTGTATGCTTGTCTGTTATCATTCTATGTTTTCTAAATTATAATCACAGTATCATGTATATGGAAGAAAAACACATAATTAATAATAGAGTAAATTTAACTTGTTAGTTTATAGATTTCAGTTGCTTAATTTAGTATGCAGTGTGCTGTGTACATCCCCAAGCTACAGAGAATGCTACTTAACTGACATATTATAATCATTCATCTCATTACTACTAGACTTGTCCTCACAAATTGAACTGATTTTTTCATTTCACAAAAATTAATAACTAACAAAATGTTCCCTCTATTGCATCTGCTCACTTATTAACTCTAAAGCATCTGTCTGACTGATTGCTATGTGTTGTTTCATCATTTTGTAGACTTTTTACAAGGTTGTTAGGAGCTGGGCATCCAAAAAATTCATGACTGGCTGGTGCGCGATTCTTTCTCCAATCTGATATCTTGCTACTTATGCCATGTATGCTATGTTATTGCAAATTCTGACATATGTACTCAATTATTCTACCCCTACCTTTTAATTAATTTGTTGTTGTCTCCTGAAGAAACATGTCATTTGCAAGCTTTGCATTCTCTAAAATCTCAGTCTAGCTTCAATTCTTGAGCCATAATATAGTTCTTTAGACATCCTGTTGCTTATGTTGTATGTGGTGGTATGGTACAAATTGCAAGTTATCGCACATGATAATCATAATCATTTTATGTTTGAAAGATCCCACAGACCTGCTTGATTAGGCTGAGAGGTGTATTCTTAATAATCTTTTCAAAGTTATACCCATTATGTAATGTGAAATCCTAATTAAATCTAATCCTAGGTTCTGTGGCCTATATTTCCAAATGGCTTACTGAGATCTACTGATTTCAGTTTAGCCCTATACGCTGATTCCCTAAATGATTGCGCTGTGTTTTGTGTGTGTGTGTGTGTGAAATACTTTGAATTCTAGCATTGCTTGAATTGAGAACACATTTAAAAGTCAAGTTGATGGAGAAATTAATTACACACAAATCAAGATGTTAGAATTAGAATACTTGTTGCCAAGAATGTTTCTTCTTCTGCTCTCTCCATTCTCCACTATTCCAGCTTCTACTCTTATAGATCTATGCTTTGTGAACAATTGCCTCATGATTACTTGTCCTTTCTTTTCAGATTGCGTACTGCTTTAGCCTTTTAGAATTTATGTAATCATTTTGTCTTTGCCACAGTTCCCTTTTGTGCATCACAAAAATCTTGATTGTTTGGAGCACTGGACAATAAAGAAAGCAAATGAAAAATGAAAGGTTTTCTGTCAGGTTTAACAGTTGCTACACCCCTAGTTTTTTTAATATCTTGTCTGTTCTCTTGGCATGCTTTAACCAAAGCTGCTCCCCCCCCCCCTTTTCTGGGTGACAAAACCTACTTGTTTTATAACTATTGAATTGCAATGTCAACAGTTCCCTCAGCTAAGCCAATTGCTTGCAACATAAATGCATGTATTTGGCACGCATATATATATATATATATGTATGTGTGTTCTCTGTGTGTGTGTGTCTCGGCTATAACTCGTAGTTGGTTATTTTGCAGTGTCATTCTATTTCCACTGGCAATTACCTTCTATATCACATGGTGGTTTATTCATTTCGTGGATGGATTCTTTTCTCCAATCTATGCTCAACTTGGAATTGATATTTTTGGTAAGTGCTTTTACTTTTTAGGTACTTCCCCATCTCTCTCTCTCTCTCTCGGGATTTGGACAAGTTAACCCTCCCTTCCCCCATGGGGGACGGTACCCACCCACCCATCACATCCCCCTATTTTGGCCACTGCATCATATCTCTCTACCTCTAATGTATCGAACGTGTGTGATGAACTGTAAGGGAATTCACAATACCAATCTGGAAAAAGATTTGTCTAAAATGCACACTACACTTTGAAGAGTAAAATGCAGAATGATTAACTATCAATAGAGAAATCAGCTATTCATACAACTGTACCGGTGAGTAGATAACTTACTCCCTTGATTTTTTCATCAAGGATAACTATCTGCTCTATGTTCTCTAAAGTATTGTGGAGGAGCCAAATCCTTTGGACTTCTACAAGTCATGGGTTAGGTTGTTGTTGTTGTTGTTGTGTTTTTTTTTTTTTTTTTGAAAAAATGGGAGTGTTTTTCTAAGAATATTATTTAAGGTTGTTAAAAAATTACTATTTAGTAATCTGTAGTAGACATTAGGATGAATATGAATTCAATATTCTTAATATCCATTTTATTTGTGTTTTACTGTATTTAACCCCCTTTCTCCCTACTCCCTCTTTTTAAGTAAAAATGTGGGAATGGAGAACAAAACTGGTGGAAGTGATTGTTTGGAAATTATAAAGATAATTGAGTGTTGTTATCTCTAGTACTCCCCAGATGGATTGAACTTGATGTTAATGTCATTTGCTGATTTCTGATTCTTAATTAGGTCTTGGATTTGTAACTTCCATAACTTTCATCTTCTTGGTGGGGGTTTTCATGTCATCATGGTTGGGTGCATCTGTTTTGGGCCTTGGCGAGTGGTTTATTAAGCGAATGCCCCTTGTTCGTCACATTTATAATGCCTCTAAGCAGATTAGTGCTGCTATCTCACCAGGTGTGTCACTGTGTGTATGTAAACACCTTGCTCTACTATAAGGTACAAGTGCATCAATGTTGATTGAGAAGGATTATATTGACATATTTACTGTCACAGATCAAAACACACAAGCCTTCAAAGAAGTGGCCATCATTCGGCATCCACGAGTTGGTGAATATGCATTTGGATTTATCACCTCATCTGTTGTTCTTCAGGTTTCCAAGGAGCTTTCTGTTTCATGTATTTCACATTTGGAAAATATTCATGCAGCATTAACATGAGTTTCTGAATGCATGACATGATATTGCTATATTGTGTGGACCTTTAGGTTGCATTACGCATATTGATACTGGTTCAGGCAAATATTTGTCTTGGATGGTGTGATGTGCTCATCCGTACAGTGCATATATTAGGTATACGATTTACAGATACTTCATCAGTAAAGCTATCAAATTTTAGCATTAGCATCAAAACTGTGGTCTTACTGTAGGAGTAAGAATTCAATTCATTGAATGGCTGAAAAGTTTTGGTATGAGGGCTGCTAATTGTTGGCTTGTTGCCTCTTGCTGTTCACCTCTCTTTCATTGTTCTCAATTCTAATATTCACCTTTCTTTTATTGTTCTCAATTCTAATGCTGTCTGTTGCTGTATATCCTTTTAAGTTCTTTTATTTATGTAATGCATTTCACAAGTTGTCCAACATGAGTTTTATATTGGAGTTTTAAGCAATTTTACTTGTTGAAACTGAAAGTTTTCACGTATACAGAATTACTCTGGAGAGGAGGAGCTATGCTGTGTCTATGTTCCAACGAATCATCTTTATATTGGTGATATATTTCTTGTCAACACCAAGGATGTCATTAGACCAAACTTATCAGTCCGTGAAGGGATTGGTGAGTGATTCTAGATTTATAACTTCTTTAAATTCACCTGCTGCTATTATTATTTGAGTAAGGCCTATGTTTTCTTTTTTGAGCTTCTTAATTCTGTCTAAACTTTGTCTGGATAACTTACTGAAAGAGAGAGAAAAACGAAGTTATGGACCAACTTCTTTGAGTATTTCAAGTTTCATATGATGTGCTAGTTTTCTTTCATGAGTAGTACTTCCCTAGGAAGTGGCTAAATTTGTTTTCAAATGGCAGAAATTGTCGTTTCTGGAGGCATGTCAATGCCACAAATCCTATCAACGTTAGATCCTCGAGTCATGCCAGCAGATAGAATCAGACCTCCCAGCTGAGAAGTAGAGGAAGAAAATACGGGTTGTTACGTTTTTTATTTTTAGTACGTTTAAGTTTTCCCAAGTAGCTTGGTTTAATATGGAGCAAAGAATGCAATATTTGAATTTAAATTAGTTATTGCTGAGGAATAGAGATCAGATTGTGTGATGGAATTGTGTAAGAGATATTTGTTTCTGTGTAATAGAAATTTGAATTTGCCGTTCGTTTTAATTTGGGTTGGTGGTGGATGGCGACACAGGTATTACCAATTAACCATCTGATAATTTTGTGCATCAGGTTCTTTCTGCAAATGGTGAAGTTTAGATGGATTCTATTAGCACCTATTACTTTTTTCTTGTTACTGTTCGTAACTTTTTTATGTAAAATTTGTATAGCAGTTAAAGTTTTGATGATAATGTCACTTGACTGGCGAAAATAAAAGGGTAAAGCAGATAAAAGATAATGTAACTTGTAATGTTATAACTCAAGAATTGCAAATGAAGACCAGCCTTGGCCTTTTTTTTTTTTTTTTCCAGGCTGAATCACGGTCATGCTTTTTGATCAACCATAAAGTTTTGTTGGTGAAAAGGAAACAGAAAAACTTTAGTAAAATTTTGATCTTGAGAATTTTTATATAAGTTAAATATATTAAATTATATAAAATTAAAAATAATTAATTACTTAAAATTGAAAATAAATCAAAGAAGCGGTAAAATAATAATTTCTATTTAATTTATTTATAGTTAGGTAATATGATAAATTGATTCGTAATCTTATATACTTGTCTTACCAATCAAATCAAAGCAAGTGGCTTTTAAAACATTAATTAATAATATTAATACTGGGGTTTGTTATAAAACAAATAACATAAAAAGCACTCTATCGGAAATGATACCTTAAGTATGTAAGACTACTTTTTTTTCTTTTACTTGTTTTGCATTCAACTTAACCTATTGGACTTAAAACTAATTTTTGTCAAATCAGGTGTATAAAACTTAAAATCTTCTTAACAAGTTTGTTTATTAGGATTCAAATTTGCGTTTTATTCCCCCTATTTAATGATATTAAATTTTGTTTATTTTTTTGATGCAACAATTCTTATTTATTATTTTCATCATAAAATTATATTTGTCCATATTTCAAAATTGTGATAAAAGTAACAACAAAATATCAAGATTGATAAAAATTGATATGATGTCTTTTGAGATTCACAATTACGAGGTTAATTATATTAAAATTATAATTAAAAGATTAATAATTGTCCCATTAAAAATGTAAAAAAAAAAGAGCAGCATGTAAGTTAATAATAATTTTATTATTTAATTAGTAATGTTATAAGGATGATAATATACATTTGATCCGGAGGAAATAATTAAATTAAATTAAAGTGTAGTCTCTTCTTGAAAATAGCCCGACCCTTGCGGCCGGCTCAGGTTAGTTCGCGCCTTCGCGGCGCTTCCTGAGCACATTCTAAAGTCAGCCGCATCACTTTGTAAACCCTAGCTGCCAGACGTTCTTTATAAGCAGGGCCAAGTGTGTTGCATTTCCTAGTTCCCGCCTCGCAGCTTTCGTCTTGTCGTTCTAGGGTTTGTAGCTGCCGGTTGAAAATCACTCTACGAATCTGTTTTTTCGCTTCTCCCGTTCTCTTGTTTCTCTAGCAAGAATGTCTGTGTTGAACGGTTTTTCTTATTTTTCACCTTTTGGTACCTAATTGTTTGATTTGTTAGCGGAAAACAAGCGGGACAGTGACGATTTTGATGTTAAGGTCTCGTTCGTCGTAATTGGCCTAACCGGCCTTGCCGACCATCCTGATATATCACCACCCATATTCCGAGTCCCATCGTTGATTTAGATAATTATTCATATAAGAAGATCTAGTTGCGTTTTTTTCTTAGTGTTTTGTACTTCAAAGGCTTTTAATGTTTATTTTTATTTGATTTCTGCACCATTCCGGGATTTATCGCCCAATGATTAGATCATAACAAATAGACAAGCATATGTCTGAATAATCATGTGGAACAATCTAATCTTCTCTATGAGGCCGATAAACAGTTTTTGGCTTCCTTCAAACTTTGGTTTCGCCCTTCTACATGCGTAATGAGTGACATATGAAACCCTCTTTTTACTCTCTCTCTCTCTCTCTCTCTCTCTCTCTCTCTTTTGTATATTTTACCTCTTAACAAAGAGGGTGCCTCATCGTTTCTAATGGTGGGCTTTAAGTGATGCTCCTCTACCTTGCCGATGATGAAAGTTATGGTATTGTGTATTGTATGATATTTCATGATTACTATACCAACTACTGCCTTCCTTCTGAGGCCTTTGACTGCTCATTTACTGTAGTTCTCTGTCATCTATAGGTTTTGTTTTCTTAAGCTCGTATCTCGTTGTAGCTTTTGAGTTTCTATTATAAAATTGATTGCCTGTTCGAATTTAACTAGCGGCGTGAGATTTGATGGCAGGGTCATGTGATGAACAGAAGCATAGTTCAGATGATATTTTTGTGATTATTTCGTTTTAAGTCTTTCGCTCCTATCTGATGACCCTTTCAAACTTCTATTAGACTCGGTTCTGGTTAATGGGTGCAAAGGTTTTACATTCCTTTCTGCCTAGTGTTCGTCTATGTTTTACCCCCAGAGGCCTTTTTCCCCTATGCATTTAGTTTCTATTTGGGACTTTGTCTGCCCCTTTAGCAGTGTCATTGAGTGCTTTAGGGATGAACATGTCCCAGATAATTATCCATCCGAATCACTTTGTCAGCTTTTATTTTTGTTTGCTTGCTGATCATTATAGGATGGAATATTGACAAGCATCTCAAGTTATGGGGTATATATGTTTTTATTATATATTAATGTCACTGATGACAATTTTAAAGGCTTGTTTCTCAAAACATTCGCAGTGGCCGCCTGAGAGCTTTCGCCTTTGCCGGGCTTGAGAGCTAATGCTGCTGTAATCCTTCCTTGGATGTCTGAGACATTTGCATGTGATGTTTTCGATGTTTTTTGGCATTATTGTCCCGATTGTAAATTTTGCGAAGTGAATTTGTTTGCAAGTTACTGTTAGTTGTTTGAAGTACTTTTTTGGTCATTCTTCTGATATTCTGTCTTAAATTCCTGTGATGCTTCTCTTATGCAAAACTTCAATAAATTTTGAAGTCATAATTCATGTGAGTTATATGTTCAATGATGACAAATCCAAAGGCTTGTTTCTCAATACATTTGCAGTGGCCGCCTAAGAGCTTTCGCCTTCGCCGGGCTTGAGAGCTAATGCTGCCCCAATCCTTCCTTGGATGTCTGAGACTCTTCTCACTAATTGTTCTTGAACCTCTCCTTTTGAACCGAATGGTGTAGTTTTTTAATAGCGAATTTTTTTCCTCAATTCTTTTTCTCCAAGGAGAGGCCAATGTTTGCAATATGTCATTTTTTAATAAATAATTACAATTCTACAATTGGTTGCGCAAGCGTTAATGTTACGTAGTCTTTTAGTTAATCTATTGATATTGTCTTAACACTTCTGTTGCGTGATTGTAGGTAGCTTACAACTGATATGATGGTATTGTTCATGTAAAGTGTGATGTCATTTTACGAGGGAATTAATTGTCCAGTGATGACATCTCAAAGGCTTGTTTCTCAAAACATTCGCAGTGGCCGCCTAAGAGCTTTCGCCTTCGCCAGGCTTGAGAGCTAATGCTGCACCAATCCTTCCTTGGATGTCTGAGGCAATGCATGTTTAATATTAAGCTAAACTTACTAATTGATAAGAATTATAAATATGATTAATTTTTTTAAAAAATTACATTACTTGTTGATGATGTATTATTAATATAAAATTAACTTAGTTGTATTAGAAATATAAAACCAACTGTGTATGATCGGTAAATCAAAATTAGTGCAATTGGTGCATTCTACTAGTCTTGTTTTCTGCTACCTGCGTTGGGTTCTCCTATACTATTCGCTTAGAACAAATTCGAAGTCATTGTTGAGTTTATTGGTCAGTATTCACAAATTCAAAGGCGTGTTTCTCGATATCTGCAGTGGCCACCCGAGAGCTTTCGCGTCTGCGGGGTTGAAGCGTCTGTGCTGTTACAATCCTTTGATGCTTGAGCCCGAGGTCAAAATATTGAAGCATCTTCTGTTTATTTCTTTGCAATTTGTTTATCCTTTTCATCCATAGGACGTTGGTTAACCGAATGTTTCATTCTTATACGGAATACAACTAGTTTAAGAGGTTATGTTGACAGTTAACCCATGGAGGGAGACAATTGCTTCCTACCCTGGCATTCTGAACGCCTTGGGAGATTCTGATTTGAGTATGTCGTATGTGCGTTTTGGTTCAGTTGATGAAGTTGAGTGCTCCTCATATAGTCTTTGATTCCACTTGACAGTGTTGAACGAAGCATGCTTGTGCCTGACTACCTGTTGAACAAGATCATTGAAATTCAAACTTAAAAATGTATGCTTAAGTTTGAACAAAATCAAACCGGGGAATTTGAACAATTCGAATGCATTTGGTTTCTTGATGGATCCGTTATTTGTTCGAATTCCCCGGTTTGATTTTTTTGGTGGTTAATCCGGTTTGATTTCGATCTTAAAATGGATACTTTCCGGCTATTTTGTGATCGGGGAGTTGGTGGACGCGGAATGATTTGCCTTCGGTAGCGCAAGGCTTGAGACCAGATAAGTGTTGCAAAAGAGGGAAAACGAAAGGAAACTATTGTCTCTAATCAGTCAGAAATTATCAAGTTCTTGTATATGGAAAATAGTCGTAATTAAAACTGTATTCATAAAAATATTTCTCATCAAAATATAATTTTCATTAATATTATATTTTTATGTCGCTGTCGTTAACTGTGTAGCGGCATTTAATTTTGACTAATTAATAATTAATTCTTTCCGTGGAAGAAATTTACACCGTTTGATGTTGTAGGATGCATTTTTACTAATAAGTAGCAATTTGTAAAATTGTCAATTGTATTTCTCAAGGTCACCAGTATTCCCAGTGTAACGGATATTTTCGTCTCCAATCAGAATTTCTTTTCGGTTACCTCAAATGAATTTGAAAAGACGGTGTAAGCTAGCCATCTAAATTTATTTAACGATATTAGTCACAACCGAATTGGTAAAGATGTATGTGATCGATAAATATACAAGTGTACACTCAATTGGTATCTCTTGTACAATGCCCAAGTAGCAACAATTCAGCAAATGCAGTTTACCCCAGCATTGCGCCAAAATTAGGTGTATATCGAAAAATCCATGAATGATATCTACAGTTTTTCTGGCTAAATCTTGTCAGCCTATTCTGCGGCCAATGGAGAAAATTCAATCTATTCAGAGAGGAAAGGCTTGACAAGCAGCGCGCTACCATTTCAATGGTTCATATTAGACCGAAATGATATCATCTCATAGCTGCAAGCTTCCTCATTAGCTTATTGCCATTACTCCGCAAGAACCAAGGAAAGGCTTACCAAGCTTGTTTTGAATTTGTCGCCTACTTACAATCAGTGGCTGTATTCTAAATGAACACGTATGAGCAAGAACCATTGAAATGGTAGCACGCTGTGTGCCGATGGATGAAAACTCATATCCTTTGACAATCATCTGACTTCTTATGCTGCCATTGGAAGATCTTTCCGGATGAGCTACCACAGCATCAGGGAATTGTAACACATTAGAGTGAGTGGCGCTACGTTTTTGTTTCTCAATAATCCCCCCCAAACTCTGCACTGGTAGTTCATCCCCTCCAGAATTTTGATTTACTTCAGATTCAGACTCTTCTGAACCATTTAAAACTCTCTTGGCCTCCTTAAATAAACCAATGGCACGCCATGCATCAGCAACCAGGTTCTTGGTAGTCATTTCAGGAGAAACACCCCTCTCTTCCATAATTTTGAGCAGGTCTTCTGCTTTCCCTGGTTGTTTTGCTTCTCCATACCCCCAAATTAGAGTTTCGTAAGTTTTGAGGTTTGAGGGAATTCCCATTTCACACATTTTCTCATGAATACGAGAAGCTCGATCCATTTTGCCAGCAGCACACCATCCACTAATGATGGTAGTGAAAAGAACAACATTTGGGTGCACACCATATTTGCTCATTGAAGTCAGAAGAGCCTCTGCTTTTCCTGGCAGTCCAGCACGTACATAACCTTTGGCAAGGATGCTATATGCATGGATATCAGGTTCTATCCCAGCCTTCACCATGTCATTGAATATCTCCTCGCAATTGTCCATCAGCCCTGCTGAGCTCCATGCGTTCATAATGGTGCTAAATGTAATTACATCTGGTTTGACCCCAAATTCTTCCATCAATGTCAGTGCCTGACCAATTCACATATGCAACTTTAATGTTTCACGATAATAATGACTACGGAAAAAGGTACAAGCCATCAACATACACACTAACAAACAGAAAGATTTCATAGTGGAAGAAGTTAGGATTATATAACTTCAGGGCATTCATTTTTCTCACCATGGTAGAAAAATAGAAAGAACCCTGGGCTATAATTATCCATGAGCTTCACAGGGGTGAATAAAATAACAACAATAGGAAAAACTATCTTATGGCAAGCATCAAATTTGAGTATTTACCTCATCTACTCCATTGGTGTCCATAATGTCCAAATATCCTTTGATAAGAGAGTTGAAAACTACCAGATTTGGATGCAATCCAAGCTCCTTCATTCTGTATAGAAACCTCAAGGCATCCGCCATATTCCCTTCTTTACAATAGCCACTTATTATGATACCACAGGTTCGTTCATTAGGCGAGACTTTATTATACTGCATTTTCAATATCAACCTTTCAGCTCTCTCTGTTTCTCTACTCTGAGCATAAGCCCTTGCCAGAGTGTTGTAAGTCACAGCATCAGGCTGCAGGCCAGAAGCCACCATCTTGTGCACAACATTCCACGCTTCTTCTAGTTTCTTCTTGGTACACCAGGCTTGGATGAGAATATTATATGTTCTCTCATTGGGTTTCACATTTTCATCTATTGTCATCATTTCTAGTAATTTCATAGATTCTTCAGGCCTTCCAGCAACTCCAAATCCTTTGATGAGAGTGTTAAAAGTACTTGTTGTAGGTTTACATCCATAATGCTTCATTTTTTGAAAGATTTCCATGGCTTTGTCTACATTGCCAGAATCAGAAAAGGCATTGATCATGGCATTAAAAAGTATTGAGTCAGGCTTCAAGCCATTCTCTTCAACTTTGGAAAGAAGTGAAGGAATGGACTTGAATCTCTTCAAGCGGGTCAGGGCAGCTACAAGAGTAGTGTATGTTATAAGCGTTGGCCTATGCCCTCCCTCTATTAAACCATTAAAGATGGCCTGGGCTTCACGAGGCTTGCCTCTCCCAATCAAGGCATTCATCAGTTTTGTTCTTGAATGAACTGTTTGACAACTGTTGTGGTCCATGCAGATGAGACAACGTGATTCTTTGCATGGTTCTTCTGGAGTCGAGCTTAATTTCATTCGACTGTACTGCTTCAATCCCTGTTTCAAAATTACCACAAGTTCCACATTACTTTCCCTTGTATGTAAATTGAACCCTTATGAAGCTTACCCACTAATTACTTATGCAAAAAAAAACAAAAAAAAGTAATTATCCTGGTCACTTAACAAAAATAATTATCTTGGTCACTTGATCAATCATCAAACATTGTTCAGGCCCCCGCCTTAGAGGGCTGAATTATTTCTCCCGATCTATATGACAAGGATTTAAATATTTGATCTTCCATATTATCATAGGTATCATTACTAATAATTTGGATCCGTCAATAACTGGAGACAGAATACAGTTTCAAGTTCCAGATGTATTAATAAGGTTTAGATATTGGATATTGCAAGCTTAACATGGTTATGATCATCTAGATCCTTGTTTACCTAGGGACAGAAAAGTGCTTCCAAGTTCCAGCGTTTACTCTCAAGTTGTAATAATAGACCTTTCAATGTATGAGAAAATAATAGATGACAAGAAGATACCGAAAATCTCAACAACCACTAGTGATGTCCTTGTCATGATAATAAATGCTGAAGTCATCTCAAAGATCGTAAAAGCATACAGTTTATATTTTAATCAGGCTTCTGGCTATCTGGTATAATCGTACAGACTTCATCTAAATGGAAATCAGAGCAAGACACACATTCAGATAATTAAAATAAGTTATTCAAGTCCTATTACTCCCCAACCATCAGTTTCAAACGCTATATATTCTACCGAATAGACCAGGCATCCATACAAATCTTGTCTAGCTAAAGAAGAATAATTTAAACAAAGCATTAACCAGAATAGTGCAAATCCTGATAAAACAGAAAACCACTGAATTACTATATATATGTAATCAGTGATGTGAATCTATCTAGCAAGTCAGACATAGTTCATATCAATCGGTGAATACAGTTTGCATGACATAACGGTTCATCCAGTTGAGTATGGCCTTTGTCATAATGGTTGAGTTGACATAAATCAATTCTCATGGTCCAGCAATGCAAGAATTTCCTTATATCTCGCATGCTGAACATCCACTATCTGGTGCTATTGAAATCACATAATTCAAGAATGAATAGGAGTAAGACAGGATCACTCTTCCTTTCTCTGTACACTTGTTTTTGCTGACACAACGGTTCGGGTTGTATTAACATGTAATGAATCTACGTATTTAGGGTCTCAATGTTTAACATGCTAGTGCTGATTGTAACTCGTTAAACTAATAGTCAGGCGATAACACATTCAACAGATGGATGGGTAAGATAACATGAGAAAATGTAGCAGTTTATGTTACCAAGACTGGTAATTCCTTAACTCGGTCATTGGTCATGAGAGCCCCCTTCTTGTTGCCATCCATGATCGTGAATAGACTTGATCAGTTTTTGCCAGCTGTTTTCCGCGTACTTCTCAAAACCTGAATGAAGCACCTTGCTAACCAGGTAAAAATTAGATTCTGGAGACCGGACACAAGTCCATTTCTACTGCTATTCCATCATCATAAAGGATTTGTCCTATGAAAATTATAGCCACGAATCAATCAGAGAATGTTACCTCTAAGTTTTAAAGTTAAAAGAGCGACAAGCAAGCAAGTATTCTAGCTTATTGTTCTAAAAATAAAAAGAAAAGAGAAATCAGTTTCAAAATCAACTATTGATTCACTTAAAAGGAAAAAAAATAGAGAAAAAAGCCCGCTGAATGAATGCAGAAACCAGAAATTAATAAATTAATAACGCGGCATTGAAACCGAGAAGCAGAGAACTCCGATGAAGACACAAAGATATAGTTCACTAATTGATCACATGAACTATCAACATTTACCAATCCTCTCAACTGAGGACAGGATCCCAGCTAACAGTAAAGACAAACTGACAATGGGAATCCAAATCCACTTCACATATAGTTTACGAGCTTGATGGCTCTTCGACAAACAAAAGTGAGGCACATACTCAAGGATCAGAAGCAAAATCATACTTGGGAACTCATACTGTTGTGTTCTAGAAATGCCCATCGCCAGTGAAAAAAAGAGAGAGAAAAGCATGAATGAAAGCGTACAAGTTGAGTTGAAGGTACCGCATGAGCTGGGGAGGAGAGAGAGCGTAGTGAGAAGAAGACTTGGTGCATGCAAATCACTAAATTGTAAACAAATCACAGAGGAGGGGAAATGGGAGTCGTGTGTGTGGCATCCGCTGGAGATTCTTATCCACAAATATTTATCAATATGAGATTTCAAGGCGCTTTTATGAGGCCATTGCCAGAAAAATACAAATGCGTCAGCAGAGTAGCAGACTTCTCTATGGGACTGCTTTCGCCACGCCAGCGTCCTATTGACAAGTCCAATTTTACCACGTACACCTCTCTCCTCCCCATTCTGAATCTCCCATCATTTTTAGTACATGAGTTTTTTAATTATAATTGTATAAGCGGAAATATATAATTTCCTATAAAATATTTTATTTTATATTAATATTGATAGTGACAGTGATAATCATAATAAAGAATAATGCTTATATATAATATTAAATCAATTTAGATGAGGTTAGATTTTTTTTTCCCTTAGCTATCCTCCAATTCTGACACTTTGAATCTAGTAAAAAAAAGTGCAGTCCCTCCCAACAAGCTCGTGCAAAAATTTGGAGTGCCAGGACCCGAAAAATGATTCAAACTCCGTGGCTTGGTTGCACATAATTGGATCTGGGTGGAATGGTTAGGCCTTCTTGGGCCGCAATTTGCCTTTCTCTTTAGAACTACGCGCCTAACAACACGTGATTTGTCTCAGTTTTCTAATTAGTTTGTTCTGTAATAAATTTTGTTAATTACTTGTTATCAATGTATATAAAATTGTAATAATTCTATTTGGAAGAGTTGTCAATGGCCCTAATCAGTTGGTAGGATGTGATTTGTCTAAGTTTGCCGACTGGTTTGCCCTGTAATGAATTTTCCTGATTATTTGTTGTCAATACATATAAAAGTGTTGTTAATATATTTGAAAGAGCAGTCAACACATCTAACAAAGTGATAATAAATTTCCTTGATTATTTGTTGTCAATACATATAAAAGTGTTATTAATATATTTGGAAGAGTTTTCACATTCGAAATTTCGGATCTTATTTGTTTAACCATATCAACATATGCACACCACATTTTCTTTTGAGCAGAAAAAGTTAGTAATTAATTCCGAGTCCATGAAACAAACAATTTTCAAAAACAATGTCAAATTACAAGATACCAAAAACATTAAGCTCATAAGAATTAAACAAATAAAACAATTCCATACTATGTGCAAAATATAATATACTGCACAAGTAAATTGAATATAACATATTATTAAAAACACCAATAGTATAGCTATTAACAACTTTGTTTTATTTATTGACTACAAAACAGACTTTCTATGACAGTAACAAAATTTCTGATATTAGATTATAGGGAAAATGACAATAAAATACCACCTGAATTCCAAAAAGACAAATAAGGGACCTGAATAAGTAAAATGACAAATAGGGCACTGGGTACCAATTTGGAATATAGATTTTCGGCCAAAAGACCGAATTGCCCTGATTGTCTCTGAACATTGAGTAGTGTATTCATGCGATAGAGAAAGGGAGAAACTGATTTCCTTCTACGAAACTAAATCCAAGTTCCTGCAGTCACCAAAAAGGATTTTTCAAAATCACGTTGCCGTCATCGTAGGAGTAGATTGCCATCGCTGAATTTGGTTACCATCGCTGAAATACATTGCCCTGTCTGAAATAACTTGTACCCCTGAAATTGTCGTCGTCGAAGAGGTCGCTGAAGTATTTGAATTATTCATGAGTGAGTAGAAGTTGATGGCGGGATTTGGATTATTCATTTTTGTGGCTGTTTCATGGTGAAATAGGAACAGGATTATTGCATTTGAGGGTTCATATTCAGTATTTGGTGAATGATGAAGCAGAAATCAGAAAATAGTCGCAAGCAATTACGTAATGTAATTGCTGTCATATGTTTGCTAGTTTTTGGTAAATCCCATTCCGTGAATGGTAAATTTTAATATACATGTAGTTAATTATGAAACTTAATAGTTCAATGTTTATTGTGATGTACTTCAGGTGCACGTTCACTGAATGATTTATTTATGCTTACAAGTTGCTCTTCCGGTAAAAACAGGTTTACAAAACCCATTGAAGAAGTGGTCACTTTCACTATAAAAGTTGTAAATCCCATTATGTGTTTTGTAAAATTCAGCGTGAAATTTTATTGGTGGTGAAAAGTAAGTTACTCATCCCCCGAAAATATATTGCAAAATCTATTAACAAAGCGGTCACTTTTATCACAAAAGTTGTAAATCCCAGCATATGTTTTATAAAATTCAACGTGAAATTTTATTGGTTTCTAGAAACAAGTTACCTATCCCCTGAAAACAGGTTACAAAAGCCATTTAAGAAGTAGTCATTTTCACTATAAAAGTTGTAAATCTCACTGTGTGTTTTGTAAAATTCAATGTGAAATTTTATTGGTTTTTAGAAACAAGTTGCTCATCCCCTAAAAAGAGGTTGCAAAACCCATTTAAAAAGTGATCATTTTCATTAAGAAAGTTGTAAATCTCACTACATGTTTTGTAAAATTCAACATATAATTTTATTGGTTTTTATAAACAAGTTGCCAATCCCTTGAAAACATGTTGCAAAACCCATTGAAGAAGTGATCATTTTCATTATGAAAGTTGTAAATCTCACTATGTGTTTTGTCAAATTCAGCGTGAAATTTTATTGATTTTTAGAAACAAGTTGCTCATCCCCTGAAAAGAAGTTGCAAAATTCATTTAAGAAGTGGTAATTTTCACTACAAAAGTTGTAAATATTACTCTATGTTTTGTAAAATTCAGCATAGAATTTTATTGGTTTTTAGAAACAAGTTGTCAATCCCTTGAAAACATGTTACAAAACTCATTGAAGAAGTGATCATTTTCACTACGAAAGTTGTAAATCTCACTATGTGTTTTGTCAAATTTAGTATGAAATTTTATTAGTTTTTAGAAACAAGCTGCCCATCTCCTGAAAACAAGTTACAAAACCCATTGAATAAGTGGTCATTTTTACTACGGAAGTTGTAAATCCCACTATACGTTTTGTCAAATTTAGCGTGAAATTTTATTAGTTTTTACAAACAAGTTATTTATCTCCTGAAAACAGGTTGCAAAACCCATTAACAAAGTAGTCACTTTCACTATAAAAGTTGTAAATCACAATATGTATTTTGTAAAATTCATAATTAACTACATGTATAGTAAAATTTACCATTCACATAGTGGGATTTACCATTCACGTAGTGGGATTTACTAAAAACCAGCAGGCATATGACAGCAGTTACGTAACGTAATTGCTTGTCATTGTTTTCTGATTTCCACTTCATCTTCCCCGCAGGTTCACTCCCTCTCTCACTACAAATCCTCTTTCCCACAACCAAAACCCACCAAATCAACAATCTCTACAGAATGGTGATGCGAAGGAGTAAGATAATAGCATTTCCAACATTCTTCTTTCCTTCTTCCCGCATTTCATCACCGTCGGTCTTCCTCTCTCCTTTCTCTCACTGCGTCGCTTTCTTCCTCTCTCCTTTCTCTCACTTTCAGACAGGGCATTTTGGTCTTTTGGCCAAAAATCTGAATTCCAGATTGGTACCCAGTCCCCTATATGTCATTTTGCTTATTCAGGTCCTTTATTTGTCTTTTTGGAATTCAGGTGGTATTTTATTGTCATTTTCCCTAGATTATATATTAACAGCAATAATGAGTTCCTTTGCATTTGGGGCACTTGAAAAATAGTGAAGGCCGAGGAGATCCGACTCAAGAGAATGGTTATAGTGTTAGTGTGGAATAACTTATAAATAACTTTTTAATCATATTTTACGAAATATGAGATAAATATGTGAAAGAAGTTTTATCTCGACTTACATAAAATATGTTTATAAGTGATTTCAATCGTGATAACAAACATGATCATAATAGATAAGAGCTTGGAGTTGATCGCTAAATCCTTTAAGAACTTCTAAGGCCTCATGCTGTCCTCCTGCAAGGGTTTTATTACCAATGGACTCGCCGCCGTTGCTGCCAATTGTAGGTCTTTTCATTCTCACTTTTCTCTTCTTTTTCATGAATTTTGGCCTGGCTTTGTTTTTGGTCGGAGTGAGCATGAGAGGGAGACAATTTAGGCTTTGGACATTTTCTTGCTTCACAAAAGATCGTAAAGTTCATATCTTTTCTACGGGAGAGAATTTTGAGAGACAGGAAGAATAGTGAAAGTGGAAGATGGAATTGGTGAAATGAAGACTAGAGAGAGAAATGAAGAAGCTAAAAAGGAGGAGTAGGAAGAGACGAAGGACTCAAAGGAAGAAAGTAAGAGGAGGAGAGAAGGACAAAATAAAAGAAGGGTATATGAGTAAATTGATAACATCTTGAAATTTCAAATTAATATGTGGGAAGGAATCTGACATTTGCGAAACTTGAAGCACTGATTTGAAATTTTATAATTTTGAAGGTATTTGGATATTTTTGTCCCTAGAAATTAATCTTCCAATTAATTTGGTCGAAGCAGAAGATACTTTTTGTCCATAACAAATAAAATAGAAGTTGGTTTTAATTGTCCATTTGTAATAACCATTAATAAGATCTTAGTCCCATCCCTAACTCTCGATTGATAAGTTCATTACATGTTACTCTTATTATTTGAGACATTTTCATATCTACTCGTCAACGAGCCGGGGAGAATAGCACACCCATCTGCTCACGGAACGTCAGAATTAACTAGATTGCCTCGACGGTTTTCGGAAATCTCTGCTCTTTCCCGTGTCATCCCTACTTCAGCTTCTCTGCAACGCAGTGTAATTTTAGTTCTTCCCCAAACCGATTAAATGATGATGAGGCTTTGGAATTGGTATACCAACTGCCTTTCTGTTCATCCCGTTAAGACCCAGGTTATTAGCTCTGGCGTCCTTTGGGCTGCTGGCGATATTACTGCACAGTACATCACCCACTCTGCAACAAAGAAGCGTCTTCAGCTCTCTGTAAGGAAAATTCGCTACTCAATCTAAGCGTCTCTCTTCGACTCCTTTGTATATAATATAGATATATATTTGGCGACCACTTTGTCGCATTTAGATGCTCATTCCTGTGCATCATACCGGGCATTAGTGAACATATATTCTAATGAGGCGGACATAAGAAATCTCAATTACCTGGGTCATATGGTGCATGTTCGTATATTTCCTTTCCTTCATGTGAGTTTGCTGTTGAAGTCTGCAGATGTGTTATGTATACACTTGGGTTGCCAGTTCCTTCTGGAGTTCCTTGAGCGGTAGGATGTAATCTATCAGCTTATTGCTCAGAAATCAAAATGACGATGGGATGTGGCAAATGTTATTAATGCCTCAGCTCTTACTGAAGGCACGTTAATACAGTCATGATTACTAGACGATTCGATAGTTTTTATTTATATAGTAGTAATTGTTTGGAAAATATGTCATCAAAACCTAATAGATGTTGATTTCTCTCACATTTGAGGCAAGTTACAACAAAGAAAATAGATTCTTTCGGTTAAGATGGTATATTATAATTTCTTCCAACTTTGATTTACTTGGATTTAGTGTATTAACTATTAATAAGGTTTCTCATCAATCTTAAATTATCTTTGATGTGGTAGGATGCAGATGCTAAATTTATGATCGATTGGAAGCGTGTGGCTATCACAAGTGGGTTTGGTCTTGGTTTTGTTGGGCCAGTTGGCCACTTCTGGTATCTGTTTCCCATGTCATCCGTTTAGTTTTTTGCAATGTAATATGTTTGTGGTGTTTTTAGTTAGATAAATCATGTCCAAATAACACCAAGGGAATTTCTGTGAGTCTTTATTCTTACTTGAGAAAAACTCGATCAATTTTAGGTGAGGACCATAAACACAGTGATGTTGACAAGAAAGACTTTGTGTTGTTAATTCAGTTAGAAGAGAACAATATAGCTAGGTTTAGAAACCTTGCGAGATCATTATATCAGAGTAGATTGCCATCAAGTGTAGGACATTTCTTTATTTAGGTGTCTCGAAACCGAAATGGTGTTGTCTGTATATGGGTGAGTTTATGTATTGTTTCCTTCATTTGTTGGATCATCTTAGAAGGTAGAGTTCATATCAGTTGGTTCTCATATTTCCTGTTAAGACCTGTTATGTAGATAGCTTACCGTATAGAAGATGGCTAAATGGAGAGAAAAAATTTTGAATCACTAGGATGTGAATTATGAGTAAATTTCTGACTTTATACCCTCTAACCGATGTAGCAAATCACACGTTATGCGCCGAGTCATGTTGATAACACTTAAATTTGACGATTTACCATGTGGAAAGTGAGAGAATTACGTTCCCCTGTAATCACGCTTTTTGGTTAGTCTGTGGTTGATCAATTAAATTTACTTGCATATTTTATTGTTTTGGGAATATAATATGCAACATGACATTCGTTCTAGTGGAAAACAGTAGAAGAACTTATACTCACGTCAAATTGGTCCTGATATCTCGTAGGTATGAAGGAATGGACAAGTTTATAAGGTTCAAGCTTCAACTGCAACCAAAGTCAGTGCGATTTGTAGCAACTAAAGTGGCAATGGATGGCATCATATTTGGCCCAATCCATTTATTTGTCTTCTTTACGTATATGGGATTGTCGGCGGGCAAGACTATTCCACAGGTGAAGGAAGATTTGAAAAGGAATTTCGTCCCAGCCTTCCTTTTAGAAGGTGGTGTGTGGCCAATTGTCCAAGTTGTGAATTTTCGGTACATCCCTGTGAAGTACCAGCTTCTCTATGTAAACCTTTTCTGCTTGCTGGACAGTGCTTTCTTGTCATGGCTGGAGCAACAGAAGGATGCACCTTGGAAGCAGCGATTTATGTCATTTGGCCGTTTGAAGGAAAAAGGAGATCAACATAGTTAAGGAGAATTATATCTCAATTGCTTCCCCTATTCAATCTTTAGGACGCCTTTGATAACAAAGGCAGAAAAATTTTCCGTTAGGAAAAAAGGAGTTGGTGCATCATGTAATAAAATTGAAGCTTTTACATTTGTATAACTTTTGGGTATTCTGATGCACGGGAGGGAGTAATTTTTTCATTTTTGTTTTTAAACGGCATAATAGATTACTTTTATTTGTGAGCCATGCGGGATATGAAAGTATAAAATTTCCAAGTTACTCAGTTTTCTTTGTTTAATCCCTCTTCCGTCTCTGATCTCACCTAAATATGACACAATAAGGTTGATTCCTGAAGGCGCCACTTCAGAGTGAGGCAGTATACAATGGCAAGAAACTCTTCATTTCAAACAAGGCAGCGTCAGATCTGTCATTTTATACACAGCTTAATAATCTGTTTCACGGCGGTAGGCATATAAGATTGAATTTTATTTCTGCAACAAAAGTGGGACTAGCCCAAGGTAAAACTATCACATTCTCTCATCTCATGGGAACCACATAATGCGTGTCCATGCTCCTCACAAGACTCGTCTGATCTGTCAGACGAGTTGAAGAGATCTGCTACAATTTGAGGATCAACTTTGACCTGAGTGAATTTTACCATGGAATAAAAGCTTAACTGCTGCAATAGCAGTAAAATTTCAAACTGCATTAGTCACAGAACCTTTTAGCCCAGTTCCATGGTCTTTTTGTCAGGAATGCCCCAACGTATATCTGAGACAAATCCTGCGCAGTCCGTGGCAGGCGAATCGTAAATTTTTAGCCCGAGGAGATTACAGCATCTTCAGCTATTTTTACAATTTCCCCCACCCTGTCATTACTATACCTCCGGGACACTTCCATAGCCATCGCCCTAAGATCCACCATGACTCTGACTTGAAATTTTCAGGAGGCTTTCATGTGGAATTTGCTGGCTGAGAAGCAGATTATGGCTTTTGGGCCTCCACAACATGAATGCGGTGCCATCTCCATCATGTCCGCTCTGATTACTTCGAAGTTGCTAGGAAGGATGTTGGAGCAATTTCTCTCATTTCAAATTGAGGATCTCCAGAGCAGCGACTCACGTCTTAATTCGAAAAACAGTCAAATGTAGAAAGGAAACTTCAGGAGCTATTTTACTATATGAATGAACTATGGCCTCCCCCAAGGGGTATTTTTGGCTTGAATTCTGCATGTGCAATCAAGCGCGGACAATGGCTGAAATTAACAGTCTGGAAAGAAACATGCACAATGTTATGTCCCAATACAAGGATGTTAACCACAAAGCAAAGATCAGAAGGGGATGAATTTAGCCCTCCAAAAAGATGCCTTTTTATATAATTTGAAACTACTTAACACACGTGATAAATATTTGAGCTTATTCACCATGGTATTGAAGAAACTTTAGATATAAAGCAGAATTCACGGCAGGTTGTAACTTATTCTTCCCTTACAGAAATCAAACAAAAAGTATTATACAATCTTTAGTACTTAATATCAGAGTTAGTTTGATTTTCAATTTGATCCTAAATATAAAACCCCAATCTACTTTGTCATTCATCTGTTTTTTTCAAAGTAATTCTTCTAATAGTTGCACATGTTAACATTCTATTAAATGATAATTATAACTAATACACATAATTAACAAGAATATTCTAGAAAAGATAACACCTATTTATTACAAGTAACTAACTTAACAAACTTCTTTAATCTATTCAAATTAGTCAACTAGCTCTTATACTAAGAACCGGACGTAAAATTAAAACGTAGAAAAACAAGTAAACCTGTCACTAATAGTACAAATCTTGACTTACTGGAATGCCAAGCAATTGTCCATGATGATTGACCAGGACAGGCAGGCTTCTTCTTGCAGCAACTGGGATAGATTTTAATAACAGAAGAGCTTTCCGTGCTGATACACAGGCATAATGGAAACATGGAGTTTTCTTCTCCATTATTTGTTCTATTTTACTAGATTTTATAGCCCCTCCTCGCTCGAAATTATTGGGAGGTGGGTACTTCGACAACTTTCCAAGATACAGCCAATCAGATTCAATCATGTTACGCAATTCAGGTCTGGTGCTATGATCAACGACACACGACATGCAAGAACAGTTCCAGCTTTCGCCAACCAAATCCATGCCACATGCAAATAAATCAGATAATGCACCCTCAGCAATGTTTTCTTTCAATCCCCATGTAACAATAAATCTATTCATGAAGTAACATATTTGCCCTGGCTTGAATGTAGTAACAGTATCAACTTCATGCTTTGGTTCTGAGCAAGTCTTGTCCTCAGCTTTAGATTTGAAGCGATCAGTCTCTTCCCTCTGCAGTTCAATAATATTCCTATGGGTTGACTCACTGATAATATTTAGTCTTGTTGCTTCAGTCAGAACTAACTCAGACGTCACATCCATAAAATGAACATCTGAGGCACCTAGAACTGATTGACTTGCATATGATTTTCCGTGTTCTATAATTTTTTCCATCTCATTCAAAACACAGCATTGCAGTTTTCGATCAGGGAATGGCTCAAAAAATTCCTTCTTTATAGGCAGAGGACCGTCAACCGAACAGCAAACCAAGACTCTGGACCCCCTGGAACCAGGATCCGGGCAGAGGTAACAACCAGCAGCTGTGAGAGATTTCTATGGGACAATTTTCGAATTAATAGTTAGGGGAGAGACAGTCAATAAAATTAGATCATCAAATACAAACACAAGCTAAAACAAGGCGTTCGTGCACCTGCAGAGATAATCAAATGATAGAAGTATCTATGAAGACATGTTTAACACAGTTGAATAACTCTGCAGGGTGCATTTCTTACAAAATTCATTGTCAGATCATTATTAGTATTATTATTATTTGCACCTGGATTAAAAATTACAACCATAAATAGTATACACAAAATTTTACATCAATTTAAAGACTCAATGCGTGGTGTATCTGCAATAATAAAGAGTCATGTAACAATATGATTACATAGTCCTTGTTAGCTAATTTTTTAAAACTTGGTATATATTATTAACATGATAATTATTTATAATTCAACAACGGGGTCAATGAAATTCCCTTCCTATAGATGTCTGTGAGTGTGTTACATATGCCTTTAAAACGGGTCAGCACATCTATGTGATGACAATAGATTCACCTTGCATGGGAAAGTACGAATATAATCCAACAGCAATCTTAACGCACTACCTCTGATTGGCCTTTGCCTTTGCGATATGAACTGAATAAACAAGACAACTGTTAGAACAAGGTCCACAAGCTAAAAAGGTTTAAAGGCATGTGCAACAAACTATGAGATCTCAAGTACCTGTAAAATCAAGGACAAGAACTTTGCCAGGCACATATCCAGAATTTTTGAGGTATTTAGAATCTTTAAATCGATAATGGCATATCCATGCTGAAAACAAAAACAAACCCAATCCCAAGAACAGTCACAAAGTAAATACTGGGAAGATGTTACTTAAGCGAGGAGATATGTTACATATGAACCATTTCTAATATATCATCAGAATAACAGTACCATGTATTAACTATAAATGGATTAAATGAAAAACAAAAGCTTACCTCCATGATGACCACAGCTTCATTTATCAAGCTATAACAAAATTGATCAACATATGATCGTGTCATTCGACATGCTGAAATGACTGCGTTTAGCTCAGACTTGAAAGTGGCTGGAAATGTAGAAACAATATCCAAGGAAGTTCAGTGAATTTAATTGCAAAATTTAAAGAAGTCACGGCAAAACCATCTGATCTTGAATTAAAATATATGTTCCAAAAAAATCCTAAAAATAGAAAAATCTCAGACTGTTGAGTATATCAATTCTCTTGATTTTGAAATGGAATAAAACCTACTTGCTTTTAGGCACAGTAATATTTCAATTAATCTTGGATCAAGAAAAACAAGACATGTTTCCTTACGTATGCCACGGAGTTTTAGTAAACTGAAATGTCATGACTGATCCGGCCAAAAGAAAATGTCATGATCTAAGAAAAGTGCAGCTTGCAATAGATTTTATAATTACATAGTGACGGTTTAGCTTTTCCCATTTCATCTTTCTCCTTTGAATCTAACCAATGAAAACTACTCCTGCTTTTCGACTCTTTAATACAGATACTGACACCCATCTTTCTTTAATTACAAAAGCTCTGCATTGAACAAGAGTACATAAGATCAATAACAAAAAGTGATTTTAACCCAAAAGAAATGCTGGTCAGAAGAATTTTAATTAAAAAAAATAGTTGTTAAGAAAAAAAAAGAAAAGGATATCACTGAGCTGCATCACTCATCAGCATCATTCATCAGAACTTACACGATGACAAATCATTCAAAGACATTCGTATCCTATTACGTGCAAATAATGGACTTTGATTTGTTGGGTCTTCAACCCAATCATTGCAACCCCCTTGGCATATCTGTAAAGGTATGGCAATTATCAATTCACATTATCAAGAATACATTCAGATGTAAGGAAGGAAAAGTAGATATTTGCAATGCATAAACATATACACTGTTATGCCAACCTTGTACATATCTTCTTTTGAAAATTCTAAAAGAGGTCGCACAAGAAGGATGCCACAATTCAGTGGAACTTCACTGTAGGAATGTATTTGTGTGGAGAAAATCTGGGAGGTAAAAGGCATGCCTGCAAGTCCAAGCACACCACTATTTCGAGAAAGCCTCAGGATAAATAACTCAGCCTGCATTGTGTCTCAACAATCAACTACATGTCTAATATGCATAACAAGCCTTCATTGTCACAACTATCTTTGAGAACAAAGTGTTGCATTCAACACTAAGAATCCAATTACAATTTTATTAAGTTTGAACTATAGATCGTGTTAAAAAACCTACTCCCAAAAGGAACCAAACAGCTTATGCTCAAGATCTCGTATAATGAATCAAAAGCATCAGCATGTCTTAAAACAGAATCAGAGAACACAAAGGGCACAACGGAGATCCAGAAGCAAATAGCTTTGCCAACCAAACCTGATCATCAGCATGATGTGCAATGAGCAATACACCAATCTGGTGTTGGACACAAACTTTTTGAAGCATTTCATACCTAAAGTTCAAATTAAAAACGAAATAAAAACTTCAATAAGTATATTTTGTCAAAGTCCATGTGCAGACTAAAAGAACATTTCTCTATTTTACTTAAAAATAAAAAAAAAATTTCTATTTAAAGTTAAGACACAATAACCTCATTTCACGAGCAGCTTCTTGCAAATGGCCCAGTTTTGGCCTGCCATTTGACCAATCACAGTGGGCAATCGCACATCTGATCCCTATTAAAAGTTTGCGTTTGCAATCAGGATAGCTGAAAAATGGTTAAGAAATGAGTACAAATGTAGCACCCAGATAAAGATGTACCCATTTCAGAAACCCGGCGACTGACAACATCGGCCTCATGTTTGCTCTCTGATCGTAATCCATGATCAACAATTATTGCTAGTAGCCCGTCAATAAGACCACCACTTTCGGCCTTAAGACCAGCCGTTTTCCACCACGCAGTTAATACACAGAGTGCCATACTGTCGGGGCCACCGGAGACTCCTAAAGCTGGCAGGAAAATAAGTAGCGAGTTACTTGTATCATCGGCAATGGAAAATACGAAAAACCGTGTGTCTGTTTGTTAGAGTAATTATATAAAATAACTATCATTATTTCAATTCACCCAGAGCAACAAATAAAATATAACATTGCTGCAGATTCCTAGGAACCGTGGAGAACGTAGTGTTGGGAAGTGGTGAAGTCAAACTAACTAACTAACCAATTCGATGATGAGGTTGAAGCCCCGCCATGGCCATTCGCCGCGAGAATGCTTCTCTGTACTTAGACATGTCGATCGGGTGTCGGGAAGAAGAGTTACAGGAGTAGCGAGCTAGAGCAACATAGCGAGTTTGACGATGAGAGTGATGCCACACGGGGAAGCCGAGCAAAAGTCTGCATCTTTTGTGGGGCTCTTTAGAGATAGACGATAATAGAATATTCGCAGCGTCTGGTCTGCTCTGGGCAGATAGGAGGAACCCCCGCGCCATAATCTCGTCGCTGCTCGAACAGTGGGGTGGAGAGGTATGTGAACTTCAAAAATACGGATTCGGATACATAGAAAGATTAATGAAAATAAAAATAACATTAAAAAAAAAATCCTATGACTAAAAACCTATTTGGATGACAGAACAATCCATGATTTGGAAGATAAAAATATGTTTTGATAAAATATCATCCAAGCAACTTAAAAATTGTCAACCCGTGATTCGTGATTCTAACTCTAAGTGAAACTATGGTTTCCACCGGTGAAACTATGATTTGAATGAAGTGGAGTGATAATTGGAGGCAACTTTTATTGACCAAAAACACCTTTTATCCGGAAGGTCACACGGAAGAGAAGAGGAGGGAGAGAGCCATAGGGACAGCTCTTGCCTGTATATTTTCAGCGGGGCAGATTTATACTTTCTCTCACTTGCAATTTGTTTTTTTAGTGAGCAGGCAACAAGTCTCGAGGCAATAATCTTGTTCATGAGATTAACAATCTAGTTTTCACTAAAATATATATTTTAATTTATAATTTTCATCGGATTTGAGGATACCTTCAAATTATACCAAAGATTATTTTTTAACATTTGTATTTAAAACGTAGAAGACTATTTTTTAACAAATATTATTTTTTAACTAACTTTTCAACCTCGAAGAATGTTATATTTTTAGATTTTATATTAACAGATAGTTTTTAGAGTTTATATTAACAGAGGATCCCGGATTTTATTCATCCTAAAATATTATATTTTTAGATTTATTAACAAGTAATTTTTTTGTTTCACAATAAAGCATAAAAATTTAAGCTACAACCTCACATGTACTTTTTTTTTTCCAAGGGGTTGTGAATCTAAACTCTAAGCTAAAAATACAATGAGTATGTAAATAATTTTATGGGATTTCATGTTTAAAATCTTTTAAAAAATTAATATTTTTCTGTGAGTGAAAAATAAATCATTTTTCTATAAACATATTTAATATTATGTTTTATAAATATATATACACATATTAATTGTTTATTAATTATATTATCTTATATATTATTAATTATGTTAGTAAAAATTATTTTATTAACAATTTTATTTCTTCAAATCAAAATATATTATAAAATCTATTCCTTATATGATTATCATATTAACTTATATCCTTTTTAGTAATTTGCACATGTAAAAAATGTTTTTGGTAACAACTATCCAAACACTCTCACCTCTCAAAATCATTTTTTCACAAAATCTATTTTTCACAAAATCTAAAAAGTGTTTGGATAAAATCAAAACCATAGTTTCAAAAATGTTTTTACAGTATACGAAGTAAATATGTGAAAGAATTTGTCTTGATTTGCAGAAAAATGCTTCTGAAAAGTGATTATTAGGATATCCAAACACCCCCTATTCTCTCCAAAATCTATTCTCCAGAAGCTATTCTCCAAATTATAGTTTGGTTTCATTCAAATACCCTCTAAGTCACAGTCACAGATAAAAAGATATTGAGAAAATATTTGGATGAAACCAAATCATAGGTTTAAAAATAATTTTATGATATAGTGTGATAAAAAAGTTGTCTCGATTTACAAGATTTTTAAAAAGTACTTGTGAAAACTGAATAATAAACACATTGAAAATGATAGTAACAGTTATGCTTACATATCATTGAGCATGTTTTAAGATCTTCAAGAATGTGATCTTTAAAAATGGAGCGCTTGTCTTGAATGGCATGTTCGTTTGAAGCCCATGGTCCTTTTAGAGTTTCCTCCTTCTGTGATTGAATGCTCTAAAACATCTTTGAACTTTTCCTCCGTACCGGAATGTTCTGAAGCATTTCACCCTTTTCCTCTATGTCTAGATGCTCTAGAGCGTATTTACATTTTGGCTATGATTGTTACAAAGCTACAACTGGGACGGTTTTTGTACATGTTTGAGCTTTAGCAAGTTGCTTAACAACTTCCCAAAGTTTAGAAGCAGCAGAAACCGAAACCATGGGAGATGAAACTTAAACGTTCATGGTGTTGAGAAACCAACGGAAAAAAACAAGTTGGTGAGCTGCAACTTAAAATGTGTTTGGATTAACGGTGACAAAACTAATTTTTATTCTAATTAACTTTTACAAATTTAAGTTAAAATAAAAGTTAGTTAGTATAATATAATTTGTATTAGAATTTATTTTTATAAAAAAATCAATTTAAGAAGTTGAAACTTGTTTGGATAATTAATAGAAAAGTAAGTTTGATATAAAAAAACAAAAAAAATGACCTTTATAATATATATTATATAATTTGATAATTTTTTTATAAAATATTTAAATTTAAATTACAAAAGACTAAAAAAAACTTAATTAATAGTTGTTTTTATAACATTTTAATGGTTTTTGTATAGGAGAAAATCATAAAATAAATAATTTTTATTAGTAAACTGTAAAAATTAATAAATTATTTTGCTAAAAATGTACTGCCTCCTGTCCTTAATATAAAAGTTAGTTTACTAATTTAAACAGATTAAGAAAACTAGTTAAATTAGTTATTTGTAATAAATAAGTGTTGTCTTTTCAAAAATATCTTTCTTAATCAAGTACATTGACTAGAACTACTATTATTAAAAGTACTATTTTGAAAAAAAATGAATAAATGTGAAAAACAAAATGGACTAAAATCTGATATTTATGATCAGAATAAAAATTAAGCAAACTCTTATATTAAAGACCATATGTAATATAAAATAAATAACTTAGCAAAATAAACATTGTAGACAAAAGTTATGATAATTGACAGGTAAAGCCTAAGAGGGTGTTTGGTAACCTGTAAAAGTGTTTCTGAGAAGTATTTTTTCGCAAAACGAAACAAACTTCTCCACATATTTACTTGGTAAACCATAAAAACACTTTTAAAACCATGGTTTGATTTCCATCCAAACACCTCTTAAGATGAGAATGAGGACCAAGGTAAAAAAAAAAAAGTTGAAAATGAGGACAAAAACAATAAGGACGGGAAAGGAAAGACAACAAAAAGCACTAAAGCAGGGAGAAGGAGATGCAACGTGACGCTAGAAGCTAAGGGTGTGTTTGGAATAACGGTGGCAGAAGTAACTTTTTTTAATCTGACTTTTACAGAAGTCAGATTGAGTAAAAGTCAGATAGTGTAATGTGATTTATGTTTGTATTGGATTTTGTAAAAAAGTCAGTTTAAGAAGTTGAAACCTGTTTGGATGATATATGTAAAAGTAAGTTTGGATGCAAAATGACTTAAAAGGACATGGATTTTATTAAATAGTACATATCTAATATTAGATATATATGTGACTATTTTAAAAGAGGTAAGGAAAATAAAATTATGTTTGGATTAATATTTTTAAAAAGTCAGTTTGAAAAGTTAAAACTTGTTTGGATAAATAAATAAAAAATAAATTTAGATATAAAATGATTGAAAAGGACATAAGTTTTTATACAAGACTTAATTAACTAATTTAAAAAGATTAAGAATATATAAGTATTTTAGAAAAATCATAAATTTTATATTAAAGAGTCAAGGTAATATATCATACACATACAATTTGATAAATTTTTTTAAAAAATAATAAATTAAATTAATTAAATTATTGGGGTTTTTTCCAGAGAAATTCTATCTTTTTATGTTTTATAGTATGAAGATGGACCCCATTTTGTTTTTTTCCCTCTTGTACATCTTCTCTCTCCACGGCAAGAACGAACTTTTTCTTTAGAAGCAATGTAAAATAGTTTCACTGATACCGCTCGTTGGGACCAAAAAACTCATTTCCACAGAAGTGATCCCAAACATATGCTAAAACATAAAAGGAGCTTTTGGCTGTTGAGATGCACGTTTGGAACCCCAAACGTGATCCCAAACAGGCCCTAAAAAAGTTGGCTTCTATCATAGAGAGTTTTTTTGTCAGAAATTACATTTAAAACAAAAGTTGACCCAAATAAGGCTCTATCTTTAACTACACATCCAACTTTCGTTTTGCACATCCCAATGTACATTTTGAGGTCAAAATGATGATGCAAACACACCCTTAATCTTCAAAATCAAGATTTAGGGTTATGTCCTTTGATGATGGTTTGACACCGAGTGTGCCACACAAGACAGCTTTTTTGATCCACAACTTGATTGAACAAATTTGGGTGACGCACTGACGCTATTCCCCAAGGACGTCTTAGGTACAGGAGCAACATTTGGCAGGGACCAAGAATACTTCGAAGATGAAAGCAACAGTTATGTTCACAGGTCATCAAGCATGTCTTGAGACCTTCGAGAATGTGATCTTCAACAGAGAAAGTCCTCGTCTTGAATGATATCTTCGATTTTGAAGTGTCCTCGTCTTTTTTAGACTTCTCTTCCTTTACAACACTAAAACATCTCCAGCCTTTCCCCTCGTACCTAAATTGCTCTGAAACCTCTTCACACTTTTGCCCTATGTTTAAATGCTCCAAAGCTTCTTCGCACTTTCCCTCTCTGACCATTTTAGTACCACGCACTACGTAGATTTTGTACTTTTTCAAATATCCAAAAATATATTGAAAATGATAGTAATAATTATGTTTGCATATCACTGTGTGCATCTTTAAAGAGGAAGCACTCGTATTAAATGGGAAAAATAATACCTTTGCTTTTAAAAACTTAAAAAAATATCTTGTAAAATTAATATATCAAACTGAAATATTGAATAAAGATAGAGATAAAAAGAACACTTTATGTGTTTTTATACTTTACTCTTTATACTATTCAATATATAAAAATAAACTATTTTTGGATTTTTTTAATGCAAAATTATTTTTGAATTTCAATACTTCTAAAAATTCCTCCTATTTTGCATTTAAATATTATACACATAACCAAAGCGGAGCTGACGGAAATATGAGAAGGGATGACTTTCTGTTCCAGACATACTGTTGCAAACAATAAAAGACGACGATGTGAAACCTAGACGGATTGAACTTACACTGAATAAAAACCACGCGAAGCACCATCACTCCCCTTCTCAGATGTGGGAACTCAGCTTTCCCGCCAAATTAACGAACTTCTGGTCACTTCCCTGATACCGCCATGGGCACCCACCCGCGCTTCATCTTCTCTCCCTGGCTCCTCATCGTAATTATCGCTGTTTGTCTCTATCACTTCGGCCCCTCTACTGACTATGCACGATCACAAAACCCAACCCTAACTCCCTCCAGAGACATTTCAAATTCCACCGAGAATGCCACGCGTCAGGCCCAACTCGCTCGGCAAAACTACATCGTGCGGTTTCTGGAATACAAGACAGCCGAAGTGCACCGAACCTATCTGCAATCGAACATTCGATCCCAAGGGTGGGAGTGGATCGAGCGGCGAAACCCAGCTGCGAAATACCCCACTGATTTCGGATTGATTTCGATTGAGGATTCGGTGAAAGAAGATTTGACAGAGGAGATTCGGAAATTGGGTATGGTGAAGGATGTGAATGTGGATATGAGCTACAGGAGGGGTCTGCTTAAGGACGCCCGTGATAGAGTCGGTGCTTTTGTGGACGGAAAGAAGCGCCCCGGGAAGATATTCACAGCGATGTCTTTCAGCGAGGGACAGGGAGGTCACTCTTCCAAGATTAGCGACGCTTCCGTTAATTGGGGGCGGCAACTCTTGATGCAGGTTAAAAATTTTGTTTTTCGTTTCTTTCATGGGGTAAATTTGTCTTCTTTGATTCGTTCGGGAAAAGTAAAAAAGTCAATAAACACAGAAATATAGGCACGTACTCGATTTTTTTTTAGTGCAATTTCTTGATTCTTGATTCTTGATTTTTGAGAGTATGCATTCTCTTAGACTTGCCTCTCTCTGGCAGAGATCTCAAGTTACTTCCATGTTCGGAGCCCAAGATCTTTGGGCAAAAGGGTACACTGGTGCTAAAGTCAAAATGGCCATATTTGATACTGGCATTCGTGTTAATCATCCTCATTTCCGTAACATCAAGGTAATACTTGGTTTAGATGATATGGAGACCCGTACTTGGCTTAAAAGGTTTTTGGTAGACCTTATATGAATTGATTTCAAGGACCTTTACAGGAGCGTACAAATTGGACCAATGAAGATACACTGAACGACAATCTTGGGCATGGGACTTTTGTTGCCGGTGTAATTGCTGGAGTAGATGCAGAGTGTCTTGGTTTTGCACCAGATACAGAGATTTATGCATTTCGGGTGTTCACTGATGCACAGGTAATGCACTTGGTTATTATCACAAGTTCTTTTTACTGCAAAGAAGTATCATTTCGGTTTATCCAAGTTCATCCAAAGTATCTTACTTCCATTAATTTATACAAGTTTATTTTCTCAATGATGTAATCCTCCCTTGTCATAAGCTTATTGACTTAACTTTTTCTCCCTTTAAACCAGAGAATGCAGATGCATTTGTAGTCTCACAACTTATTGACCATCATATAAAATTACATTAAGCTGCAGTCTTAGTTCGTGATTCTTTTGCTGATATTTTCATTTTTATAAAGTTTTGCTAGAATTTGAGAAAAATTCATTCAGCTCATTGCAGGTGTCTTATACATCGTGGTTCCTTGATGCCTTCAACTATGCCATTGCTACCAATATGGATGTGCTAAATTTGAGCATAGGTGGACCTGATTACCTGGATCTTCCATTTGTTGAGAAGGTAATTTCTTCTGTTCTAGTTTAGTAGTTTGATAGGATTAAGGGGGACCTTGGTTCCCCGGTAAATAGGTTCAGATTCTGCAGAATCATAATGTCAAACCTAATTAGTAAAGTTAAATGTTTAAATTCTTGCAGTGAATACGTAAGCATCCCTTAGAGTTTTTTGTTGCTAATTTGTTGATCAGGTTTGGGAGATTACTGCAAATAATATTATTATGGTTTCTGCAATCGGAAATGATGGTCCGCTCTATGGAACTTTGAACAATCCTGCAGATCAAAGTGATGTGATTGGTGTTGGAGGAATTGACTATAGTGACCATATAGCCTCCTTTTCCTCGCGTGGTATGAGTACCTGGGAGCTTCCTCATGGGTATGATTTTTTTTTTCCTCTGGTTTTTTTTTTTTTCATTGATCCTGCTTCAATGGCTATCTAATAAATGCAAATCTATTTAGGATTGTGAGATTTTGTTACTAGGATGATAAGTGAAATAAAATTATCATGGATGTTTAGTGCTTGGAGATTTTGTTGAGTTAAAGCAATTACCTCCAAAAGCGAACTAATTCTTGCTTTAAATTGTATTTTCATATTAATACTTTGCCTTTTCCATATGAGGTTATTGGTTTTGGCCCTTGGCATGCTATGTGTAGGCCTCCTTGTTATACATACATATGTGCTTGCATATACTCTCTTCACACTTCTATGATTCCTTAGACAATGCCATTAGTTTCATACATATAATGCTCTTCTTATTTACTATTTGTCATTCCCTTCATTTTTATGCATGTTGGATTCTTGGTGATGGTAGATGTGCAAATTTTCATATGTTGGCATCCTTATGATGCAGGTATGGCCGTGTTAAGCCAGACATAGTTGCATATGGGCGGGATATAATGGGATCCAAGATTAGCACAGGCTGCAAAAGTTTGTCAGGAACTAGTGTTGCTAGTCCTGTGGTTGCTGGTGTTGTATGTTTGCTTGTTAGTATCATCCCTGAATCCGATCGGAAAACTATTTTAAATCCAGCAAGCATGAAGCAAGCGTTGGTTGAGGGTGCTGCAAAACTTGCTGGCCCAAATATGTATGAGCAGGGCGCTGGCAGAGTTGATCTGTAAGTTCTCCTTTCAAGATGCTCTCTTTGAATAAATATAAAAAGTTTAGTGTAAGCAATCTAACTTGACAATAATTGCTGTCATAATTCTAACTGTGCTTCGTTAATATTTGTTTGTACTGATTTGTTAACTATACTGTCAGGTTAGAGTCGTATGAGATTCTTAAGAACTATCAACCCAGGGCAAGCATCTTCCCCAGTGTTCTTGACTATACTGATTGTCCTTACTCATGGCCCTTTTGTCGTCAGCCCCTATATGCAGGTGCCATGCCTGTCATATTCAATGCCACTATTTTAAATGGGATGGGTGTTGTTGGCTATGTTGAAGGTCCACCAATATGGCATCCTTCTGATGAAGAAGGGAACCTTTTAAGCATTCATTTTACGTATTCAGAGGTTATCTGGCCTTGGACTGGTTACTTGGCGCTTCACATGCAAATCAAAGAGGAAGGTGCACAGTTTTCTGGAGGTATTGAAGGTAATGTGACTCTTAGGGTTTCCAGTCCTCCAGCTGCTGGAGAGAAAACCCCTCGAATTAGCACATGTGTCCTCCAATTGAAGTTAAAAGTAGTGCCAACACCACCTCGGTCAAAACGAATTTTGTGGGATCAGTTTCACAGCATCAAATACCCTCCTGGTTATATTCCAAGAGACTCCCTGGATGTTCGTAATGATATTCTTGACTGGCATGGGGACCATTTGCATACAAATTTCCATATCATGTTCAACAATTTGAGAGATGCTGGATATTACGTTGAAACACTTGGTTCTCCTCTGACATGCTTTGATGCCCGCCACTATGGAACACTTTTGTTGGTAGATCTAGAAGATGAGTACTTTGCTGAGGAGATCGAGAAGCTGAGAGATGACGTCATATATACTGGATTAGGACTTGCTGTTTTTGCCGAATGGTATAATGTGGATACCATGGTAAAGATGAGATTCTTTGATGATAATACACGGAGCTGGTGGACCCCTGTAACCGGAGGGGCAAATGTTCCTGCCCTTAATGATCTCTTGGCTCCGTTTGGAATTGCTTTTGGAGATAAGATTCTAAATGGTGACTTTTCGCTCTTGGGCGAGCAGAGTAGATATGCGTCTGGAACGGATATAGTGAGATTTCCAGTGGGTGGTTATGTGCATGGATTTCCCTTCTTGGATAGTTCAGAAAGTGGGGCCACTCAGAATGTGCTGCTGACTTCTGGCATGAACAAGGTAAGCTGGGCGAGAAGCATTCAATTCATTAATAATTATATAGTGGGAGTAATAGAGATGGTAATTTTTGAAGAAAAATTGAAGGATTCTCAATGATCATTGAAATCATCGGGGCCTTTTGCTCCATGTTAGACTAATGTACAAATGATATCGTTTGAAAGTTGAAATCAAATGGTGGTGTTTGACTTTATAAATGACATTCATGTATTCATGATAACTTCATTACTCTTGAATCAGACTATTCTGAGCACCAAAATTGTTGAGCAAAGCTTCCCACAACATAAAGGTATTTCTCTAATATTATTCTGAAATTGACAATGGTCTCTTTTGCTGAAACAGGCAGATTCTCCTATTCTTGGCTTTACAGTGATGGGTGAAGGTCGTATAGCTGTGTATGGGGATTCTAATTGTTTGGACAGCAGCCATATGGTTACTAATTGCTATTGGCTTCTCAGGAAAATACTAGATTTTACAAGCGGGGATATTAGGGACCCGGTGCTTTTCTCTGATTCAGTGAAAATAGACTCTGCACTGTATGAAGATGACAATCAATTGCCGTCCCGCAGAACTGATGTGAATTTCTCTACATATTCTGCTGTTGTGGGAAAGGAATTGATCTGCAGGACTGACGCAAGGTTTGAAATATGGGGAACAAAAGGCTACAGTTTGCATGTCAGAGGAAGAAACAGAAGATTGCCAGGATATCCTGTGATTGATTTGGGGAGAGGTTTCAATTCTTCGTCTGATGCCTCTAATATTCCTAGGCGTCCCAAAGTCACTCCGGGAAGTAAGAGTGACTCTCTAGGGAACAGGTACTTCGGCCTGTTCTATGGGGATGAGGTAAGAAACCGTGTTGCATTGGTTCTTTAAAGATGAAATCTTCCTTTATCTTCAGTTGCCTATGTTTGTAGAAATACCAGAGTCGCATAATGCTTGTTAATATTATGAATTTTCTGATATATCCTGCAGCCCGATGCTCCTCTGTTGGCTCGTAGTTACTGGCTTGCTCCTGCAGTTCTTGCGGCTAGTGGTCAGTAAAATTTGAATTGGCCATTTAATATATCCATAACACGTTTGTTGCGTTTTCATTAGTTTATCTGGCTGCAGGTATTTTGTTATGTTGTTGGCGCATTCGCCAAAAGCGACGCCGACGACGGAAAGGATCAGGCTCTAGTAGATTGGTCAATTTATAGCCCAGCATTAAATCCCTAAATATTTGTAACACTACCCGGCTTCCCTCAAAGAGATTTTTCCTGTAGCATAGGAAAGGAAAAAAGTTAGGAAATTTTCTACCAGCATCTTTGTAGGAAGTTGCTTTTGCCCTGTAGATTTACAACTCTTTTTTTCAAAATTGTTTTAGATGCTTATCAAGGTCACAATTTTTCAGTTAATAAATCATATGCATTTCAAATTATTTGTGACTTTCGTGTGTAGGTTAAGTAGATATTGTAGAGACTAAAATATATATTTGGTCTTTTAACTTTATAAAATACTTTAATTTAGTTTTTTAATTTTAGAAAGTATATTTTTTATCTTTTAATTATAAAATTGTTAGGCTAGTGATGATTTTGTAACAATCATAGTTGTTTTAAATATTATATTTAATATATTAGTAGTTGAGAATGCTTTGTTGACATTTAAAATTTTGGTATTATCATTTTTTTGTTCATAATTTTAAGGTCAAATGATTCAAAATATACTTTTTAAAATTAAAAGATCAAAATGAAACTCTGTATAAAATTAAAAGACTAAAATCTGTTTGGTTCAAATGTATTATAGCCTTGCAATGATCATCTCTACCTCATTACAATCCACAGCTTCTTTGGTTGAGCTTTTGGATGATAGAAAAGACTGTAATGGTAATATTTATTGCACATTTTTTGGGTAGTATTTATTCATATGGGGGACATATGAATGATCATTGCAGGACTGTAATTCCCTATAAAATATCCATTTTATCCCTATTAACTAATGTAAAATGACAATAGTTGCCCTCAACGTTTCTCTATTGATCGTCTCTTCTCCTAACATCTTGTCCTTTGTCCCTTGTCTCCCTCACTTCATTACCATGACCGCTGCCTCTTCTTCTTTGTCACCTCCCTCCGTTATCGTCATCTCCTCCTTCTCCTTCACAAAGTAAAAACATGTTAATTCATCTATATCCATATCTACAATTTTCACATCATTACAATACCTACTTGCACCAATTAACTAACTTTTGCATTTTTCCAACTACTACTTAAAAAGTGCTTTGATCATTCCACTATTAATAGCGAAAATGTTCGGTGGACCCTCCCATTGTTAATTTAATTCACAATATTTCATTTTTCATTTGTTCTACGTAGTGGTGGTATTCTATTGGGGTGAGGCATTTGGGGGGTCTAAGCATTTGGAATTTGAATAAAAAAAGGGAACAAAAATGGATCAGTAAGACTGATATGTCATTTGCCATGAGCGGAGGAAGAAGACGATTGTGGTTGTGAACTTGTGATTGAAGAGCTTTCCGGACTTTTCATTATTATTTTTATTTGATTAAATGCAAAAAAATATTTTGCCCAGTATTAACACACCAAACGCGTTGGTGGTAACAAATATTGCATTGCACTTCATTACACTGCACTGTATTACCTTCTTTAAACAGTTGGTAATTGAACCAAACATGCCCTAAATGTATATTTTAGTTTATCATAGATTTTTTAGCAAAATACTGTGACTATCTTTTTGTTTTGTCTTAATTACACAAATCTCTTCTCTATTTACATATATTTTAATCTAAACCATTAACACCGTTAAAGAATATTTTAAAAAATTATTTAAGTATATTTTTTTAATTAAAATATATTAAAATAAATCTTGTTTATTATTTATACCTCATTATATTAAATCTCTAGTTTATCTTTGAATATTAATATTTATTAATGATCTATTTAATACTTTTACTAAATTTAATAAATTAAGACATAACTATATAATTTAAAATATTTTCAGCTAATACATATATTTAAAAAATTACATCACAAGTTAGTTTTAATTAATAAATGATATAAAAAATTTAAATTTATTATAAAATAAAAATTTGTATTTATAAAATTAATTAGGGGAAATGACAAATAAAGACCCTTGAATTAGCAAAATCACAAGGAGGTCACCTGAATAAGCTAAATTACCAAGAAGGACCCGGTCTCAAATTGTAATTATGAAATCAGGCTAAAAAGACAAAAATACCCTTCTTCTCTTTCTTCCATCACCCCATCTCTTTCTCTTTCCCTCTTCTCTTTCTCTTCGTCTCCGTCCTTCTCTCCCTCTTCATCTCCCTCTCTCTCTTCTTCCTTCTGTTCCTCTCCCTCTCAAAAATATTCATCTCCCGCCTATGCATTTATCAATATGATTAAGGTTGTGGCCATTCCCATAAATCTCTATTACAAAAAAGATGATGACCAATCGTTAATGCTAGTTGGCAGAGGTAATCAGATTGAAGTTGATAGCAATAGTGTTCTGGAGATGGTATACAGAATCAATGTTGGAGAGGATGAGACTCAAGCTACCCAAGACACTACATGTATATATACTTCATGATTGGCACGGCATCATCTTGGTGGGTTGCGGTGTGGTCATTGGGTTATACGGTGGAAGAGAATGAAACGTGAAGTTAATGATGGAAAATGTTAGTTGGAGGATGTTGTAGTTAGTTTGAGATACACTTGTCACCGAATCTTGCAGAAACTGGTTGCTGTCAAAACACCTCTGGTTTTTTGTTATTTGACTTACTATTGTTGTAATTTTACTTAGTAGTGTTGTAACTACAGATTGGTTAGTTTGATCATAGCAACATGCTATGACAATATGAAAATGTTAGTATTTTGTTTATGGGCAGAGCAATGTTAACATTTAGTATTTATAGTTGTTAATGGTATCAATGTAGATCTATTTAATATTCTAAATTCATGACAAATCTCCTCACAGACTTATAATTTCACTTATCACAGTTGTTATTTGGCTTTCCACTCTTGTCAATTGATTTTCATAACTTGTCATTCGCCTTAATCAACTTGTCATAAATTACTTATCAGAACTGGTCATCTGCTAAAGAAATATGAAAATTCTGTCATTTGAAAAGAGAAAATTAAATTTTTATGAATTGCTTATCAGAAGTTGTCATTCGCCTTACTAAACTTGTCATTCGTCTTAGTCAACTTGTCATTGAATGGATCTACATTGATATCATTTACAACTATAAATACTAAATGTTAACATTGCTCTACCATAAACAAAATACCAATATTTTTATATTGTCATAGCATGTTGCTGTGATCAAACTAACCAATCTGTAGTTACAACACTACTAAGTAAAATTACAACAATAGTAAGTCAAATAACAAAAAACTAGAGGTGTTTTGACAGCAACCAGTTTCTGAATCTTGTAGAAACTGGTGTATGACAACTTCTGATAAGCAACTCATAGGAATTTAAGATTCTGGATTAAAATGACAATTTGCACAATTCGTTGGCAAATGACAATTTTAGTTTTATTTAGCAGATGACAAGTTTTGATAAATAATTTATGACAAGTTTAGTAAGACGAATGACAAGTTTAGTAAGGCGAATGACAACTTCTGATAAGCAATTTATAAAAATTTAATTTTCTCTTTTCAAATGACAGAATTTTTAGATTTCTTTAGCAGATGACCAGTTCTGATAAGTAATTTATGACAAGTTGATTAAGGCGAATGACAAGTTATGAAAATCAATTAACAAGAGTGGAAAGCCAAATAACAACTGTGATAAGTGAAATTATAAGTCTGTGAGGAGATTTGTCATGAATTCAGAATATTAAATGGATCTACATTGATACCATTAACAACTATAAATACTAAATGTTAACATTGCTCTGCCCATAAACAAAATACTAACATTTTCAGATTGTCATAGCATGTTGCTGTGATCAAACTAACCAATCTGTAGTTATAACACTACTAAGTAAAATTACAACAATAGTAAGTCAAATAACAAAAAACCAGAGGTGTTTTGACAGCAACCAGTTTCTGAATCTTATAGAAACTGGTGTATGACAACTTCTGATAAGCAACTCATAGGAATTTAAGATTCTGGATTAAAATGACAATTTGCACAATTCGTTGGCAAATGACAATTTTAGTTTTATTTAGCAGATGACAAGTTTTGATAAACAATTTATGACAGGTTTAGTAAGGCGAATGACAACTTCTGATAAGCAATTTATAAAAATTTAATTTTCTCTTTTCAAATGACAGAATTTTCATATTTCTTTAGCAGATGACCAATTCTGATAAGTAATTTATGACAAGTTGATTAAGGCGAATGACAAGTTATAAAAATCAATTGACAAGAGTGGAAAGCCAAATAACAACTGTGATAAGTGAAATTATAAGTCTGTGAGGAGATTTGTCATGAATTCAGAATATTAAATAGATCTACATTGATACCATTAACAACTATAAATACTAAATGTTAACATTGCTCTGCCCATAAACAAAATACTAACATTTTCAGATTGTCATATCATGTTGCTGTGATCAAACTAACCAATCTGTAGTTACAACACTACTAAGTAAAATTACAACAATAGTAAGTCAAATAACAAAAAACCAGAGGTGTTTTGACAGCAACCAGTTTCTGCAAGATTCGGTGACAAGTGTATCTCAAACTAACTACAACATCCTCCAACTAACATTTTCCATCATTAACTTCACGTTTCATTCTCTTCCACCGTATAACCCAGTGACCACACCGCAACCCACCAAGATGATGCCGTGCCAATCATGAAGTATATATACATGTAGTGTCTTGGGTAGCTTGAGTCTCATCTCATCCTCTCCAACATTGATTCTGTATACCATCTCCAGAACACTATTGCTATCAACTTCAATCTGATTACCTCTGCCAACTAGCATTAACGATTGGTCACCATCTTTTTTGTAATAGAGATTTATGGGAATGGCCACAACCTTAATCATATTGATAAATGCATAGGCGGGAGATGAATATTTTTGAGAGGGAGAGGAACAGAAGGAAGAAGAGAGAGAGGGAGATGAAGAGGGAGAGAAGGACGGAGACGAAGAGAAAGAGAAGAGGGAAAGAGAAAGAGATGGGGTGATGGAAGAAAGAGAAGAAGGGTATTTTTGTCTTTTTAGCCTGATTTCATAATTACAATTTGAGACCGGGTCCTTCTTGGTAATTTAGCTTATTCAGGTGACCTCCTTGTGATTTTACTAATTCAAGGGTCTTTATTTGTCATTTCCCCAATTAATTAAATTTATAATATGACAATTGATTTAATAATATATCAGAAAAATTAACATATTTATTAAAATTATTTTTAATTTTAAATAAAGGTATATTAAATGATAGTTATTAAGTAATATTTGCATTAAAAAGGAGAACAGTTGAATGGATAAAAGTTGAATATCAAAATTAGAAAAGAAGTTTATGTAACATATATTTTTATTTTAAGAGAAGTTGATATAGATTTTCAAAATAAAACATAGGTCTTTATAGTTTAGGTTAATAGAGGGGAGGTCGATGTATTTTATCGTAGATTTTATTGCTTGGTATCCTAACAAATCAACTCAGCACTAATATTGGCTTGAATAATAATACTGGGGTTACTCGTAGGCCAAAAAAAAAAAATTTATTTTAAACTTCCCCCCAGACCAGAAGTCCTTGTTCTTCGTTCTCCAATAATCCGCGTCAATGACGGTGTCCTTCATTTTAAATTTTAATTAACAAGTTGACCTGTCGGCATTTACAAATATTTCAAACTAGAGCTGTAGATGACAGGTACAGCCATGGGCTGTTTCCAGGCTAGAAGCACTTGTGCCTCGTCCACCTATTCTTTCTTTCTTCACCAAACATCTTGCTAATGATACTCTGCGACAACAATGCATCGCGTGACTCTGTCAAAGGTGGTTCACTAGAAGAGAGATTCCGAAAGGTATAACTTTTATACCTTAGTTTTGGTTTAAGCATGCGACCAAGAGTCCCATAAAATTTAGGCCTCTCTCTGTTTCGAACTTTTCTTTTTCCTAATTCTAACATTACGGGGCGAGGACCTAAAATTTGAATAGCAAACACTGCTCCGGCTTTTCAAGAACTCAAATTTTAGGATTTTCCGTCCACCTTATGGTTCTTCAAGGACCATTTCATTCATTATGTTAGATATCAAGGAAAATCCATTCTGACGTGTTCAGGAATGCCGGCTCTTACTTCTGTGGTTACACATGGTGGATAAATACAGGGACTCAAAGGTTCGACTTTGACATTAGCTCATCAACCATCTTACGATTTCAATCACAAGCTAATTGACAAATGAACACGAAAAACAAAGTTGATGCATTTCAATCCCAGTAATCAACAAATGAAAGAATCTACCTAATGCTACTTTGTTGTATATATGCCCTTATCAATAGAATTTTAAAGCTGACAATCTGTGAAAAATATTTAGGTAATTCGCTCAGAATAGGTCAGTCAAAACACAGAAGTAAAATCAAAGGATATAGATTTATACATGGTAAAAGCAAAGAGTTGTCAAGAGCTTCCACTGTAACCTTGGTGGTTATTCATCTTTCTCATTTCCATTTCCCGGGTGGTCCCGCGGCTCTGGCCTTCGCTGCTTGAGCCAGATGGGTATAAGCTGTTGTCACTCGTAGGTGCACTGTATTCACTGCTGACGCCAAGCTCCTGGGTTCCCAAAGCCATTTTCCTGAATTTTTTCATGTCTTCCTTGTATTGTGCAGTATCATAATCAGAGCTTCCTCGGAAACTGTAGGCAGAGCTGTGTCCGGGTTTAATTCCTTCGTTCAGATCTGATAGAGACATGTCTCCTTCCAGAGCACGAGCAACCTATGACATATTCAAATTGTGGGGCTTTTAGAAGCAATGTTGTAAATAGTACAGTACTCTGAACTAAAGTACTGTTAAGTTTGTACAGGAGGGCTTAGGTCTACTTTTAGTAGCAGCACAATGACGAGATCGCACTTGACATGACTTTGCATTTTTCACACTAAGTGGCAAGCCATATAAATTTAAGGTACAAAATATAAACCATAACTGGCTTCCTCAGGACAAACTGCTCAAGGTATCAGTCAATCGTGAGCCTGGAAACAGTGATTTACCTGGCTCACTTTTGGCCTATGACGTGCTGAATGACGGGTGCAGGCTGCAGCACATGCGACCATGCGAGTCATTTCATTGAGGTCATATTCATCTTTCAGCCTTGGATCAACCAGAGAATCAAAATCATGCTCTTCCAAAGCACGGATAAGCAAAGGCCTTGCCTGTGATAACAAGAGATGAACTTTCAATTCAAAGGTTGCTTCAAAGCGCGTCTCTCTTTCGAGGGAAAATAATGCAAAAAACAGTCCATTTTGCTAGCATGAAAGTACTCTACACAAAAAGTTGGATCATCACAATACTGACCCACTCTACCAGACTATCCTCCATGAAAGTATGAGTTGTGTCAACCGGTCGACGTCCAGTAATTAGCTCCAGGAGCATCACCCCAAAGGAGAAAACATCTGATTTGTCTGTGAGTTTCCCACTGGAAGCATATTCTGGAGCCAGATAACTACAGCACGATCAATGTGAGATCACGTTAAATATGCAAATATACAAAGCCAAACAAGATAGTGTCTTTGACAACTATTGCTTATGCCAGCTAATAGTAAGTGAAAAATCTTAAGTGGAGAAGCAAAGCGTCAAGCAGCCTCAACAAAGTACGAAATAACTACAACAGTTTTTCAGGGTAAGGTAGACAATGGAACAAGGAGAGCTTGGTCCATATATTGGATCGTGAAGCATTATGGTACCTCAAAATATCAAGAATACGGACATGGTCTTGGAAAAATTTTTAGGGGGTGTTTGGTAACCTCCAAACCATGATTTCAAAAGCACTTTTCCGTAAAATAAGGTAAATTCCTCTACATATTTACTTCGTAAACCGTAAAAACACTTCTGAAACCATAGTTTGGTTTCTATCCATCCATTTGAAAGTTCTTGAATAGTTAAAAGGAAGTAACTCTCACCCAAAAGTTCCCATCACTCGAGTGGAAACATGAGTATTGAGATCAGAAGAAAACTTTGCTAGTCCAAAATCAGCAACCTGGCATCAGATAATTAAAAAAATGTAAATTCGAGTTCATATTGAAAAACTAAAGGTGTGATTACATAATAATAAGAGATTCTAACTTCCTACTGATGCTAAACAACTAATCTGATTTTTCATGGCAATGAAAACAGAGCAGCCACCTCCGCCGAAGACGACATTTTATAGAATAATAAAGCATGTCTAGAGTTAGAATGATAGAAGGCCCTTCTCTCCTGGCTAAGGAAAAAGTGAGCAGTGAAAGATGTGTTGTTGAACTTACATCAGTATTACCGATAAGAAGTGGCAAAACAACACTACGGAAATTATTACCTTCGCTTCAAACTTGAAATCCAGAAGTATGTTAGCACTTTTGATATCACGATGGATGATCTTGGGATGACCTGGACATAAAGATAGTTATAATAAGAATCTAAGATCAGGCAATGTAGCCACATCTTTTAAAAAAGAAAAATGCCCAGATTCATAGCACGTACAATCCTCATGGAGATACGCCAGTCCTTTTGCTGATCCTAATGCAATTTTCAGTCTTGTGGGCCAATCCATAGTAGGTCGCCCTTTTCCTGCAGTAGATATATCTATCAGATTCTTGCAACCAACCCCACACAATAAGTCAAGCCAAATAATGACTATGTAAATGGAAATCCAGTCACAAAAGGCGGCTAAGAAAACTTGCCATGTAAGTGAAGCTCCAACGTATTGTTTGGAACAAATTCATAAACAAGCAATCTCTGGTGTCCAGTAATGCAGTACCCAACGAGAGAAACAAGATGTCTGTGATGAACTCGGCTAATGATCTCAACTTCTGCTTGAAATTCTCGTTCACCCTGCCCACTTCCTGCCTTTAGCTGCTTGATTGCCACCTCCTTCCCATTCGGCAGGATTCCCTTGTGCACATATCCAAATCCACCTTGTCCAAGGAGGTTGGCATCGGAGAACCCATCTGTTGCCCGTACCAACTCTTCATATGAAAATGCGCTCTTTGAGAAACCCAATGACATTCCAGGAGAAGGAGGTGGGTGTGAATTTTCGCCACCTGTATAGTTGGAACCTGACCCACCACTGCTGCCGAGAAATGGCGGCGGCGGAGGAGGTTTAGGGGCATAAGCCGGGGGCGGGGGCTTTTGCATCACGGAGACAATATTATCTGAAGGAGACGGAGCATTATGCTGCCACTGACGTGGTAGGCCACCATATTGGTCACCTGGCAATCGTAAAGAATTCAGTACCAAATGAATATTGATCACCAGTCCAGTATCTCAGAGCATCATCATAAAAAAAAGTCCCCCAAGACTCCTTCCCCTTCCCGGAAAGAAAGAAAGAAATAGCCCTTTCTGTATAATAAGAATAATTCTTCTTTCCGACTCGCTACAGCAGATAAGCCTAATCTAATATGCCTTGTCAAACATAGGCGTAACGATTTGTAGATGTTCTGGAAAATCATGGGTCCCCTTGTAGTTCCATAATCATTGGAAAGGCGCATGCAGGAATATCAATGTTCGATTTTGAGAATTTTAATAAATGAACTTGCAAAATTTTGGCAGTACCATGAGGAACAAAAATATTTTCGATCAAAATGACTAATATGATCAAATTGACAGAGTCACAAATAGGATAGGAGCAAGGGGGGAAAGAGGAGCAGTAAAGGCATGGCCACAAGGAACAAATGTGAATAATTAATTGCATACAATGATGGACTCGTTCTCAACGTGAGTTACAGAATGTTAAACTTCACTCCAATTCAAACTCTCACCTTTAGGTCCCTGTGGCGGCACATAGGATCCTACATTACTTGTTCTCCTCTTCTTCCTCCGACAACATACGCAAACAAGGCTTAAAATTACAAGAATCCCCACAGCACCAACGGCGATGCCAACAATAACACCAGTTGATATATCCGGCGATGAAGAAGGGGACGAAGGCGTGGTTGAACTGGACGGAGGAGGAGGAGGAGGAGGCGAGCTGCGAGTCACCGGAGGTGGTGGAGAATTGGTACCAGACGTAGGCGGCGGTGGCGAGGTTGCAGGTGGGGAGGGAAAGGGAGGGCTGGGAGTGGGTGTGGCTGGCGGCGGGGGCGAAGGAGTAACCTGTGGTGGAGTGGAGGGAGTAGCAGGAGGTGTTGCAGGAGGGGTGGCCGAGGGCGGAGGAGGAGATGTTGTGTTAGTAGTAGGCGGAGGAGGAGATGTTGTGTTAGTAGTAGGCGGAGGAGGAGAAGTTGTGTTAGTGGACGGCGGCGAGGTGGGGGCCGGAGAAGCTCCGGGAGACGGCGAAGTTGACATTGTACCGAAAGAATATGTCAGGTAATGAAAAGAAGGCGTCTAGAAAACGCAGAACAGAAAGGCAATCGCAGTGGCTATGGTGGTAGAGACTCCCTGTGATGATGCGAGAGAAGTGTAAGATGCAGAGAGACGCAATGGTGAGGGAGTGGTCTAATGGGGAAGGAATGGAATTGAATTGAACGAGTGCGAGAAAGAAAGCGTTTCGTCAAGAAGTAGCTTCATACGTTCCCAGCTCACACCTTTGATTTGAAGCTTCTATTTTATTTTTCAAAAAATAAATAGTAAATCCGACCAACCAAGTCCAACCACAACGGAAGAGAGACAGTGGGGCCTCCAAGCTCGTTGCTCCCATTTGTCGCCTGCAGAATTTGATATAAATTGGATTTTGTGTAATTATTCTAATTATTTCTCGATGGTCTTCGAATATTAATGAAAAATGATCACGTTTTAGTATTTTTCATGTTTTGATATTAATATTATTTTTTCTTCAGCTCAGAAAAAATTATTTTTTCCTGTTATTTGTGCCCGATATTTGGTCATGGTCCCTTGTACCGTGTATTTTGGGGCTGTTGCGACTTCTGATTCTTCCGCCAGCGGGGAATGAGTAAATTATTGGCACCTAATTTTGTTTTAAAATTCTTTTTCTTTGGGTATAATGTTCATTCAACTTTCCACGCTGGCTTTTGCTATTTTCGTTCTCCGTTCCTCTTATTCGTTGTTCAGAGTTCAGACATTTTCACAAAAATAGCAATGCGGACTTCATGCGAGCAAATATTTGTAGAGAATTTCATTTTTGAAAGAGTGTAGTAAATTCAAATTTCTTATAAGTTGCTAATAAATTTTATTATACATATAGTTGATATATATACTCCTCTTATTTTAAATTTAGGAACTAGTTGAGAAGTTAATCTAATTTTAAATATAAAATTTTAATCTATTCTGTTTTTGAATTTTACAATTCTCTTCCTAAACCATCCTGGTTATCACAATGAAGGAAAATTTCTATCAAGGACATAGTTTTTAATACAAGTAATTAAAAATAATATTTTAGAAAAACTAACATATATTCTTTTTAAATAACCACTTAATATCAATTAATTTTATTAATATTTATAAAGGATAATATTTACATCAATTGCTTTATATTCATTATATCGAATTCTCCAATCACACACGTTATCATGTATTTTATTTTTAAAATATTAGCATTTAATAATATTTAATTATAAATCTATATGTAACAAAAAAGGATACATGATGACGTGTGATTGGAGAACTTAACATAATGAATATAAACAATTTGACCTAAAAAAAATTTTCATTTACAAAATAGTTATTTAATTTCATATACTGATGTGTACTAGTTCCTCTAAATAAAGAGTACGCTTTGCTAAAAAAATTATTGCATTTAGAACAGAGTGAATTTAATAATATTTTTAAATTATGAGTGCCTAATATTGTAAAAATAGCTCATTATTTTCAGGCATAAAATAATCAACAGATAAGTATTGAAGCCTTCTTACTCAACATTTGACACTCTATTAATTACACATACTATGCGGAATGAAAATATAATTACGATATTTCTAAACAAGTTTTTTGTTTTTTGGCGTGTCCCCAAAAGCAATAGTCCTACCCTGTGGAGAAGAAGACAAGAATCTGTAGTGCAGCGTCGATGGGGAGAAATCAGAAAACGCAAATATAGGGTTTTGGAGGTAGTGCGTAAATTAGGGAGGTGATTGTGAACCCGCATCACATGGATAAAGATTTAGAATATAGTGGCCAATCAAATTCTGAGGAATTTAATTAAGGAAATGTGTCAAACTCATAGTTCTCTTCCGTGATAAATGCTATTTCGCATTTTTGATTATGCTAACTGGCCTGCATCACAGACCTGCATGGAGTCAACTATTAGAAACCAACAAACACGTTTCATAAAGTCACTCAACCATTTTCCCCTTCAGTAATTAGCTTTGCTTCCAATCCTCCCACTAAACATAAAAATATTACCTCCTGTGTTTAACACTACCTCCGGCTTTGAGCTGGCTTCACATTCAATTTGATCTTAAATATAAAACCATAATTTACTTTATCTCTCATTTTTATTTATTTTTTTAATTAATCATTGTACTAGTTGTACATGTTGAAAGTTCGGTCAAATAGTATATATAGCTAATAAACATGACTACTAAGAATATTTTTAAAAAAACAATACATATTTATTATAAATAACTAAGTTAATTATTTTTTTCCATCTATTCAAATTAAGCATGAAATAAATGGCATTGATAAGAAAACAGTGTGAAAGCTAGGCGTGGTTAAAGTTGAAAGTTGAAACCCTTCTCAAATGTCGTTTTGCAAAATTGAGGCGTCTTTATGCCTTTAAACGGCAGACGCGCTGGTGATTGCCAAATGCCAACACAGCAAAAGGAGATGCCCTGTGCGGAAAATTAAGGATCGACGAACAAATAGAATGGCATATCATGTCCCAATTTGTAATATTCATAGGAGTGAATTTTATATGGTTGTATTATAATTATATCTTGTGAGTTTTTTTTTTTTTTTTTGCCACAAGTTATCTCACCAGTTTGGTTGGCATAGATAATATTTTGATGCTTATTTTTAAAGTTAATAGATGTTATTTTAATACAAATAAATTTATATTAAAACATAAAATAATTATTTTAATGGCATGAATCATCGGTCATGTTCTTAATTGATGCCCATGGCCTATCCTCTCAAAAAATCTAGCAGTTTACATGAACCGAAGGAGGCTGCAGGCCCGTCGGAATAATTCTAAAATTTGAGCTGGTCAAGGATCTCGTGCTCTCCCATTAATTAATTTATTTATTCCCTCTGCTTCAAAATAGACGTCTTTTTAGGGATTTTTTGTTGTTGCAATATTTATGTGTCTTTTTAGAAGTTCAAATGCAGTATTTATATTAACATTTTTTTTCATAATATTCCCTTATTTACTCCCACAATTTCATTAAAGAACATTTATTAGGTTTTAGGGACGACTTAGGCCATTTAATCAATATTTCAATGTATTAATTGCATTTCTTAATTAGTATACAGTTACTTTAAAAGACAAATATTACGAAATAGAGGGAATATCTATTTATTTATTTATTTTGACTTTTTTTAATTTCCAACTGAGGCAAAGGAATGAGCTCTGCTAACAGTAAAAACCATTTCTCATCGGTTATTATTAATTTTTTTTCACAAGAGTTGGAATTCTAATAGTCCAACAGCTTGTTTAGATGACTCTTATCGCTCACGCTAGCCTAAATTGGTAAATATTTGATTTATTTATTGAATAATGCAATACTGGACAATAAAATAAGAACTCATACGATATGTTTATGTAAGAATGGAATAATAAAAGCGCAAAATCAATTACACAGTAATTTGCAGTATTTCACTCATAAAAGTCCCAAATTCTTTAATTTAAACTTCTGATTATTAAAAGGAATATAGAATGCTAAACATAAATCGAAAGATTCAACTGGAAATAAATGGATGGATGGATGAAATGAGGAAAAATTGGGGATAAAATCTCTCATTGAAAATTTAATTGGTACATGGGACTAAGGATTTTGTACAACTGAACTTTTATTGTGTACAACTGAACTTCTATTGTGTACAACTTAACTTCTTTTATGTGTAATGATCTTTCTTTGTGCAATGTGCAATTTAATTTTCCTTTATGCAAATAAAATTCTCTTAATTATGTGCAAGTCATCTTTCTTATATGCAAACTAATTTCTTATATTTAAATAATGTTCTGTGCAAACTATCTTTTCCTTGTACAACTTACCTTCCTTTATGTATAACTAATCTTTTCTTATGCAATCAATCATCCTAGATCCCATTTGCTAATTAAATTTTTAATGAAGAATTTATCCCCAGTTTTCTCATGAAATGATTGAAATCTCATTTGAATTTTCGCTCTTAATTTTTCATTAAGAGAAAGAATTACTGTCCATGAGAAAGCTGTAGAGAGGAAAGAGTATAGTATAGCATAAGGCCAGTGCCAAATGATGAACTGCCATACTTGTAATTTTAAACAAGAGATTTCCGAGTGAGGCTAAGAGAGAGCCATTGGGCATTTCCCAAATTAAAATTCCTTCTAGAATTGGACCGACTCTTTTGGACAGCTTTTCTCCATCTTTAATTTGCTCCTTTGTTCTTAGGATCCAACCAGATCGAAAATTAGTTGTATGATTCTTCTTAAACACTTAAAAACCATTAATAGAACATAGGTCTGGCAGAAGAGTATCTTAAACATGATTAAAAAGGAGAACCCATTGGAATCAGTCATGACTGTCCTTTTTTCCCCCCTTAATAACCCAAAATAATATTATGTTGTGTTTTTATTTATTGTTTTTCTTCGGTGTTATATTTGTCTGATGACTTATTGGCGGCTCTAATTAATTGTGAAAGCTCGTGCTAGTTTGGTATTCCTTATATATGCTGGCTATTTACACACACACACACACACACATATTGCATAAAGACATCTTATTTCTGAAATTATTCCTAAGGTCTTTGTCCTTCTACGGAATTGAGGCATCCTCAAGCTGAAAGCTAAATTTGGGAGGGATATTCAAATCTCATTCGTGTGGCTATTAAATAGTTGAACTGATGAGTTATTCTAAAATTGAGCGCTGAATTTGAAAATGATGGTTTTAAAATTGTATTTTTGTGACTATTTTTTTAAAAAAATGATATAATCTGTTTAATGATGCATCATGAAATCGAGTGCTAAATTCAGGAATGACATTTTAAAAATTTTCTTGTGCGACTATTAAACATGGAAAAGCATTTTGGCCACTATACGAGGGCACGGAAAAGGACCAAGCTCTTTGGGAATAATTTAAGAAATTAAAAGTCATTGTGGATAATTAATTTCATCATTTAGTCCTTGCTATGAATATAATAGCTGTGTAGGTACTCATTTATCTCTGCTTGTCACTCTAATCTCCTCAAGGGATGTGAATCTTCACAAGTCTTATAATTTATTCTCCGCACATTCATGAAATTTATCTTTTTTTTGTGATCCGTTATTTCACATGACGAGACTTTTGAGTTATAGAGATATGCTTATCAATTAAGGATATACTACTTCTTATTCTTAATATAAGAGTTAGTTAACTAATTTGAAAATATTAGAAAAATTAGTTAAATTAGTTATTTATAATGAACATATATTGTCTTTCCTAAAACACCTTTATTAATTATGTATATTAACTAGAATTATAATTTGATGAAACATTTAACATATACAACTGCTATAATGACTATTTTAAAAAAAATAAATAAATATGAGACAAAATAGACCCGAATCTTATATTTATAACCAAATTAAATATTAAATTAGCTCTTATATTATGAACCGAAGGTAGTATATTATATAGTTATTACAACGAACGTGGATAAGGCATATTTTATCTCATTTTTTATCTCTCCAATTCTCTATTTTTATTCTCAACAATCCTGTATTTTTCTTGTTGAATATCTTTATTTTCATAATTTTTATAATAATCCTTATGTATCTCTCTCCCTTGTATGTAATTAAGTATACGTGATAAGGATATAAAATCCTTGTGGCAAATGGGAATATCGAGAGTTTTAATATTTTCTATTATTCTCTCGCACTTTTCTCCTCAAGGCTGCTCAAGAAGGATAAGACCCAACCATCACCGTGAGGATATTCTTTAACTCATTCGTCTTTCTTTGTTTTTTTTTTTTCCGGTCCATGTCTTAATATTTATTCTCCTTGCCAAAAGAATCCAACTAAATTAAAACCGGCCCTTGGTTCTTGATTTTATTTTTCAATTGGAAAGCACCAAACAAGTTTGTAATTTACTTAAGTTTTTTTAATGACAAATTATCTCTTCTTTCCCTAAAAGAAACAGCTATTTATTTAAATAAACTTAAAAGATACGTAACACACAGGGCCACGACCACGATCACACTGCATGCAATGAAACAACAAACATCTAATGACCACTTGGTAATTCAGAAAACCTTTCCATTCATAATGATTAAAAGTAAAACCTTATTTAATAGGTCTTAAATTCTTTTATTACTCAGTCCAACCATAGTTACACTTTTTTATTAAAGACTGAGACGCCATTTTTTAAAAAAAAAAAAATAAGCTCACATGGATGTTGAATTATATATTGAAAATCACAATAAGAAGCGTAATTTATAATGTATTTTCTTTATAAGAAGTTACCCTAGACAAATAATTAATTCAGATTCAACTGTGCCAAGCTCCAATAAAGAGAATTTCTCTCAACATATTTTTTTTTTAAAATTCCTAATTCATAATGGTCAAAATCCAGACCATATATTGAATCTCTTGTTTAGAATTGTTGTTATTAAAGATTGAGACGGCATGCTCTGGTCAACAGACTCACATGGATATGTGGAATTATATTTTGCCTCGTCCATTAGAAATAAGTGGCGCAACATTCGTCTGAACTGCGTAATAAGTGGGACCGTGTTAATATGTTAGGTCCTTCTTCCTGCTCATACTCCCCCAATCCTAACGGTAAAAACTAGAAAATAATTATATAAAATTTAAAAAATAATTAAATTAGTTATTTATAAAAGTGTGTTATTAACTTTTGTAATATCATATTTAATATATAAAATCAACGGTAATAATTTAAAAATAATAATAAATTTGAAAGATAAAATATATTAATATATCACATCTATGGAAAACTGGAAACAGTTATTGATTATGGTATAATGAGTTTAAGGGTTGGCAGTCTTCAGTTCTGGGGTTCATCACAAACAGCCATGATGTGGATAATTAATAATAAAATAATGAACTCTAAATGAAAAAGGCCAAAATGTATTGTATTTTATAATGTTTGCACGACGAGACGAGTAACGTGTTTGAGATGCTAATGATGCCATTCCTACACGCGGTGCATTTGTGGAGCCACAAAAGTCAACCGTGCTCCCAAGACGGTGAAGGATTTGTTGCGTCATCTGACTAATCCCCTCAATATAGATTTTATTTTATTTTATATCGGATGAGCCTTCCCGCTCCAATCTTGCTGTAATTATATTATTTTATAATTATATACTCCTTCGGTCCTTAACATAGAACCCAATTATTGAATTGATTTTGGTCCTAAATATAAGACCTATTTTTTATATTTATCACTTTTCTCTAAATTATCCCTATAGATACTCCATCAACCATAATCAAGTAGAAGAGGGAGAAAGAAAGTATTAAGAAATATGATTATGGTATTTTAAGAAAACGTGTCATATTTCTTATAATTAACTAATTTACCTGACTTTCTTAATCTAATCAAATGAATTAAATAGGTCTTATATTAAGGACCGGAAGAGTACTTCTCATAGCGCATCATAATCAACACGTATTATTATTCCCTACTCTCTTGTTTTTGTAACACCACATAAAATACACACAAAAAACTTGACATCCATTTCTTTTGGTCATTAAACCAAACACTTCAGCCAGCTTTATCCGGTGAGACCCTATTTCTCGAGCGCTAATTACAGTTAGAAGTACGCTTTGTTCAGACTCCTTAATTTCTGCTCTAGCCAATGTTCAGAAGGCATTCTCTCTAATATATGCTGTTATTGAGTGTTAATAAAAGCTTTGTTAAAATCATTGCTCTAGCACCATTACCTTGGAAATCCTTGGGATCCTCTATTTCCTGATCTTGCTGAATCATCTTAATGTCATGCTGTCTCTTCTATTCCGCTGATAGTTCAAATTAATCATCTGTTTTTTTTTTTTTGGCGAACTGTTTCATGATCATTTTAATTGGGGCCACGAGAGAGGGAGCATGATCGGACGACATGAATGATGAGAAAACCAATAAGTCTCTTCAATTTAGGATATTTTTACCAAGCGAACATTAAAAAGGCAAAACTACTAATGCATCTGAAGGGACAATACTTCATCGCATTAGCAGGGCATTCTGTAGAATCTGCACAGAGAGCCCAAACAACACACTTGAGAGTTATACACACAAACCAAAGTGTCTGAGCTCATAACTGAAAGCTTCCTGGAAAATTGATAGAGACTATAGTAGGAAGTATTCTGTGTGGATATGGTGGGTAAAAAGGTCCACCTGCTTCTTTCTGTTGGATTGGTGATGAACATAAATTTGCCTACTCACTACAAGCGAACGCACTTTCATAACATCGCCAAGACGTCAAGTGCCAGGCAAGCTGCTGCTTGTGCTGGAAAGAATTATGAAGGCACAAACAACAGAAAGTGAGAAGACTGATACCCACGTGTTCTCTGTGTACATTTCCATGGCATCAGTGATTGAAAGACGAGTTCGGTTTTCAGCCCAGTTCCGAAGTCGATCTGCCTCAGCAGCATACAAGGCTCTCCCCTGACATACATATACCTATTACGTTCTTACTTGACATTTCTATTCAGCAAATCCAATCCATATCTACTGTGAAATGAGATGTCTGTGCTTTTCTTAATGTTAATTGTAATGTATTTTTTGACTAACTAAGATGGCAAGTATCTAAGTACAAGCCAAAAGTGCCACCTCAAGGGAAGCGAGGGCAGTGAAAAAGAATGAGAATGTGACCTACAGAAACCCCCCAAGTCCCACAGAAGTGGGCTTGCTTAATGCACTTTTAGGAGCAAGGCTATGTTATGACAAGTAAGTCCCTGCAAAAATCATCTATTGAGATGTCATGCCCAAAAGTTTTGTTACCTGATCATCAAACCAGCGGCCTCGACGTAACCAGGCAGTGATCAAAGCAAATAAGATTCTAGGAGGCGTCAAGTAATTGACAGCCTTGCCTGTTCCCTTGACAATCCGCATCCGAGGAACTAGAGTTCTAGCAACAGTTTCAGGGAGCTCGCAAATGATGTTAAACATTTGTCTGTTTTGTACAGTTGAGCCACTGTGCAAAAGCCATCATATGGTTTTAGCATAGTTTTAGAGCAGGATTCACGATTTCTTCATAATACATAACTTTAACTAGAAAGAGTTATAAGATATGAAACTCAAAATGTTACTACCTCCGGTCCTAATTATAAAAGCTAGTTGACTAATTTGAGGAGATTAAAAAAAGAAGTTAAGTTAGTTACTTGTGTTGTCTTTTTTAAAATATCCTTACTAAGCAACTGTATTGGTTAGAATTACTATTGTTAGAAAGATTACTTTGGAAAAAATGTATAAATATGCGAGACAAAGTGGATTGAGGTCTTATATTTAGAACCAAAATAAAAATCAAACAAGACCTTATATTAAAGATCGGAGGTAGTATTAATTTGTTGGGAAAAGAGGGAACTCAATGTCACATACGAGGCACACAAGTATTTCACTTATCAGGAATAGGTGTAACGGAAAATGTTTGTGTAATGGGAAGGAAAATAACATGGACGTCAGAACTTTCTGAATCAGCTAAGGAAAGTAAATCCGCCACCATCAATAAGAAAACCATATCAGAAACAGAAACAAGTCCAAATTGAAAGGTACCTCAATAGCAGATCTGTAAGTACCATCCCTGGAGATGCTGAATGCACTCCTACTTTAGATCTTTTGCATTCCTTCAACAGTGATCCTTGAAGCTGCCTTAGTCCACACTTTGTGGAACCGTAACTACATTTAGATATTAAGAAACAAAAAGTCATTATAAGCATCACCATGACATGAGTAAATATAAGTATAAAAACTCCATTTGGAAACCATCGGCATCCTCCAAAAAGAGAAGAAACAAAGTACCAAGAAGATAACTCACACAGCCGTCAGAGGGGTGCTGGAACCTCCAGAACCCGCACCATCCATATTAAATATGCGACCCCCATTGGGTTGGTTATTCATTATACGTATAGCTTCTCGTGTACAAATTATAGATCCAACCAGATTTGTGGAAACAATCTACAGACAAACCAGATGGTAGAAACAGAGAAGGTCAAATATTAGAAATGAATTTGAGTAGAAGACTTGAAACTCTTAACTGGCACCCAAAGTCATGAGTATTTATTTTTCAAACAGAGGAACTACTCCCTATGTTTTATATTATAAGCCAGTTTTTGGCGTGTTTACATATTTCAAAATATAAGACGCTTTGAGAAAAATTAGGTTTCATTAATGAACTTATTCCAAAATTGTCTACGATAATGATGTAATAATTAAGTTTGAGTTTGAGTTGGGATTAAATTAACTGAAGGGTATTCTTGAAAGTTTATGTGTTTTATGAGAAATTAAGATTTCAAATTGTATCCAATGAACTTCATTGGGATGAAGTTGATGTAGTATTAAGTGAGTTTGAGTTGGGATTTAATTAACTGAAGGCTATTCTTGAAAGTTTATGGATTTTATGAGAAATTAAGATTTCAAATTGTATTCAATGAACTTCACTGGGATGCGCAATTCTGCCCAATGAAAAGAAGGTCTTATGACATGAAACGGGGGGAGTACTGAGTAACATATACCTGTCTAATATCTTCATCACTAAATTGAAGTAGTGGTCTGAAACCTTTATTTGCGCCAGCATTGTTTATCTAAGTCCAAATATAAGAAGTAAAAGATCAGGGACAGAAATAGACACTGCATTCTGCTCAATATATGAAATCTTCAGATTTTGTATGTCTTCAATGACAATGGAAAACTCAACGGCCTCCGAGAATAACAAAATTCTTAAAAGAGTAAATTAGCATTGCCATTCATGGTCACATAGCGAATACTGCTATCCAAGATTTTACATTGCTATCAATGATAATAACATGTAAATCCTATGCAAAATGAATGAAGGTAAATCTAATAATTCAGAGTCCGAACAAAAACTACAGGATCACTGTATTACATTCAGTTCATGTGTCCAAAAAAAATGTGCAGGAGAGCAGCGTTGAGATGCACATAAATGGCATCAACTTATGACTGGGAACAAAACGATACAAATTAAAACATTAAATGTTGTCATTGTCCTGTTCTCGCCAGAATGGCTGCAATACTTACCCAAATGTCAATACATCCAAGCTCACTGACAGCAAAGTTTGCCAACCTCTGCACATCACGAGGCTCACAAACATCACAGGCAATGCCTACTACTTTTGCATGAGATAGCTTTGTCAGAGATGAGCCTACACCAGAGGCAATGCCTTCCTTCAGGCTTTCCTCTAGCTCTTCTACTGTTGCTTGAACAGACTCAGGGCTGCCTTCACCAATTATGAAAATGGAAGCATTGGTGTGAGTAATATGTAGATGAAAAACACACAATACTCCTCAATCTCAATTCAACAAAAGAAGTTCTCACAATCAAGACACCACCTGCGAGAGGTAACAACCACTCGATCTCCAGAAAGAAGAAATTCCCGTGCAAGTGCTTTACCCAATCCCCTTGTACTGTACAAACCATTTAGAAGATGCAGAAATCATACCATTTAGAAGATGCAGAAATCAAATTTGCAGTATAATATCTTCTCAGAGTGACAGAAACATGTTCAACTCTAAGTCGCATGTGATACACAAAATATTGTAGAGGCATGATAATATCAAATAAGTATACCTCCCAGTTATGATGACATTACGAGGACCAGCACGACAATGTTCCTCCAACACCATATTGGCACCTATCATTGTTCCTATGATTATTCCTCCAAGCCAGCTATACCATATCAGTCCCTCCATCTGGCTCTCTCCACCTTCGCAAAAATTGCAGACAATTTAACATTTGGTTTGGAATAGCACTGTGTATTAGATCAAAAAGATTTGCATACACGTCTCTATTGAAAGATAGGTATATGGCGACCTGACATCAGAAATCCAATTGTAAGGATTACCCCAGTGCTCATCATAGTTACAATATATCTTCCAATTTGAAGGGCAACCTGTTTTTCATAAAGAAAAACACTGTCAAAGACAATATTTATCACAAACCAAGCTAATATAATGCTGCGGCTTGGATACCTCTGTCCAGTGACCCAAAATGTTACATATTATAGCTGTCACTCTACCAAAGTAATGAAACAGAAAATTTAATGACATGCTAAAATATTGCTGTGGATGTCTAAACCTGATACTAGGAAGAAACTATATTCATGACATATGATATAATTCAGTTACAATAAAAAGTCTAACGAAGCTTCTGCTTTCTAATGACTAATGTCGTTTTAAAAGAAACTTCTGCTTTCTAATGACTAATGTCGTTTTAAAAAAAAGTAAACATAAAGAGGTGATTCTCCAGCTTGACTTAAAGAGAAAGAATCACCATTGTTCTTCTTGAACTCAGCCAGCTTTTGCTTCTCTGTTAATTTTATTAGTCTTTGAACACAAAGAACCACTTCAAAGAATCAAAGACTCAGTGATAAAGAACCACGTCTTTTCTTTTCTTTTTCTTTCTCTTTCCTTTTTTTAACCCAAAAAACTTCAAACTAGTCAACTAATGAAGCCAAAGTTCCATTAAATTCAAGGAAAGCTTCAATTGTTACCACCCACCATTTTAACTCAGCAGCTCAAGATACAAACCACAGGCTAACTATTGGGCTCAATTAATTTTTACCAAGAAATACGAGAACCATGAATCTTGGAGTCTAGAGTCCAGACTACATGATAATACTTGATCATGGAGGTTATTGATACCCGTCAAAATTATTTCAACCTTTATTTGGTCAAAAAAATTATTTCAACTTAAAAGTTTATGCTGGCAAGGCTAAGGGATTTTATTATAATTTTAAATTTGAAATCTGAATCATCTAAGAGAAAAATCATTTGATGATTACGGGGCGTAGGTAATATTCTAGAAGCTTTAGTTCGATCACTTCATGCATGGAAAAAAAACTACAGAATAGTAATAATTACTTTAAACAACTTACTGAGGATAGCACCTCCTCCACCTTCGCCACTGCTTGCCGATACTCATCATCTGATTTTGGATTCGCCTTGAAAGTCTTCAACATAATAGACTTCATAGAAACCCAGAACCCTTTTTCCCTATTCAAGTTTACCAAAATCTGATCTTCTCCTTCACTTTCCGACCTTTTCTCCTCCAAATGCCCTCCATTCTCAGACTTAAGCGCCCAGCATCGATTCAAACGAAGCCCGTCATGACCACCACCAAGTATCATCCGCGAGCTGGACCAGCAAAAACCTCGTCTGAGCGACCTCCTACTGTGATGACCTCTGAAGCAAAGATAGTCGAAGCTTTCAGGGCAAACGCGAAGCCTCACGACTGTGGCCATGGCTATGATTGAAGGATGGAAAAGACGATACTCATAACAGTGTTGAAACCAATTGGGAAGTTAGGCAAGCGGGTAACTTGTGGATTTATTGATCATTGACAACTCAACTTTTGTAATTTTGTGGCCGAAAATATCAGATGAGTCGCGGGCACAGATTCGCGGGGGATCTACAAGAGTAACGAAGAAGAGGAGAAAGATTGTGATGACCACACGTCAAAGTACAACCGCAGCTTGCGAAGATTGACGACACGTGGCAATGTGGGTACGTGTCCACCTTACATTTTAGGCACGTGTGGGATTCCTTCACTTGTGTCCTGGACTTGAATGGAAGCCATGCAGTCATGCACCATTTTGTTGGAGTCGCACCATTTTGATGGAGTCTTAATTTTTAATAAATTGTCTTTTATCAAAACAAAACAAAAATAAAAGGAAACAGAAAACTGATTTGAATTTTGTTATCGAAGGTGAGCTTGCTCACGGCTTTGCTTTTTCCTGTCTTCCCACGTAATCAGACTAGTTGGAGTTTTGACAAAATTTTTGAAGTTTTGTCTTTATTTTAAAATAATTATTAAAATTTTAAAATTTTAATAAAATATTAATTATTGTTTACCATTTATGATTTATCTAATACTACCTCCACTCATAATTATAAGACCTTGTTTATTATAAACGAGATCTTATAATTAAGATTGGAAGTAATATAAGCTATGTAAAAGTCCAAGAATAGATCCTATGAAATTAAATCGTTACTAATAGGAATAGTTCCTTAAAAATCTTGTGCAGAATATGGTATACTACCTCTGGTTCTAATTATAAGAGCTAACTGACTAATTTAAGGAAATTAAAAAAAGAAATTAAGTTAGTTATTTGTAATAAATAAGTATTATCTTTCCTAAAATATCCTTGCTAATCAAGTGTTATGGCCAGAACTACTATTGTTAGAAAGACTACCTTGAAAAAAATACATAAATATGACAGACAAAATAGATTGGAGTCTTATATTTAAGACCAAAATAAAAGTCAAATAAGATTTTATATTAAAGCCCGAAAATAGTAGTTTATAAAAGTTTTCGATTTGACTTTTATGTGAAATTTTTTATTTTCATCATGAGGTGATTCACAAGTTATTCTTTAATATACGTGAATCAAACTGAAAAGTTTACAACGTATTCACTGTGTCTTCTATTTGAACTATTCATAAAAGCCGTTAATAATAACTCAATTTTAATGAATTTAATTATTTGTAATTAATTTTTGCGCCTGATATTTTTTATCGTAATTTTTCCTCTTTTGTAATTTCTTTGCCAAAGTGTACTCTTTGTTATCTATCCATATTATATCTCAATGGAAAGTTTTCCAATTTTATGTACGAAGTTTTGTCGTGGTTTCAATATATAAAATTTAAAAATATAAGGAGCTATATTTATATGATTAAGAAAAACTAAGTATGCTTATTGATATTACTGGACAGGCTGAAATTTCTGTTTATAAATCAACATGATGTTCATAAAAATAAGAATTTATGTTATAATACTAGCATGAATCAACGGGACAACATAATCTCGTGAGACACTCGCCAAAGGCTATTGATAAAAAAATTAGAGGCTTCAAAGAAATCATATACCACCTCTGATTCTTAATATAAGAGCTAATTAACTAATTTGAATAAATCAATAAAATTAGTTAAGTTAGTTATTTATAATAAATAGATATTTTTTTCGTAAAATATCTTTACTAATACAGTGTATTAATTAGAACTACTGTTATTATAAAGATTATTTTACCAAAAAAAAAATAAATACGAGAAATAAAGTAAATTAATGTCTTATATTTAGAATCAAAATAAAAAGCAAACGAGCTCTTATATTAAGTAGTAGAAGTAGTATAAAATAAAGGAATATATTGTGTTCTCGCTCCAATATCTTCCTAAAGGCTTCTCTGTGAATAATTACTCCCTCCGTTCCTTATTATAAGAGACATTTGATGCTTATGGCATGTTCCCATATATAAGAGACACTTAAAAGTTGTCTCTATTTTTTTGTATTGATTTCCTATTTTACCCCTATTTATTTTGTCTCCAATTCAGACTCTCTCTCCCTCCCACTTCTCTTTCTTTAATAATTAATTGTTCTCTCTCATACTCTCTCTCCTTATTAATGGGGGCATTGTTGGAAAAAACATTATACTTTTTACACATTAATTGTCCTCAACTAATTTTAACTATTTTTTTGATCAACGTAATTTAGTTATTTGTCTCTTATAATAAAGAACGGAGGGAGTAATACTCAAAATATTCACAACTTCATATTTTAAACTATTTCAGATTTGGAAAATCTTGACAAGAGCTACACAAATATGTTTTGATTTTAAATGAAATATCTTAGTTTGCTTTGCTTTTGGAACAAAAAAAATATTGCATGGGAATTTCTATTAAATAATAAATAATACTACTTCCTGTCCTTAATATAAAACCTTATTTAACTTTTATTTTGATCCTAAATATAAGACCTTAATCTATTTTGTCTCTAATATTTGTGCATTTTTTTTCTAAGATAGTCCTTCTAATAATAGTAGTTCTAGCCAACACACTTGATTAGCAAGGATATATTAGGAAAGACAATATATATTTATTACAAATAACTAACTTAACTTATTTTCTTAATCTTCTCAAATTAGTCAACTAACTCTTATAATTAAGACCAGATGCAGTAGTAATTACAACTGCACGGGGATTAGAATAGAATGAGCTAATGGAAACTATGCAGATCAAGTGTGTTATCTTTGTTGCCTTCTTATGTGGTCTGTTACGCTGTACCCTCATTAAGGTTTACTGTTACGTGGTCCTCTGTTTTTCGTTTGCTTCGCATTCCAATTTAATACGAGCGCCGGGATTGGAACACGCGCAATTTTCCTTTAGAATACCCTGTGGATTCATCCCGCTTCTAAAGCTTAAGGGTGTGTTTGGATGAAACCAAACCATGGTTTGGAGAATAGCTTCTGAAAAATAGATTCTGAAAAAAATAGATTTTGGGAAGAATAGATTTTGTGAAAAAGTGATTTTGAAAAGTGTGAGTGTTTGGATAGTTGTTATTGGAAGTACTTTTTATATATACAAATTGGCATAAATTAATATGATAATTATAGAAAAAATATATTTTATGATATATTTTAATTTGAAGGAATAAAATTGTTAATAATATATTTTTTATTAACATATATTAATAATATATAAGATAATATAATTAATAAATAATTAATATGTATATATATTTATAAGATATAAGATTAAATATATTTATAAAAAATATGTTTATAAAAAAAACAACAAGATACATATCCTATAGACTCTCATACTCTCCCCTTTTTCCTCCAAAAGTAAAAAATTTCTTCTTTTCTCAAAATCATGGTTTTGAACCCAAACCATGGTTTTGATTTTTTTAAGGGTGTTTGGCTAACATTTTTCCCAAACCATGGTTTGGGTCCCAAAACTATGGTTTGGGGTGCTTGCCAAACACACCCTAAAACTCGGAAGCTAGGACGTGGTGGGGAATGGAGCCACCAAAAATCAACATAATCATGGAGCAGTTGCCCCAGCCTCTTCCCGCCCAACAAGATTTGTTCTTGTGTTCTGAGACACAGAAAAGAAGCTACAGTTGTGGCATGGAGGAAGGGTGGGCCACCCTTCATCTTTTACCGTTCTGCATCTTTTATTTGTTGCCAGACAACAGAATTCTGATGCGTTTCAAAGATTTCATTAAACTTATATATAACCTCTAGGCCCTATATATATATATATATATATATATATATATAGCGCTTAGTTTCTTGGTTGAAAAAGCTTTCTTTGGTTTAATCAGTATTTCTGTAATATAAAACAGAGGAATATATTGTGTTCACACTCCAATATCTTCCTGAAAGCTTCCCATTGAATAATTAAGACTGGGAAAACTTCCGCAACTAGTTGCAAAGGTTTTTCAAAAACCGTACACGTGATGATTTGGGTAAATGGCACGTTTGGGGACAGAGCAACGCCGTCTAACTCGGAAGCGGACCCTTTAATAATTCAGATTACCTGATAGCAACTTTTTTTCAACCATATTGTGAAAAATATGATTTTAGATCAACTTGTGCTTATTATTTCCTGTACTTAATATAAAAACTAGTTTGATTTTTAATTGAGTCTTAAATATAAGACTCCTATTCACTTTGTCTATCATTTTTCTTTATTTTTTCCCAAGTAGTCATCATAATAGTCGGACATATTAAAAATTCAATCAAATGGTAATTCTGCCTAACATACATGATTAATAAGGATATTTTAGAGAAGATAACACATATTCATTGCAAATAACTAACTTAACAAGTTTTTTTAATCTAATCAAATTAGTCAATTAGTTCTTATATTAAAGAGCAGAAGTAGTCTTTAATAAGGAGTATAATATAAAATTACGCGTCGTGTGTCATTTTAGCCGATCATTATATTAGTGATATTATATATGTTCGCGTGTGTAATTACAAGCAAAAGCGGAGTAATGTGCAGGCTGGATCAATTATTTTAAGAAAATTATCCATTTAAGACAGGCCAACATCAGGGATTTTTTTAAAGGCATTATTTTTGCCAATTATAGTTGTCTTTACTTGGTCTTCTTTAGAGGATAGATATGAAGGTATGGAAGTTAAAGAGAAGAAGCTACAGGTTTAAGTAGTTTTTTGTTATCGTACGTAAAACAATATAGATACTTAACAAATATCCAAGAGTCAAGGTTGTGTCGAGTTTTGGAATCGCCCCCTTTTCGTTTTTCTGCATTTCCTTTTTCAGAGATGGAGGACAGCCCTGATCCGGAACAGAGCAATCACCGCTATTACCATCCGCTTCCTGCTTCGGATTTTTACGCTGCAAAAACTGATCTGAAATATGAGAGAAAAGGAGAACGATCATCATGGGTGGAAGAAGACGATGTTGCAGTTGGATCCCAAAAAGACAAGCCTCGTCTCAATAAATACGCACTTGCTAGTGCTATATTGGCTTCCACAAACTCCATTCTCTTGGGATATGGTGAGTAATTTCTTTCGAATCAGTTCGATGACAGGGCAAAATCCGCTTCTGTTTCCATCGACATAAATTTTGTGTATGTACGTGTTTTGTGCAGATATTGGGGTGATGAGTGGTGCTGTGTTGTTCATAAAGGAGAATCTGAGAATTACATCAACACAAGTAGAAATCCTAGTGGGTTGCCTGAACGTATGTTCATTGATCGGATCTCTGGCTTCTGGCAAAACCTCTGATTCAATAGGGAGGCGTTACACCATAATCCTAGCAGCATCAACATTTCTAATAGGTTCACTTCTGATGGGGCTAGCACCTTCGTTCACATTCCTCATGGCAGGACGCGTGGTTGCAGGAATTGGGGTTGGATACTCCCTCATGATCGCTCCAGTGTACGTAGCCGAGCTCTCACCTTCTTTATCTCGAGGGTTCCTCACTTCCCTCCCAGAAGTCTTCGTCAGTATTGGAATTCTTCTGGGTTACATCTCCAACTACGCTCTCTCAGGTCTCTCTCATGAAATAAACTGGAGACTGATGCTTGGTCTGGCGGCCCTGCCTGCAATTGCAGTTATATTTGGTGTTCTTGCAATGCCGGAGTCGCCTCGCTGGCTGGTCATGAAGGGAAGGTTTCAGGAAGCCAGGGATATTTTGGTAAGAACGTCAGAGACAAAAGGAGAGGCTGAGATGAGACTTGCGGAGATATCAGAAGCTGCAAATGCAAATATTTTAGGGAGAAGTCATGGACAAGGGGTTTGGAAAGCCATGTTTGTAAGACCTTCTCGAGCTGTCTTGCGAGTTCTGGTTGCTGCCATTGGAGTCAACTTCTTCATGCAGGCTTCTGGGAATGATGCTGTGGTTTATTATAGTCCACAAGTCTTCAGGGAAGCTGGGATTCACTCTGAGAAGCAGCTTGTTGGTGTTACCATTGTCATGGGAATCGCCAAGACTTGTTTTGCTTTGGTGTCTGCCCTGTTCTTGGACCGGGTTGGCAGGAGGCCGATGTTGTTATTGGGTTCATTTGGCATGGCAGTCTCACTGTTTGGGCTGGGCTTGGGCTCTAAATTTCTTGACCAGCATGATAGTAAGCCCGAATGGGCCATTGCACTGTGTGTGGTTGCTGTATGCTGTGCGGTCTCCTTCTTCTCAATTGGGCTTGGCCCAATAACATGGGTGTACTCATCAGAGATATTCCCAATGAGGTTACGGGCCCAAGGGTCGGGCTTGGCTATATCTGTGAATCGGCTGGTGAGTGGGATGGTGTCCATGACATTTCTCAGCATTTCCGAGCAAATAACATTTGGGGGCATGTTTTTTGTTCTCGGTGGGATCATGATACTTGCTACGATTTTCTTCTACTGCTTTCTGCCAGAGACAAAAGGTAAGAGCTTAGAGGAAATTGAAGCGCTGTTTAAAGATGACGAGGCTCACTGAAGCTCACTTCAAGGCTTTGCTTGAAATAAAACCCAGCCTTCACAAACCAAAGTAGTGGTTGCCACATAAAAAAAAAGAAAAAAAGATACAAAAGTGGTATGAAATGTGGATAAGTAAAGAGAATGAAACAAAAAAAGTTGCAGTTTTTATTATTTTATGGTGATGTGGAAATCACTGTCACTGTATCAACTATCAAATTGTAAGTGTGATTGCTCATGATATTCTTTGGACAATTCTTGTACTTCTGCAAGAGTGGATAATATATAGATTTTTCCATTCTTTTTTCACGAGTAGCAACATACAAGTACCGCATAGTGTATAGTATAGCCTTTCTCTAGAATATCGTCTCTGATTAAGTGGATACTCTTAATTCCTACCCAAAATGAAACTGCCGTTGCTTGTTTTCAAATTTCAACAGAGCACAACATTTTGAAGTGTTGGTACTGATTAAACGAATACCCGATCTACCAAAAAATTGTGAACCTTTGTTTACCTGTTTTGAAAAGTGGGAATTAAATTCTATGCTATTCTACTAATTCTAATTTAGACCATTTCTCTCAGAAGTTCTGCTGCTCCCTGCTAGTGGATTCTGATGTACGGTGCTGATGAAGAGAGTTCATATACGTATTCACCCGTGCCGAAATCATAACCTGACCCTCAACTCAACAACTTTATACGAAAAAATTGAATCAGAATTCCACTGGCCATACGCAAGTGTTAGGAACAAAACATGACTTGTTTGTTTCTGTTACTGTAATGTGTAAGAAGACGAAGACAACGTACACTTGGGTTCACGGGCGGTGAAAATCCTTGGTAAAATTTGGTATTCTGCTACTCAAATCACAACTACCCCACACACACATACGGGTTGACATTATAATCTTAAGCAGCGCTCAGCTACTTTTACTTTGTGTAGCTCCACAAGACTTTGATTTTCTTGCTTCTGTAAGGATATATTACTAGTTTGTACTATCTTCAGTGGTGTCTGTGACCCTTCTTGCCAAAAGCTTGCTTGTTTCAACTCAAACTTCAAATAATATTACAACTGTTTCATGAACTATCCGTGTCCAGAAGCTGACTGCAGAATCAGTAGTTGTTTCAATGTCGCTTGTCTGCTACTGTGACTGTAATCTCCCCGACTTGAATATTAACTTAACGTTAAGGATTTGAATTTGCGACCGAATCTCTTGTACTTATATGTTATATGGCCAATGCAAGGGACAAGTTCATGAAATCGTAAACGAAATATGAATATAATAACATCGGAAGGACCATACGTCATGATCCAAATGTCAAACACTTGCTACAGATCCTTGTCGTCATCGACAAGCCATAAAGTGAAAAACATACTATATTGGAAAAAAATGGGAGGTCTGAGATTTTTCAGAGGAGCAGTATATGAAGAAATCCATGGAAAGGGCGATGGTTTTCTTCTTGTCATTGAGCTTATTTGGTGTTTAAAAAGCTGACTGAAATTATCTCAAACTGTCTGGTATTACTTGGTTGGTATTTTAGGTAAAGGGCAAGATCTGCTCTCTTTCGTGTGTCGTTTTTTGTTTGGAAGCTTCCATGACTCGAAAGATGCCGTATTTAGAGAGAGAAAGTGAGAAACATACCGCGAGTTGATGTTTTCAAAGTCAGATCTTAGTATTAATGTTTACAATTAATATATTATAGTGTTTGTGTTATGATGGTTTTGGAGAAGATGAGACGTACAACTGAGTGGTGAGGAGTACTCAAAAAAGATTCAACATGACGGTGAGGCCAAGGACTGAGAGCCCCTAACATTGTCTTGTAACCACCGGACGAGTTGACGAAGACACATGCATGTGGACAAATGAAGTTCTCTGTGTAGTATCCATTTAGATGGCAACACTTGAAAGGTGACAACATTAACTTTGTCGTCCACTCTAGTATCTCACATCTCGAAACGAAAACCATGTATTTTTTTTCCCTTTTATCTTTCTCTCTCCTTCTCTCTGCGTGAAACATAAATGAACTTTTGTAGCTTTCAAAATTCATTTCAGTGAACGTAGAAATATGGCGGGAGACCCCCCGGCCCCTTCCCCTAGGCCTACATCGGACCTCTTGGCTTATCAAAGAAGATTAGGAAAGGCATCGAAGGCAAACTTGAGAGACATATATATACTAAATGACAGGTTTTTAGGTTTGTTGGTTTTGGTTTAGGGTTGAGGGGAATAAGAAGGTAGTAGAAAGTGGAAGCAATGATTGAAATATGCAGAAACACGAAATGGGAAGTGACTACCAATTTGATTCAAATAGTTTGGTTAAGAGTCACTATCCAAAAACTAGTTGTAGAAACTACAGAGCACACAGTTCACTGCCTTAGACTCAGAGGGCCATCAAAATATATAGGCACTAGGGGGAACCTCATCAGTAGTTTTATACCCTTTCCATGCATGCATAAAGTTAATTAGTTATACTTTAAAGTCATACTACTATTTCAAAGGGTTGGCAAAAAAAGAAGTCATATTTCAAAGGAGGTTAATTATGAAAAAGCTCACAATATCTATAGATCCATTAAAACAAATTAGACATTCCCACTATGATTTACAGGAACTTTTCAATAACATTGAGCTTTGCACAATATCGAGGCGCAATACAATTATTAACAAAAAATATACCTCCCCCGCATCCAAATATCATTTCGTAATTATATTTAAGTTTTATTTCAAAGTATTTGTGCCATTTTATAATTTCAATGAGACGTTAGTTCTTTTTTCATGTTATTTTACTAATAAAAATGACAACGGGTGGAGCAAGTGTTTGTCTAGAAGATAAAACAAAATAAATAAGAATATTTTGGGATAATACCATTGGAATTTGCTACAATTTACATTGATACGGTAATTTCTTAATTTTTATGCTTAACTTCAAAATTTAAACAGGGATATTTTGAAATAAGGGCGTATATATTGGCAAATAAGAGTTCCTTCCAAGGAATCATTTTTATGTATAATATCCAGGATAATGCAATGTGATGAAGAAAATCAAGGAACAAAGGCGTTAAAAGAATCCCCATAAACTAAGCTCTGATGCAGCTCTTAGGATCGTTCTTCAATCTCTCCCTCTTTCCTCTTTCTACATAATTGCTGTGTGTTAGTGAGAGAGAGAGAGAGAGATGATTTCATTATAGGTAATTATTAATTAATCTTAGTCTCCGGGGAAATGTCTTTTTTCGGGTATAAGGAAATGTCTTTTAATTATGAATTAATTTGCCTTTTATTATACCGTGACCATGTGACTAGCTAGATATAAACAAGCTAATGGAAACATTATCTCAATAATTATATAAAGAATAAACTTTCAATCCTTTAGCAGTAACCAAACTTGTGAGCTACGAAAATAGCTTTGATAGAGTATGTTTTTATTTATAATTATACTGTATTCCAAATATCTCTTTCTTTTTTCTTTTTTATCTATATTGAGATTTCATATCAAATAATTTTACAATAACTTAATAATTAAAAATACTCATTTCATCAAATAGTTAAAAAAAATTTATATTCAAAATATATATTGTAATTATATTGATTGATGAGACATAAAACAATTTTGAAGTAATTGCATACGAAGATAAATTGTCATAGAAATTATTAATTAATAGGCTAATGAGAAAGATATATATATAATTCCATATCAAAAAATGATTCAATGCTGTGATTAAGATTACACATGCGGTGCATAAATTATCACAATAGTTATTACTGAATTATCTAATATCCGAATTAATACACCCACAGAAACATGCATTATTGCTAGATAAGCAAAGAATATATGAGAATGGAATGGAAGCTCGTAAGAGAGTAACGTTATTACTCTCGAAAAAATCAACATGTGAAATTCATTTCATAGGAGAGTAGAAGAAGAGTTTAGGTGAAGATTCTTGCAGAAAGGCAACAGAGATGGAGGAAGCTCTTGTTTTGTTGTGGTTTATCAGATACGGCGACTCCCTTTTGAATTTCAAACACCATTAAGCGCCTGCAAAACCTGTTCCATCATGCTCTCACTTGTTTAGATATCATGGCCTGGTCCCCTAGACCCCTACCTTCCTATTAATTATACATGTTCCACACGCCCCAGCAATCACTTTCTGCATTCATTATATTGGCTGCTTCTTCTCGGACAAAAATACCAATAAACACTCAATAATCAGTAGCAGCAGCAATTCTTTAATTATTAATATATAGTCTGTTTAAAGAATTGCATTAATTAATCCGCCCATTATATTTCGTGGAGAGTAGAAGGCTTGTGATTGACTCACCGGCTTGCTCTTCGGCCGTTATCTTTGTTGTATTATTGCTGCTGCTATCTCTAAACTTGATTCCTTAATTAATCCAACTTAATTTTCACCAAAACGGGGTCTTCTACGTACACTTCCAAATCTTGATATGTTTGAGACCTCTTTCTTCGGGGTTACCAAACAAACTTGGCGAGCAAGTGAGGATTGTGCTTCTCTCGCAAGCCTCTTGTTATTCTGGCGTTCTTGTCCCGCAAGTTTTATTACACTTTTTTTTTTTTTTTTACTGTTCCACTGATCTGACCCTGACACATTAAGGTGTGATAAGCATCGCAAGTTGTAGGTTTTATACTCCCTTACCCCGGATATAAGAGTTAATTAGAGTATAGAATTTGATCGTAAATATAAGACGTTAATCCATCTTGCCTTACATATTTATTACTCATCCGATTCTAAATACAAGAACTATTTTATAGTATAAATTACACTATATTTACACTATAAAATAAGTCTTATATTTAGGATTAGATTGAGTATTATTTTTCAAACTCATTTACCTAATTTAATTTGTATATTCATATATTATATAATATTATATGGATGAGTATTTTGGGGAGATCAAGTTACATTCATTATAAGTAACTAATACTAGTATACATAACTTCTTTTATCTATTCAAATTATTTAAGTATAGTATATTAAGAATTAAAGGAAATAGTTGGCAAAAAAGGGAGGAAATAGTATTGAGTTATTGAGTTAACTGTAGTTAAGATGGAGAGTTATTTAACTTGTCATTAATTTATGTTGAGTAAATAAAATTATAATTCTAATTCAACCAAATTGTGTGCGACTAATTATTTTGAAAAAAAAGTTTTCTCCATTTATGGAAGATTTAGTGAAATTAATTTGTAATTAAAAGAGTTAATATGGCGGTGATTGGTTTTTTGAGATGGAGCTGGGGGGGCTTAATAGTGAATGAGAGCATTTACTTAACCAATAGAAGAGCAGCTTTTAAAAG